TCAATGTGTCTAATTTTTTAGGAACGGTATATAATACACCGATTCCATTTTTGTTTATGCAACGAGTAATATTTTCGCTCAAACCTCTAATATACGGCAACGCTATAGCATTTCGTGTATCAAATTTATCTCGATTAGACGCACCAAAATTACCGCCAAATTTAATCGCCCTAAGTCTCTTGTTAATAATTTTGTTTATGACTGTTGACGGGTAACAATTGTTACGAAGAATTCGTTTGACTAAGATGATGTTTTTCTCGTGAAACATAGGGTCCGCGAGTAAAATAGCCCTGTCCACGAGGCTTGTGATCACACTAATTTTATAACGCATCGGATGGTTCGAAAGAAAATTTATATAACGGCCTGAAAACGTAGGCTTACGGAACCAGTCAGTCGTCAATTTGCCATTAACTCGTATAACGTTTGTGTCTAAAAAACTTAAGGAACAATTGTTCTCCAATTCAAACGTAAACCTTAGTCGAGTGTGAAAGCTATTGAAAATCGTAAGCATATCCTCCACTTTACATTTCGGAATAATTGAAAAAATGTCATCAACATATCTGAAATAACAATAGGGCTCAAAATCCAATTGACGCAAACAATATGATTCCAAATCGTCCATAACCATATCAGACAAAATTGGAGACAAAGGAGACCCCATAGGCGAACCGAAAACCTGCTCGTAAAATTTTCCATCAAAAACAAAACTAGTCGAGCGCATAACCGTGTCAATAGCATGTAAAAACTGTGCCATGTTAAATGAAGTAAATTGTGAGATATCATCCCAACGATTTTCTATTGCTGCTTTTATTAATTCCCACGGTGTGTTTGTAAAAAGCGAAGTCACATCCAACGAAATCATGACATGATCGTCATCAATGTTTTTATCCTTAATAATTTCAACAAAGGACCAACTATCCTTAATGTGAGATCGAGGTTTATTGACTGCATTTTGCAAAATCTCACTTAAATAAGATGCAATGTAATAAACCGGACTTCCTAACGTTGAAATTATGATACGAAGAGGGTAACCTACTTTATGGATCTTAGGTAAACCATAAGCACGAGGCAAATTGCCATTAGTACATCTCAATTGTTTGTAAACCGAATCATCTATGAGTCCATTATCCAACCAAGATTTTAATAAGGTCGTGATCTTTGCGTTGAGAGCGTTTAATGGATTTTTATTAAGTGATTTATAGGTGGAAACATCTTTCAGTAAACAATTCATTTTACCCACATAGTCAGTCCGATTCATCAATACTGTGACCTGGCCCTTATCTGCTTTTGTTACGAAAATGTTACTATTTGATTTCAAAAATTTTGAACTATAAGCATATCTATTCAAAATGTAACTATCAATATGACTCACATGCTTTTGTTTACTTAAAAATTTGTGTACTGAGCTCGCTACTGAAAATCTCACATTGTCGATGTTATCCTTAGGAAACTTTCTATAATTTGCTTCTATGTTTTTTATGTTTTCCAAAACCGAGATTTTCCTATCATTTTTATTATTTCTAAAAATGGGCACGCCGAACTTGTCGCCCAAACTCAAAAAATTCATAACTGAATCCGGAACGCGATAATTACTAATGTTAACAATCCATTTGCTGTAATCTATTTTTGTCAATGGATTTCGAACCCCATAATACTTCCGACAAATGTAATCGAATTTCTTTCTTAAACGCCACTTTTCTTTATTATTATATTTGTAGAGAATATGCTTATTATAATCCACAAATCCGAGGACAAAATCATACGGTAAATTATTATACAATCGTTTCTCTATCTGATTCAAATTGGCACGCAAGACACGCAATTTGCAGTTGATATCTTCTATCTCTAAGTTTAATAACACGATTTTGTTACGATGCTGGAAATATAGCCATTTACGTGTGACATTTATGCTCTGGAAAACATTTGATTTAATTGCTATACCGTTGTTTATATGCGGAGGTGAAATATCCATCCGTCTGCAACGTAGTAAAAAGATCAGCTGTTGGTATGTTTTGCAAATGTTCTTCTTAGTCTTGATCCACGATTTAAGCATCAAGGACATTTGCCTACTAAATTTCTCCGCCATATAATTAAAATAGCCTCTTTGTATAACCACCATAGTAAGGTCTTGGTGTAATAAAATAAATGATAATCCTTAACAGTCGCCAGTAATAAATATGAAAATCTCTCCTCCAATTTTAAAGTCGACCAGACTGGCAATAATTTATTTAAAAAATTTTGGTTAAATTACAACGTTTCGGCTGTCATTGCAGCCCTTTTCAAGTAATCTATGAACAATTATATACATATAAATATACTCTTAATGCGCTTAATCATACAAATAATTATAAATTTACAAAAATATATATGTTTACGTACCAGATTAATACAATAAATCAAATTTACAGCAAACCCCCGACAAAATTAACCATTGTTTTGTTGAACAATGTGTAACAGACAGAAGTGAGCCCGAAAAAATAGATGTTGACTGTTAGCAGAAAACTTAGTCACTAACGCGTTGAGAAAATAGAAAACCAGAGTACTGTGTCTTTCGCAATTTTTTAAAAAGTCAATACAAAGTCAAATAAATAAATAAATAAATAAATAAATATGTAACATATGACAATATAATATATTAAATAGCTTCAAGAACGCGATCATAAATCCCACTGAAATTCTCCGTATCTTTTTGTAAATTAATGCTCTTTCTTTGGTTTTTTATATAGAACATTTCTGCTATTTCTCTTTTTCTGGTTTGTTTTTCTTGATGCAGAATCACAGGAGAATCCCAACGGAACTCATGATCGTTGCAAGTCCGATGCAAACTAACAACTGAGTGTGATGTCGTGTCTTTTTTGATGTTATTTTTATGTTCCTTAATACGTGTTTCTAAATGTCGCTTTGTTTGTCCAATATATGTAGAGTCACAGTTCGCGCATTCAATCTTATAAACGACATCGGTTCTTTTTAAGTTGTCAATACTATCTTTTCCTCTTTTTATCAATGTGTCTAATTTTTTTAGGAACGGTATATAATACACCGATTCCATTTTTGTTTATGCAACGAGTAATATTTTCGCTCAAACCTCTAATATACGGCAACGCTATAGCATTTCGTGTATCAAATTTATCTCGATTAGACGCACCAAAATTACCGCCAAATTTAATCGCCCTAAGTCTCTTGTTAATAATTTTGTTTATGACTGTTGACGGGTAACAATTGTTACGAAGAATTCGTTTGACTAAGATGATGTTTTTCTCGTGAAACATAGGGTCCGCGAGTAAAATAGCCCTGTCCACGAGGCTTGTGATCACACTAATTTTATAACGCATCGGATGGTTCGAAAGAAAATTTATATAACGGCCTGAAAACGTAGGCTTACGGAACCAGTCAGTCGTCAATTTGCCATTAACTCGTATAACGTTTGTGTCTAAAAAACTTAAGGAACAATTGTTCTCCAATTCAAACGTAAACCTTAGTCGAGTGTGAAAGCTATTGAAAATCGTAAGCATATCCTCCACTTTACATTTCGGAATAATTGAAAAAATGTCATCAACATATCTGAAATAACAGTGGGATTTATGATCGCGTTCTTGAAGCTATTTAATATATTATATTGTCATATGTTACATATTTATTTATTTATTTATTTATTTATTTGACTTTGTATTGACTTTTTAAAAAATTGCGAAAGACACAGTACTCTGGTTTTCTATTTTCTCAACGCGTTAGTGACTAAGTTTTCTGCTAACAGTCAACATCTATTTTTTCGGGCTCACTTCTGTCTGTTACACATTGTTCAACAAAACAATGGTTAATTTTGTCGGGGGTTTGCTGTAAATTTGATTTATTGTATTAATCTGGTACGTAAACATATATATTTTTGTAAATTTATAATTATTTGTATGATTAAGCGCATTAAGAGTATATTTATATGTATATAATTGTTCATAGATTACTTGAAAAGGGCTGCAATGACAGCCGAAACGTTGTAATTTAACCAAAATTTTTTAAATAAATTATTGCCAGTCTGGTCGACTTTAAAATTGGAGGAGAGATTTTCATATTTATTACTGGCGACTGTTAAGGATTATCATTTATATATATATATATATATATATATATATATATATATATACATTTAAAAATGTATTCTCTTTAATACATATTATTTAGAACATATTACTATATAATTATTTTAATAAATTAATATTTTAAAATTTAATTAGTAAATTAATTAACATTTAATTACAATTTAAAAAAAAACAGCTATTTAAGGTGCATATATATATTTGCTAATTAAATTATCATATTAATAATATGTTACACAAGTAAAAATAATACGTTTTAAATAATATACTTTAAATTGGATTAATATTTTTGACAGTTATCAGCTGATTTCTCTCAAAATATATTAATCGAGAATAAGATATATAATATATATAACATGTTATTATACTATTTTAATTTTTTTAACATATTATTATTTTATAATTTAATTAACAAATTAACTCTTTATTAATATTTCTTGACGAAATTGGTTGATTAAAGCGTCAAGTTGCTAATTTAATATGAAATAATTGTTATAATATATCTTTGACGCAAATAATATTTTTTGACAGAAATCAGCTGATAACTGTCAAGAAATGTTAAGAGTTCAAATAATTATATATTATTTTTAAAACATATATTATTAATTTTTTAAATTTATTATTATATTTTAAAATTTTAATAAACTTTTTTTAAATATCAATCTTTTTAATAAAAAAAAATCATATAGCGCGCGTATGTTGTTCTAGAGTTCATATAAGAAAAGAACGCAATTTCTAAATAAGTTTTTATTTTTATAAATTTTTTGAACATTTAAAAAAAAATTAAATATTACAATAGCATTAAATTATTTGAACTCGTAGTTTATTAATTTATTCAGATTTAGTACATATAATTTTGTATATTTGCATAACAAGATTTTTGTTTATATTTGCATCTTCCTGATACAGATACAAAATGAAGCTATATTCCGTTTCGGATGGTCCACCATCTCTCGCGTGTCGTCAACTGTTGAAAGCTTTGAATATCAAGTACGAATTGATAGATATGGATTTTGCAAAAGGCGAACATATGACTCAAGAGTACGAGAAGGTATTTCTTTAAAAAAATCGTATATAAATAAACAACGCATTGAAAGAATATTAAACTACATCGATCATTTTTGCAGTTAAATCCACAAAAGGAGATACCTACTCTGATTGATGATGATCTTATAATAGGAGAAAGGTGAAAAAGTTACCCAAAATGTATTTACTATTTGCGATTTTTATGATTTCAAAAAATTGAAGAAAAATTAATTTTTTCCTTATAATTAAGAAAACATTTAACAATAAGAGTGTGATTAAATATATGTGTATAAAGTTTGAAAAGCAGAATTTTTGCGAGGTTTTTTTGTAAGAAAAAGGTCTGTTATTTATACAATACCTAGATGATGTTTCTCGCAAGCGTATAAATTTATGCAGATGCAATTCACGCTGTGAAGGATAAATCAAAAGATGTGTATGTTACAGATTATTTATAAGTTCTTTAATTTATATCGCAATTTATGTAGCAACGCTATTTTGCAATATCTGGCCGATCGATATGATACGAATGGAAAACTGTATCCGAAGGAACCGAAATTGCGAGCGATTGTCAATCATCGTTTATGTTTCAATTTGGCGCTCTATTATCGTAATATTGCCGAATACGTTGTAAGTGCAATTTTAATTGACTTTTCTCGTATTTTTTTTATCGAGAATATTTATTTGTAATTATGCATGTTGCAGATGGCTCCGATATTCTACGATTATCAACGCACGCATTTGGGTCTGAAGAAAATGAAAATTGCTCTAGATATTTTCAATACGTATTTGCAACGCGAAAATTTCGAATTGGCGGCAGGCAGTGAGTATATAATATGTATTATTTTGTTAAAATTCTATCAATAAATTATTTCTTCGCAAACAATAAAATAAGATTCGAAAGTTTAACAGCTTTTATTAAATAATTATGAGATTGCAATGAAATAGCTAATAGTGATGAATAATTAATATTGACATAACAATGACACGAAATATTTATAAAAATTAATATTTAAAAAAGGAGAGAATTTTCGTGATATTTTTAAAATAACGAATTAAACAATACCCATGATAATAGAAAATAGAAAATGCATATTATATGATTTTTTTCGTATTTTTTCTTTGATGTACTTATTATTATTGTAACGAAAAATTAATATGTAAATATACGAATTAGCTTGCTAATTCAGTCAATAAATTTCTTCTTTGCGAATAATATATAATCGGTAAGATTCAAAGCTTGACAGCTTTTGTAAGATTATGGCATTGCAATGAAATATTGTCATAACAATATGACACAAAATATTTATGAAAATCGTATAAAAAAGAAAAGAATTTTTGTGATATTTTATAACAACAAATTAAAAAAAGAACCGCGATAATAAAAAATGGAAAGTGCATATATTATGAATTTCTTCTCATTTCTTCTTTTACGTATTTATCAATGCGAGGAGCAAAATTAATTGAAAAATTTGCACATATGCTTCTTCGCCATATTAATTCAATTATGGCTTTCTCATAGAGGATCATCATTTAACAATTTATTACGGTTGATCCTGTGTTTGGTGCCAAAAATACAAATAGAGTTGCATACACTTAGATTATTTCTGACAGAAGAAAATTTATTTGTTAATAAACAAAGCCCGGAGAAGTTTTGTATAAGTAGATATTTACATATACGCGCTCATATACATGCTTAAAAACTCATTTAACAATTTATTACGATCATCTTTGTGTTTGGTCCCAATAAGTACGAGTAGGGTTACATACTCTTAGATTATTTCTAACAGAGAAAAGTTTATTCATTAATAAGCAAATCCCGGAAGAGTTTTCCTTAAGTAGATATTTACATATACGCGCTCATTCATGCTTAAATACTCATTTAACAATTTATTATGATCATCCCTGTGCATGGTCTTAAAAAGTACAAGTAGGGTTACATACTCTTAGATTATTTCTGACAGAAAAAAATTAATTCGTTAATAAACAAAGCCCAAAAGAGTTTTGCTTAAGTAGATATTTACATATACGCGCACGTACACGCTTAAATACTCAAAGTATAAATAGCTAGGTTATTCTTTTTATTGGCAGCTTGTACATACAAAATAAGACCAGGCCATATTTGGCATTAGATAAAGAAAATATAAGTGAATGTTTAGATATCAATTTGGAAGCTTAGTAAACGAGAATAACTCATCTTACATTTTCGTGCACACAATTATAATTTCACTCATTAAGATTCCTTTATGAGGAAGCAATAATATTGAAAGAGGATAATAATTTTGTTTCCTCAGAAGGGAGATAGAGGAATCTTAATGAGTGAAATTAAATTTTGATCAATCAATGTGCAAGTTAAGCTTTGCCTCACATTTTGTCGATAAAACAGGGAAAAAAACTCTCTCCAGCATCCCCTTAACTTAGGTTTACTTACTTATTTATGTAGCAAAGGGTTTGTCCCGTTAATTCTGAATAAAAAAAAAATTTAATACCTACCATCCTTTGATGATCTATTTATATAAAAAAATTTATTAAGATATTTTAAAATTTGCGAAAGTTAGAGCAATCACGGACATTTCTAAAAAAATTCAAAATTTTATAAAAAATGAAATACTTTATGAATTTTTCTAGAAATTACAGTAAATAAAAGTGTAATTTTACTTGTATACCAAATTAGAGCGCTGCAAGTCAAATAAATTTTGAAATATTTAAAATCTAAATACAAATGTGGGTGTGCACATACATTTGTACATACATACCCATTTTTTTTAAATGTGATTTTTCGACGTTTTGAAACATTCTAAACACATTGGTATAGAAATCTGAAAAAAAATTTTTCATCAAAACAAAGTTACCCCTTTATAAGGAAACAAAGAATTAAAATTGTATATTTATCTTGCATTTAAATTAATTTAACAAAATTAAAGATTATATTTATTTTTTCTTTATATTATTTATATATAGATGACTTAACGATCGCTGATTTTCCGCTGATAACCGCGACGATGTGTCTGGAGGCCATCGACTTCAAATTGGACGCGTGGCCTTATGTGGCAAAGTGGTACGAAAATTTCAAACGGAAGTTCCCCGATCTTTGGGAAATCGCGGCGAGCGGAATGCGAGAGATCAGCCACTTTGAGAAACATCCCTATTTATCCAGCGTGGATCATCCGATACATCCGGTGCGCAAGAGCGCCTGAAGGAATTGTTGTAATTGCAAATATATATTTCGGGCGACTTTTCCTTTTATATGTGATATTTTATTATGAAGAAATTGAACATGAATACGCGGATATTTTTACTAAGATTTTTATTATCGACATATATACAGGTTGAGTTTTTTAACTTGAAACTGCAAAATATCTGGAAAACTAAGCATTGTACGAAAAAATGTTTTAAATAAACTTTCAATGAACATCAATAGTTTCAATAAACTTTCAATAGTTTCGAGGATGCAATTCTATCCCGTAAAAATTAGTCCCATAAATGTGATTAATTAAAGATAACCGAGCTTTGAAAATATTCGCGCGCCTAAATAATTCTTGGATTCTCGAAAAAGGAGGAAAGGGAGATTGATAAAAACCACGAATTTCTTCACTAGTGCGGAAAATCCACTATGATTTTCGAGGGAGATGAGGAAAACCACGGATTTTTCCGCTATTGCGAAAAAGCCACTATGATTTTCGAGGAAGATGAGGAAAATCACGGATCTTTCCGCTAGTGCGAGAAATCCATTATGATTTACGAGAAAGATAAGGAGGAAGAAACACTCACGTTATAAGTTTATAAAAAGAAACAACACGTTTATATATCTCAAATGATTAGAATGAAGTCGCCAGTGATGAATAAATTTCAAAGTGATTTATTAAAATCCGATCTAACTTGCCAGCATAAAAAATGTTGACACAACGTTTCGACCCTAGCGTACGAGCTCTTATCAAGTGTTGTTATGGAATGAAAAAATAGACAATAATAAAAAATTAGAAAAAACAAAAATAACGAACATTAAAAATGCGGAATAAAACAAAATTAAATCGAGGTAAAAACTTTTTGTTACATATGATAAACACGTATTAAACGTTATCTTTCAAGATGTTAAAGCGAAAAACGTGATAACAGTAAAGTCAAAAACCGAAGACTATGTTTTATTTTAGTAAGTCCCGCGTGTAAATTAAACTAACATTAAAAAGACAATCATAAGTATTTTTAGAAAAACAAACAAACAAATCATACGCTATGTATTAGTGAGTCATATAGTAGATTTAAATTTTCTGTGTCCTTTTGTAAATTAATATTGCTGTTAAATTTTTTGATAAAAAAACATCTCAGCTATCTCTTTTCTTTCTGTATTTTTCAACGTGTAAAATTTTCTTTACCTTTTTTAATTAAATTATCAAGTCTTTTAGGAATCGTATACATATATATTTCATCAAGGCCACATTTATTGAGACAGATATTTAAATTTTCACTTAGGTTTTTTATATATGGCAAAGATAAAACTGATGCTGTGTCAAACTTTTTATAATAAACTCCATTTGGAATCCAGGAATTATTTACAAAAAACGAAGTGATAATAATTGTCTCGAAGTAACTTACTATACTTATTGTGATATACTTATGCTGAGAGAGAGAGATTCTTGATGCTTTCCAGCAAACATCAAGTAACAATTATATAACTGTTAGTTATAATTTCCCACTAAACAATACAAATGCAATATAACACACGCGTTATATAACGCGTGTGTTATATTGCATTTGTATTGTTTAGTGGGAAATTATAACTAACAGTTATTTAATAGTTACTTGGTATTTGCTTGGTATAAGCTCGATGGAACCTCGGTTGAGTGCTCGGTGGTCCTTTGCACAAACACTTATTGTGCACAAGTACGAACTACTATTCTATAGTAGTTCGTACTTGTGCTACTATTCTATAATAGTTTGTACTTATAGTTAAGAAAAACAATAATTAAGAAAAACTAAAAGAGAAAATAATTTCTGGTATTTTTCTTTAATGTTAAAAATTTAAACTTATCGAAAATTAAATATGTTTTTATAGTTTTTATTCTATGCATTGGCCGAAAATAATCGTGCATGTTAATTTAAAATTAAGAACACAAAACGACATTTTTCTTGTTAATTAATTTAGATGCAAGTCATATTACATGTAAATTAAGAAATATTTTTATCGACTCTCAATATCAAAGAAACATATATGTATAATAGATATGATTTTTAAATTAGCCAAACAGCCAAACGCGAAAATTATTTAAGGAATTGCATCTCTTGATTTGAGATTACTAAAGTCCCGTGATTCCCCTTTAACCCCCCATGAAAATATTGGTCCGAAAGTTGCTGAAGCGAGAATCGAACCCGCGTCTTGCCGGAATCACGGGAGTTTAGTACTTTTAAACCAAGAGATACAATTCCTGAAATAATTTTCGCGTTTGGTCCTTTGGCTTATTTAAAAATCATATCTACATATATTTCTTTCATATTATGTGTTTCTCAAACTCATAATGTAAAAGAATTTTTTTTTATACGTATCAAATATATTTTCATACAAATCACTATTAGACATTTTACATTTCATAATGCAGAAATATTTATATATATACAAATTCGAGAATTCCCTCTCAAGATTGCATATATAGTTAATTATATATTAATATTATAGTAAAATAATCCTGTCATATTGAATATATGTGTATAAACACGCTTTTGATAGCACAGCTAAATAATAAATAAAAGCTGAAATATTATTAGAAAGCGATACTAATATTTTTAAACAATGAAGAAATATATTTAAAATAGTCATGTTTGAATATATGCGTAATTAATTTGTGAGTCATGTGGCATCAGTTAAAAAAAAAATATTTTTTTCAAAGTGATTTATTAAAATCCGACCTGACTGGCCAATACAAAAAATGTTAAACACGTTTCGGTTCTAGGGTACGGGCCTTTATCAAGTGTTGCTATAAAATTTAAAAAATAAAAATATATATTAAAAAATTATAAAAAAATTAGAAAAACAAAATTAACAAACATTAACAATGCGGATTAAAACAAGATTAAATCAAGATAAACACTTTTTGTTACATATGATAAACACAAATTTCAAATATATCATAATTTTAAATATTTTTTCTTCTTTTATATGTTATATATCTGAATCAGAAAATTTTTTTTATAAAACATGATACAGCACAATATACTGTATAGTTTTTCGTACAAGATTATTTGATAAAGAAAATTTCTAGGATTAAAAACCATTGATTTAATTTAATAATATATATGTATCGATACCGATGAGATAAATTTTCCATATGAAATTTTAAACTCCTTTAAAGAACCGTGAACATCTATATCTAATACTGCAAAATTACTATTGATTGAAAAAAATATAAGATTATGTTTAATTCTGATTAATTGTTGATTTCTGATCTGCAATAAAATTTCTTTTGCACATTGCAACGTTAGAGTTCAGTTACATTCGTGCGTCAGCCTTTTGTTCGAAAAAACTCAATTTTTCCTACATAGACACTTCTGAAGAGTCAAATGCTCGATGTTCGTTCGGCATCCGAAACGCTTCAGTATCATCAACTTGATCTTCTTTTTACATACAAATATAATAAATATGCAGATATTCTTCGCAATATCTATTGAACCAATAAAATAATGTAGATAATAATACAAAAAATGGGACATTAAATTTCTAGATGACCATACTATTGTAACCACAATCCAATCTATGCCTATCACGATAAACATTGTGATAAATAACTTCAGATATAGATTAAACCTGCAAACAAATATATATTAATTTTTAGATATTATTCAATAAAAATAATAAATTCTATATATCAAGTTATTTTTAAAAAATAATGAAATAAATTACAATCTTAAAAAAAAAGAAAAAAGAAATAGTTGCTTAAAGAAATTTTTCAAAAATGTAATTTTTTAAATGAATTAAATGTATTTATTATATAATTTATATAAATGCATTTATTTTGTAATTTTTTATAAATTAAATGTATTTATTAATTTTATTTTCACTATTTGTGATATTTCGAGAATTACAGGTTATCTCGAAAATACACAATTCTAGTCACAGTAATCAATATTATTTCTTTTTCTATAAATTATGTCATAACAGAAAAGAGAAGAAAAGGAATCAAGAAAGAGAAAGAAAAGAATAAGCACACCAAAAATGGATTGCTTTTAAATAATTATCTATCTCTTTCACTTAGAATGCAATCAATCAAGTTAATGATATTGTCGGCAAAGATATTGACAAAAATATGTATATCTGTATATATCTTTAAAATAAAACATTATCACACAGTGATGCAAAAATGTCAGAATACAAACCATTTTTTATTATTATTATACCGTCTGCTTTCCGAATCTGTTAGACGAAGACCAATATCTTTATCATAGCGTTTGATCTTTAGTGCCGCAGAAATGGATAAACAGATGCTACTAATGACGCAGGCATTTATGGGCTCGTAGAAACATATACTTCTACACAACACATCCATTTCAATGTCTGTAAATATGATTATGTAATAATAAATTATTATATTGTTACTTATATTATATTGAAATACGGTAGCATTAAAGAAATGCTGACCATGATTGTTTTACCTACTTCGAGTTCAAGGGCTTTTTTTTTTATTAGCTATACAGATTGAAAAATTCTTCTTCACAATTAAAGTAATGATAATAATGAACGGGGAACGCTGTAATATTGTATAAAAAAACAATAAAAGTTTATAAATTACAGTTTTTTTATCGGCTTCTTGCATCAGCTCATAACAATACTTATTTAATACAAAAGTTCTGCAGTTTAATTGTGCATAAAATATGGCGCTTCCAATAGAGATGACATGAAAGAATAATATAGAAGTAATAAAAATAAGATTAAAAGCCAGTATCAAAAGATTCGTATTTGAATTAATTACAATATGTATGTATATTTGCGTGCGGAATCGATGTCGAGGCATAAAACAGTAAAAATTAGTCGCACGACAATACTCCCCATTCATTATTATCAGTACTTTTATTGTGAAGGATTTTTCAATTTGTATATTCAATAAAAAGTGAACTTAACTTAAAATCGATAAAACAAAACAACGACAGCATCCCCTTAATAGAGTTATAGAGACGTACGTTTACCAAAGTACCAGCAATTTGCTAACCAAAATTCTGGTCGTAAATTTTTTGATGAATAATCGGAAACCAAATTCACGATAATGATACAAACAATATCAAGTATAAATGAAACACCGTATGCAAAAATCACATAATACCATAATTTTCTTTTTTCTGAATGTCTGGCGTTTTTTTGTAATGAACAGAATTCTCTGCAATTTACATGTCATATTTAATTAAGTATAGATAAAATCTCAATGTAAAAGAGTTAAATTAATAATTGCATTTGATCGAAGCTTTCTCAGAAACTCATTCTACGCAACTATAAAAATAGATTTATATAATGCAATACACGACATATGATACTCAATTACTATGGGAAATTATATAATACATGTATATAATATCTAAAAACTATATTACATATTTATTTAAATATTCTACAGACCAAGGTAATCTAAATTTTTATTTAGTTTCCAGACTCAAATTTTTCTCAAAAAATTAATTTATGTTAAAAAATTATTGTGTTTTGCCTTATACGTAAAAAAAAATTAAAGCAATAAAAATATCAGGCTTCAATAATGTTAAAAAAATTCAAGAAAAGTTTGATATTTTATATATTGCAAATTATTAGACTACCTAATTGTAATTTTTTATAGATTTTTTATAAATTAAATATATAATGTTTATCACACACACATCTAATATTCATTTTTATTTTTAAAAAATTACGTTATTTTAACAAAATTTTTGTTTTGTTTAATATAAAGCGATCCTGTAAAAGCAAGTTAAATATAAAGTACAATATACAATATTTGGCAATTTACCTAAATATCCGCCACATATTAAAACTCATGACACTTAGCCAGGAATGACTTGACATGACACAGAAATATTCGGAGAAAGCTGTAAAAATGAATAAAAATAAAGGATTATCAAAATAAATCTTAATCGTTAAGCGCGTATTAGAATGCAGAAACACAATGTTTTTACGTTTTTAATTCTACATTTAAAAACAGATTTACTCGAATTTTTTGTAATAAAAAATTATAACAATATTTAATGAATTCTACTGATATCAAATTAAATAATATTTCAAGACAACTCTGCGAAATTATAAAACACAAGAAACAAAAAAATATATATATTGAGGCAAACTCAAATTAGTTATATAGAATTAAAATGCTTCTAAATTTTAATTTAATACATTATTAATTGTTACATTTTTAACCAATAATTTATTCAATTTAATAAAAAACATAATTAATATGCGAATATACATTATGGCTGACAAATTTATACACTGCATTGATTGCGTATAGTTATATAATTTATTGTTAGATATACTGTACCAAGTGCAATACAGGCCGGATATGATAAATCCGCTTTGTCTTGACTAATATTCACAAGGTAAATTACGTGTGCGAGGCATGAAGCCGTGCAGTAATTGCACAACATAAAGCCATGGACGTTTCGAAGTTCTGGCAATATGGAATACACCAGAATTATTGGCACCAAAAATAGTATACCCGTTGCACGAAAGTATGCATATATGGACCATGCTTCATATCTTGAGCGGATTTCAGGTGCGTATTTTATCGCGTTTTTGTAGACCATATCGTAAGTTTCTGAACAGAAAGTCACTTCGAACTTGTCTCCCCTGTCCACAATGGAGGCGAGACAATATGATGTCGATTTAAATAATATTTTATAATGAGATAAATAAATAGAACCATTGGCAAAAATCTTATAATCGTACTGATAATTTTTGTCTACCAAAAAACGTTCCTTTTTCTGACACGAATCATAGACGGCTAAATGAAACAATTCGTCTCTCTTATTTCCGCTTTGTAGCGAATCGTTTATGAATATATCATTTGGGAAAAAGTTGAATTCATTTTTTTCAGGAATGCATTCGTCATCCATTCTCATGCGGTTACCAAGAGGACAACAAAGCAGAATGCAAGTAACATTATGGCACATTTCGTATGGGATTATATTAATACTTTCATTAGTATTTTTACTGGAATTTTCAAAAACTTTATTCAACGTGAAATTATTCTCTTTAATCAAATTTTCATAAACTTCCTGTGATGTAAAGTTGCCTTTATGATTGACATTTGTCAAATTGGTGTGAAAGTTTATCAGTATTTGATCATTATCCTCACGATTGTGAACAGAACGCTTGCTTAATTTATATGACATCGAATCAAAATCCTCCTGATCATTTTTCGTGGAAATAATAGGAAATTTATATGGCATTCCATTGTTTTGCGTCTTGTTCGTAAACTTTTTGTACAAATCATATCGCAGTATTATTTCGTCGTTATAGTTTGTTGTAGAATTCGTGTCTACCTCGAATCGTATCGTCAAATTATCATCTTTCTCTTTATTGTTGGTGAAAATTTGCTGCGATTTTGATGACGACGTGACGAGTAGAAGAAGTACACAACATAAAATTGCGAAATATTTGTTACACATTATTTCACATAAAAGATATACTTAAAGTAATTTGATAATTAAAGCAGTCAAGCTTATTATATTATATTATTCATTTTTTACATAGATTTCGAATATTCACACAATCATAAAAAATTTCATATTAAATTACTGCATATCTTAGCTTTTGTATTAATTGCATGGAAGAAATGCGTTAAATTAATTGCAAATATACTATAATGAAATCACTGCACTATAATAAAATCAAAATATCTTTTTTTTATATTTCTCAACAAAATCTGAAAAGATTAATCTGATTATATTCCAACACTGTTAATGTAGACGATTACGCGGTTGATTGTTCATTATTGCTAAATTCAATAAAACATCACTATATTCACCTTTAACTTCTCTTTCTGAAAGAAGAAAAGAATGTACAAGAAACATGTATCTGCACGAGAGAGGAAATGAAACTATCGAGAACTCGAGGACGACTAGTCGATGATAGCTTTGCGTGGAAACTGGAAACGCATATATATACACACACACGCACACACACGGGGTGACTAGTGGCCTCGTATGATCAGTCACTAGCTGATATGCTGAAGGATCCTGGTTCGAATCCTATTTGAGCCAGCATACCCCACATATCTGCTGAAGGTTCGATGGAAGTAGAATTTTTCTAGTTAAGAATTAAGACAACGCGGGGTCGATTTCTGATTGGTTCTTTTAATAAACCATCATTTATAGCCAAGAAGTGCATACCCATTTTTTAAAAATGTGATTTTTCGACGTTTTGAAACATTCGAAACACATTAGTATATAGAAATCTGAAAAAAAATTTTTCACCAAAACAAAGTTTTCCCTCTATAAGGAAGCAAAAAATTAAAATTGTATATTTATCTTGTATTTAAATTAATTTAACAAAATTAAAGTTTATATTTATTTTTTCTTTATATTATTTATATGTAGATGACTTAACGATCGCTGATTTTCCGCTGATAACCGCAACGATGTGTCTGGAGGCCAGAGATGCTGATTAATTAATTACTTTTTAATTTAATTATGACATTTAATTACAAACAGATGTAATCAAATGTAATTAAAATATTTTTAATTGACGTTTAATTTTAGAAAGATTAATTAGATTTCATTACAATGACGATTGATATAAGCTAAGATTAATCGAAGATCACTTAATTAACAATTAATATGATCGAGGTCAATTAAAGATTATTTAATTGACAATTGATATAAACGAAATTAATCGGAGAACGATCGATTAACGATTAATACAAGCTAATTTAATTAAAAGTTTTTTAATTAACGATTAATATGAGTGAATTTTAATTAGAAGTACTTTAATTGACGATTGAAAAAAACAGATTCAATCGAAGACAATTTAATTGACAATTGATTTGAGCAGAAACAATTAAAAAATATATAATTGACGATTAAATATAGCAAATTTAATGTGAATCTCTTCCATTAATGATTGACTTAAGAAAATCGATATAATTTCTCTATTTCCATTAATTAACAATGTGTAACGATTAATAAAATTTAAATTTTAATCGAAGATGTTTGATTGATGATATTAATATGACTGAATTTAAATAATATATATCTTTTCCTTGGTTCTAGCAAAGTTATTGTACGTAATAGTTACAATATAAATAATAAATAATTTACGTTTTTTAAACCATATTTTTATTCAGAACATTTTCAATTCATTATACATTTTATTATACATTTATTATTTTACATATAAGAGTAAATTTAATTATATTTAATGTTAATATATATTGCATATTTCTCGAATTTTTTTCCATTTGTTCTAAAATAATAAATTGAAAAAATCGCTCTTTGTTTTTGAAAGGCAAGGATATGAGCACAATGCGACGTAAAAGTGACGTAAGTCGTAGATGTAAACGTAGATTAACGCACAAGCCGTGGCGTATCGTGAAAACGTGCCAAAATCTATATGAATACTGCCCACGTTTACGTAAATCATTGAAGTCATTATAGACTCGTCAACAAAACAAAAGTATATATTCTTTCTTACATATAATATTGCCAACGATCAATCAAAGAAACGCTCGTTCCATATAAATACATTTTCCTAAATGAGTTCGTCGGATAAATCGAGTGGCAAGCAGAAAAATAAAAATAGGAAGGACAAAAGTGAGGACATTCATGTGAGACAGAGACTCGCAAGGAGTTGCAAGAAACAGACATTAAACATTCCGAAGATGTGCACCACCAAAATAAACGAATCTAATACGCGTCTGGAAGAGAATGTTAAACAGTCCAAAGCCAAAAGGGTTGCATCCATCGATGATACAAATATGATTTGCAAGATCTGTAATAAAACATTTTCCGTGCAAGGCACTTACCTTAATAATATACGCCGACACGAAGATGAGAAAGATAAGACACAGTTGATGTGTCCTTTCTGCCCCAGGAAATTCAATTGGTATTCTAAATTTATTCGTCATCGAAAGAGCGTCCATTATTGCGAGAGGAATTACTCTTGCAACATATGTGACAAAAGATTCGAGAGTAAGAACAGCGTGGAGAATCATCGGCGTACCCATACCGGTGAACGGCCGTACGTGTGTGATATTTGTGGCAAAGCATTCTATGTTAAGCAGATATTAGTTAATCACATCAAGTCTCATACAGGCGATCTTCCGTTCAAATGCGTTCATTGCGATAAGAGATTTTTATGTAAATATCACTTGTTCGTCCATTTGTCGATGCACGGGCGTGAAGACTCACACGTGCGATGTGTGCGGCAAATGTTTTAGCAGTAAAGGAAACTTGAACCAACACAAAAAGGTGCACTCCAATGAAAAACCGTATACGTGGCAAACCGTAAATGTGGCAAAAGTTTCAGGCATAAACAATTTATTGCACATCACAAATGCTTAGATGAGACGCATACCGATGAACGTCCTTACTTGTGTGACACGTGCAACAAGTCATACCGCACTGAACGGGACTTGAAATTACACATCAAATATCACACAGGCGATTTTCCGCACAAATGCGTCTATTGCGATAAGGGATTTTCGTGTAAATCTAATATGTTGGACCATTTGTCGGTACACAGAAGAGATACAAGTGCAATATATGTGGCAAATGTTTGAGTAGCAGAGGAAGCTTTAGCCGACACAAAATGGTGCACTCAGATGAAAGACGGTATAAGTGTAATTGCGGCAAAAGCTACAAGTATAAACAAAGTCTCCGAGTACACGAATGCTTCAGAAAGTGTGAAAACTTAGGAAAATCAAGTCAAGTCCTTTGTGACATATGCGATAACATATTCACGGACAAGGCAACCATCGGCGTACCTATACCAATGTTGATGATGAACGCCGTTTCTTCTGTGACATGTACGACAAGTCATACCACGTTAAACAGGATTTGAAAGTACACATTATGAGTCATGCTAGCGATCACCTGCACAAATAAGTCCATTGCGGTAAGGGATTTTTGTATGAATCATGTATGTTGAACCATTTGTCGGTGCACACTGGCGTGAAGAGACGTATTCCCAGTCTTCAGAGGATGACGGGGAAGAAGGAAACTTGAAAATGACTGTCGAGGCAGGGGATGGAGATCTAAGATATACGGGAATTCGGGAGAGGAAGGAGAAGAAATTCGCGGGAGTTCGTGTGCTCGGGAGAAGTAAGAGGCACAGGAGAAGGAATTCGAGATTCTTCAGGAGAGAAAGTAGGGGAAAAATATGATGAGAAATCCACTATGATTTTCGAGGGAGATGAGGAAAACCACGGATTTTTCCGCTAGTGCGGAAAAGCCACTATGATTTTCGAGGAAGATGAGGAAAATCACGGATCTTTCCGCTAGTGCGGGAAATCCATTATGATTTACGAGGAAAATGAGAAAAATTACGGATCTCTCCTCTAGTGTGAGAAATCCACTGATTTACGAGAGAGATAAGGAGGAAGAAACACTCACGTTATAAGTTTATAAAAAGAAACAACACGTTTATATATCTCAAATGATTAGAATGAAGTCGCCAGTGATGAATAAATTTCAAAGTGATTTATTAAAACCCGACCTAACTTGCCAGTATAAAAAATGTTGACACAACGTTTCGACCCTAGCGTACGAGCCCTTATCAAGTATTGCTATGGAATGAAAAAATAGACAATAATAAAAAATTAGAAAAAACAAAAATAACGAATTAAGAGTTTAACTAGGCTCTGTAATATATAAATATAAATTTAACATATATAAGATAGGCAATAAGAGCCAAATCGCGGATGACAGTGCGTTATTCTAAACGAAACTAAATTTTTTCGTTAGAATTAAATACCTGTGCACAAGGCACCAAATTTTTACTTGGACACGGCCAAGATATAAAATTGGAATAATCTCTACAAGAGATTTTTAATTCCATGTATCCCCTATTCCCCCTAAAGAAATAAAGTGCGAGAGAAAAATATAGATCCGAAAGTCGCAGAATCGGGAATCGAACCCGAGACCTTTCGCTTGCCGGGCGACTGCTCTTCCAACTGAGCTATTCAGATCCTTTCGATTCTATACTTTTCTCTGTTATATATATTAATGTTGGTAAATAAACGCCTTTAAGCCAGCGTGTATAAATTAAGAGTTTAACTAGGCTCTGTAATATATAAATATAAATTTAACATATATAAGATAGGCAATAAGAGCCAAATCGCGGATGACAGTGCGTTATTCTAAACGAAACTAAATTTTTTCGTTAGAATTAAATACCTGTGCACAAGGCACCAAATTTTTACTTGGACACGGCCAAGATATAAAATTGGAATAATCTCTACAAGAGATTTTTCATTCCATGTATCCCCTATTCCCCCTAAAGAAATAAAGTGCGAGAGAAAAATATAGATCCGAAAGTCGCAGAATCGGGAATCGAACCCGAGACCTTTCGCTTGCCGGGCGACTGCTCTTCCAACTGAGCTATTCAGATCCTTTCGATTCTATACTTTTCTCTGTTATATATATTAATGTTGGTAAATAAACGCCTTTAAGCCAGCGTGTATAAATTAAGAGTTTAACTAGGCTCTGTAATATATAAATATTATACACGCTGGCTTAAAGGCGTTTATTTACCAACATTAATATATATAACAGAGAAAAGTATAGAATCGAAAGGATCTGAATAGCTCAGTTGGAAGAGCAGTCGCCCGGCAAGCGAAAGGTCTCGGGTTCGATTCCCGATTCTGCGACTTTCGGATCTATATTTTTCTCTCGCACTTTATTTCTTTAGGGGGAATAGGGGATACATGGAATTAAAAATCTCTTGTAGAGATTATTCCAATTTTATATCTTGGCCGTGTCCAAGTAAAAATTTGGTGCCTTGTGCACAGGTATTTAATTCTAACGAAAAAATTTAGTTTCGTTTAGAATAACGCACTGTCATCCGCGATTTGGCTCTTATTGCCTATCTTATATATGTTAAATTTATATTTATATATTACAGAGCCTAGTTAAACTCTTAATTTATACACGCTGGCTTAAAGGCGTTTATTTACCAACATTAATATATATAACAGAGAAAAGTATAGAATCGAAAGGATCTGAATAGCTCAGTTGGAAGAGCAGTCGCCCGGCAAGCGAAAGATCTCGGGTTCGATTCCCGATTCTGCGACTTTCGGATCTATATTTTTCTCTCGCACTTTATTTCTTTAGGGGGAATAGGGGATACATGGAATTAAAAATCTCTTGTAGAGATTATTCCAATTTTATATCTTGGCCGTGTCCAAGTAAAAATTTGGTGCCTTGTGCACAGGTATTTAATTCTAACGAAAAAATTTAGTTTCGTTTAGAATAACGCACTGTCATCCGCGATTTGGCTCTTATTGCCTATCTTATATATGTTAAATTTATAAAAATAACGAACATTAAAAATGCGGAATAAAACAAAATTAAATCGAGGTAAAAACTTTTTGTTACATATGATAAACACGTATTAAACGTTACCTTTCAAGATGTTAAAGCGAAAAACGTGATAACAGTAAAGTCAAAAACCGAAGACTATGTTTTATTTTAGTAAGTCCCGCGTGTAAATTAAACTAACATTAAAAAGACAATCATAAGTATTTTTAGAAAAACAAACAAACAAATCATACGCTATGTATTAGTGAGTCATATAGTAGATTTAAATTTTCTGTGTCCTTTTGTAAATTAATATTGCTGTTAAATTTTTTGATAAAAAAACATCTCAGCTATATATCTCTTTTCTTTCTGTATTTTTCAACGTGTAAAATTTTCTTTACCTTTTTTAATTAAATTATTTAGTCTTTTAGGAATCGTATACATATATATTTCATCAAGGCCACATTTATTGAGACAGATATTTAAATTTTCACTTAGGTTTTTTATATATGGCAAAGATAAAACTGATGCTGTGTCAAACTTTTTATAATAAACTCCATTTGGAATCCAGGAATTATTTACAAAAAACGAAGTGATAATAATTGTCTCGAAGTAACTTACTATACTTATTGTGATATACTTATGCTGAGAGAGAGAGATTCTTGATGCTTTCCAGCAAACATCAAGTAACAATTATATAACTGTTAGTTATAATTTCCCACTAAACAATACAAATGCAATATAACACACGCGTTATATAACGCGTGTGTTATATTGCATTTGTATTGTTTAGTGGGAAATTATAACTAACAGTTATTTAATAGTTACTTGGTATTTGCTTGGTATAAGCTCGATGGAACCTCGGTTGAGTGCTCGGTTGTCCTTTGCACAAACACTTATTGTGCACAAGTACGAACTACTATTCTATAGTAGTTCGTACTTGTGCTACTATTCTATAATAGTTTGTACTTATAGTTAAGAAAAACAATAATTAAGAAAAACTAAAAGAGAAAATAATTTCTGGTATTTTTCTTTAATGTTAAAAATTTAAACTTATCGAAAATTAAATATGTTTTTATAGTTTTTATTCTATGCATTGGCCGAAAATAATCGTGCATGTTAATTTAAAATTAAGAACACAAAACGACATTTTTCTTGTTAATTAATTTAGATGCAAGTCATATTACATGTAAATTAAGAAATATTTTTATCGACTCTCAATATCAAAGAAACATATATGTATAATAGATATGATTTTTAAATTAGCCAAACAGCCAAACGCGAAAATTATTTAAGGAATTGCATCTCTTGATTTGAGATTACTAAAGTCCCGTGATTCCCCTTTAACCCCCCATGAAAATATTGGTCCGAAAGTTGCTGAAGCGAGAATCGAACCCGCGTCTTGCCGGAATCACGGGAGTTTAGTACTTTTAAACCAAGAGATACAATTCCTGAAATAATTTTCGCGTTTGGTCCTTTGGCTTATTTAAAAATCATATCTACATATATTTCTTTCATATTATGTGTTTCTCAAACTCATAATGTAAAAGAATTTTTTTTTATACGTATCAAATATATTTTCATACAAATCACTATTAGACATTTTACTTTTCATAATGCAGAAATGTTTATATATATACAAATTCGAGAATTTCCTCTCAAGATTGTATAAATAGGTAATTATATATTAATATTATAGTAGAATAATCCCGTCATATTGAATATATGTGTATAAACACGCTTTCGATAGCACAACTAAATAATAAATAAAAGCTGAAATATATATATATATATATATATATATATATATTATTAGAAAGCGATACTAATATTTTTAAACAATGAAGAAATATATTTAAAATAGTCATCTTTGACTATATGCGTAATTGATTTGTAGGTCATGTGGCATCAGTTCAAAAAAACATATTTTTTTCAAAGTGATTTATTAAAATCCGACCTGATTTACAAAAAATGTTAAACACGTTTCGGCCCTAGGTTACGGACCTTTATCAAGTGTTGCTATAAAATTAAAAAAATAATATATATTAAAAAATTATAAAAAAATTAGAAAAACAAAATTAACAAACATTAACAATGCGGATTAAAACAAGATTAAATCAAGATAAAAACTTTTTGTTACATATGATAAACACAAATATATCATATTTTTAAATATTTTTTCTTCCTTTATATGTTATGTATCTAAATCAGAAATCTTTTTTTATAAAACATAATACAGCACAATATACTGTATAGTTTTTCGTACAAGATTATTTGATGAAGAAAATTTTTAAGATTAAAAACCATTGATTTGACTTAATAATATATATGTATCGATACCGATGAGATAAATTTTCCATATGAAATTTTAAACTCCTTTAAAGAACCGTGAACATCTATATCTAATACTGCAAAATTACTATTGATTAAAAAATTATAAGATTATGTTTAATTCTGATTAATAGTTGATTTCTGATCTGCAATAAAATTGTTTTTGCACATTGCAACGTTAGAGTTCAGTTACATTCGTGCGTCAGCCTTTTGTTCGAAAAAACTCAATTTTTTCTACATACATACTTCTGACGAGTCAAATGCTCGATGTTCGTTCCGCTTCCGAAACGCTTCAGTAACATCAACTTGATCTTCTTTTTACATACAAATATAATAAATATGCAGAAATTCTTCGCAATCTCTATTGAACCAATAAGATAATATAGGTAATAATACAAAAAATGGGGCATTAAATTTCTAGATGTCCATACTATTGTAACCACAATCCAATCTATGCCTATCACGATAAACATTGTGATAAATAACTTCAGATATAGATTAAACCTGCAAACAAATATATATTAATTTTTAGATATTATTCAATAAAAATAATAAATTCTATATATCAAGTTATTTTTAAAAAATAATGAAATAAATTACAATCCTAAAAAAAGGAAAAAAAGAAATAGTTGCTTAAAGAAATTTTTCAAAAATGTAATTTTTAAATGAATTAAATGTATTTATTATATAATTCATATAAATGCATTTATTTTGTAATTTTTTATAAATTAAATGTATTTATTAATTTCATTTTCACTATTTGTGATATTTCGAGAATTACAGATTATCTCTGAAATACACAATTCTAGTCACAGCAATCAATGTTTTTTCTTTTTCTATAAATTATGTCATAACAGGAAAGAGAAGAAAAGGAATCAATAAAGAGAAAGAAAAGAATAAGCACACCGAAAATGGATTGCTTTTAAATAATTATCTATCTCTTTCACTTAGAATGCGAATCAATCAAGTTAGTGGTATTGTCGGCAAAGATATTGACAAAAATATGTATATCTGTATATATCTTTAAAATAAAACATTATCTATCACACAGTGATGCAAAAATGTCAGAATACAAACCATTTTTTGTTATCATTATACCGTCTGCTTTCCGAATCTGTTAGACGAAGACCAATATCTTTGTCATAGCGTTTGATCTTTAGTACCGCAGAAATGGATAAACAGATGCTACTAATGACGCAGGCATTTTCGGGCCCGTAGAAACATATACTTCTACACAACACATCCATTTCAATGTCTGTAAATATGATTATGTAATAATAAATTATTATATTGTTACTTATATTATATTGAAATACGGTAGCATTAAAAAAATGCTGACCATGATTGTTTTACCGACTTCGAGTTCAAGGGCTTTTCTTTTTATTGGCTATACAGATTGAAAAATCCTTCTCCACAATTAAAATACTGATAATAATGAACGAGGAGCGCTGTAATTTCGTATAAAAAAAAACAATAAAAGTTAAAAAATTACAGTTTTTTTATCGGCTTCTTGCATCAGCTCATAACAATACTTATTTAATACAAAAGTTCTGCAGTTTAATTGTGCACAAAATGTGGCACTTCCAATAGAGATGACATGAAAGAATAATACAGAAGTAATAAAAATAAAATTAAAAGCTTGTATTAAAAGATTCGTATTTGAATTAATTACAATATGTATGTATATTTGCGTGCGGAATCGATGTCAAGGCATAAAACAGTAAAAATTAGTTGCAGGACAGTACTCCCCATTCATTATTATCAGTACTTTTATTGTGGAGGATTTTTCAATTTGTATATTCAATAAAAAGTAAACTTAACTTAACTTAAAATCAATAAGACAGAACAACGACAGCATCCCCTTAATTGAGTTATAGAGACGTACGTTTACCAAAGTACCAGCAATTTGCTAACCAAAATTCTGGTCGTAAATTTTTTGATGAATAATCGGAAACCAAATTCACGATAATGATACAAACCATAACAAGTATAAATGAAACACCGTATGCAAAAATCACATAATACCATAATCTTTTTTTTTCTGGTTTTCTGGCGTTTTTTTGCAATGAACAGAATCCTCTGCAATTTACATGTCATATTTAATTAAGTATAGATAATATCTCAATGTAAAAGAGTTAAATTAATAGTTGCATTTGATCGAGGCTTTCTCAGAAACTCATTCTACGTAACTATAAAAATAGATTTATATAATACAATACACGACATATGATACTCAATTACTATGGGAAATTATATAATACATGTATGTATATAATATCTAGAAACTATATTACATATTTATTTAAATATTCTACAGACCAAGGTAACCTAAATTTGTATTTAGTTTCCTGAGTCAAATTTTTCTCAAAAAATATATTTATGTTAAAAAATTATTGTGTATTGCCTTATACGTAAAAAAAAAATTAAAGCAATAAAAATATCAGGCTTCAATAATGTTAAAAAAATTCAAGAAAAGTTTGATATTTTATATATTGCAAATTATTAGACTATCTAATTGTAATTTTTTATAAATTTTTTATAAATTAAATATATAATGTTTATCATCTAATATCCATTTTTATTTTTAAAAAATTTACGTTATTTAAACAAAATTTTTGTTTTGTTTAATATAAAGCGATCCTGTAAAAGCAAGTTAAATATAAAGTACAATATACAATATTTGGCAATTTACCTAAATATCCGCCACATATTAAAACTCATGACACTTAGCCAGAAATGACTTGACATGACACAGAAATATTCGGAGAAAGCTGTAAAAATGAATAGAAATAAAGGATTATCAAAATAAATTTTAATCGTTAAGCGCGTATTAGAATGCAGAAACACAATGTTTTTACGTTCTTAATTCTACATTAAAAAACAGATTTACTTTAATTTTTTGTAATAAAAATTACAACAATATTTAATGAATTCTACTGATATCAAATTAAATAATATTTCAAGACAACTCTGCAAAATTATAAAACACAAGAAACAAAAGAAAAAAAAAGAAATATATATATATATATATATATATATATTGAGGCAAACTCAGATTAGTTATATAGAATTAAAATGTATCTAAATTTTAATTTAATACATTATTAATTGTTACATTTTTAACCAATAATTTATTCAATTTAATAAAAGACATAATTAATATTTGAATATACATTATGGCTGACAAATTTATACACTGCATTGATTGCATATAGTTATTATATAATTTATTGTTAGATATACTGTACCAAGTGCAATACAGGCCGGATATGATAAATCCGCTTTGTCTTGACTAATATTCACAAGGTAAATTACGTGTGCGAGGCATGAAGCCGTGCAGTAATTGCACAACATAAAGCCATGGACGTTTCGAAGTTCTGGCAATATGGAATACACCAGAATTATTGGCACCAAAAATAGTATACACGTTGCACGGAAGTATGCATATATGGACCATGCTTCATATCTTGAGCGGATTTCAGGTGCGTATTTCATCGCGTTTTTGTAGACCATATCGTAAGTTTCTGAACAGAAAGTCACTTCGAACTTGTCTCCCCTGTCCACAATGGCGGCGAGACAATATGATGTCGATTTAAATAATATTTTATAATGAGATAAATAAATAGAACCATTGGCAAAAATCTTATAATCGTACTGATAATTCTTGTCTACCAAAAAACGTTCCTTTTTCTGACACGAATCATAGACGGCTAAGTGAAACAATTCGTCTCTCTTATTTTCGCTTTGTAGCGAATCGTTTATAAATATATCATTTGGGAAAAAGTTGAATTCATTTTTTTCAGGATTGCATTTGTCGTCATCCATTCTCATGCGGTTACCAAGAGGACAACAAAGCAGAATGCAAGTAATATTATGGCACATTTCGTATGGGATTATATTAATACTTTCATTAGTGTTTTTACTGGAATTTTCAAAAACTTTATTCAACGTGAAATTATTCTCTTTAATCAAATTTTCATAAACTTCCTGTGATGTAAAGTTGCCTTTATGATTGACATTTGTCAAATTGGTGTGAAAGTTTATCAGTATTTGGTCATTATCCTCACGATTGTGAACAGAACGCTTGCTTAATTTATATGACATCGAATCAAAATCCTCGTGATCATTTTTCGTGGAAATAATAGGAAATTTATATGGCATTCCATTGTTTTGCGTCTTGTTCGTAAACTTTTTGTACAAATCATATCGCAGTATTATTTCGTCGTTGTAGTTTGTTGTAGAATTCGTTTCTACCTCGAATCGTATCGTCAAATTATCATCTTTCTCTTTGTTGTTGGTGGAAATTTGCTGCGATTTTGATGACGACGTGACGAGTAGAAGAAGTACACAACATAAAATTGCGAAATATTTGTTACACATTATTTCACATAAAAGATATACTTAAAGTAATTTGATAATTAAAGCAGTCAAGCTTATTATATTATATTATTCATTTTTTACATAGATTTCGAATATTCACACAACCATAAAAAATTTCATATTAAATTTCTGCATATCTTAGCTTTTATTAATGCATGGAAAGTATTAATTGCATGGAAGAAATGCGTTAAATTAATTGCAAAATATACTATAATGAAATCACTGCACTATAATGAAATCAAAATATCTTTTTTTTATATTTCTCAACAAAATCTGAAAAGATTAATCTGATTATATTCCAGCACTGTTAATGTAGACGATTACGCGGTTGATTGTTCATTATTGCTAAATTCAATAAAACATCACTTTATTCACCTTTAACTTCTCTTCCTGAAAGAAGAGAAGAATGTACAAGAAACATGTATCTGTACGAGAGAGGAAATGAAACTACCGAGAACTCGAGGACGACTAGTCGATGATAGCTTTGCGTGGAAACTGGAAACGCATATATATACACACACAGACGCACACACACGGGGTGTCTAGTGGATTCGCATGATCAATCACTAGCTGATATGCTGAAGGATCCTGGTTTGAATTCTATTTGAGCCAGCATACCCCACATACCTGCTGGAGGTTCGATGGAAGTAGAATTCCTCTATAGTTAAGAGTTAAGACAACGCGGGATCGATTTCTGATTGGTTCCGCCATTTATAGCCAAGAAGTTAATAAGAGAGAGACAAAAATAAACAGAAGAAAAAGACAAAATTATTCGAGACATGTGGTAGTTATGTAATGGTATTGGTATCTAAATGTATGTATACGATACAGTTGACTATTAATTGCAAACGATGTTAACTCTTACTACAGGAACTCTATAGGTGGAAGGAGAAAATGAGAAATTGAGGAGAAGAAGAACAGGTTAGGTAAGGTGTTTAAAAGAGGGAAGCAAAAAAAAAGAAGAGAAGGGGTAGTGGTGGAAGGTGGAAATGAGGAGTTGGAAAGGAGGATTGTCGACAATCTTAAAAAATCGCGACGATTCTGTAAGATTCTTAAAGTCTTTCAACAATCTTAAAGATTCTTTAAAGATCTTAAAGAATCTTTAAGATTCTTTAAAATTCTTTAAGATTGTCATTTATTTTTCGGTAATCTTACCCAATGCGCAGAATAATGAGACCAATTAATTGCGGTGAGAAGAAAACACAGTTGCTTTAAAAATGAATACTTAAATAAAAGTACTTTATACTAAAATAAAAAAGTTTTTTTTTTAAAGCAACTATGTGTTTTCTTTACACCAATTAATTGGTCTTATTTCATTATTCTGTGCATAAAAGAATTGGCTAAGATTACTGAAAAATAAATATTTTAGATAATCTTAAAGAATCGTCGAGATTCTTTAAGAATCTTACTTAATCGTCGCGATTCTTTAAGATTGTAAATATTTCCATATTGCGCCATATTACAAATATTGCAATAATATTATGCAAATATTAATATAAGTTAATATTGGAGATATTGCAAAATATTACTGCTATGTTATATCACATCTTTAATAACACAATATATCCGAAGAACATTCAGAGGATAGCTAGAGAGTCCTCTCAACATCCTCTGGATGTCTTCTGAACATCTTTCGGATATGTGTGCTATTAGGGATAGTTCTTTCATTTACCACTACGCGCCGCACGTGAAGCTATCTATCTCACATATAAGGTTTAGTCATGAGATTATATATAAACATGCAAAAAGCGGATATTAGAACTAGTTATTAGTTATTGTTATTAGTTTAATTTGATCTAATATGATCTCAACACAGTGAACTCAGCTATTAAACTGATGATTCAGCAATATTATTGGACAAATAAATGACGAAGAAAATAAAAAATAAGAACATTCCTGGGAACGTACATTGACTATCCAAAGAGATTATTCTGTCCATGCAAATATTTAGGAAATTTTTTAGACAATTATTTAATCCGAAAAACTTGTGGATAAAATTGAAAAAAATCAATTTGAGCTAAAAATAACGACAGATTTCTTCATACTTTAACATTAGAAACAATTATAAAAAATTTGAAAAAATCGGAATCTGACATTCTCCAAGGTTTACTTGTAAGAAAAAATTCATGTTCGCGCACATTATCTAGTAATTTAATAATTTAACGTAAAAACTACATGACCGATTTTGATAAAATCTTCACCAGTACATTTGTATGAATATAGTATATATAGTATGAATTATTTACGCTACAACGTTAAATTATAAAATTATTGGAAAAAATATAAAGCGTAAAGAACGTATTTTTTTTTGTATGACACGCACATTTTTAGAAGTTTTTAGAAGCAAGACGATTGCATATAGCAATCCTATGTTACTCAGGGAGATCTAACAATAAGCTACCCACCAGTGAAAGATTTTGTCAAATCGGTTGAATAGTTTCTGAGATTACCTCGAACAATGGAACAAACAAACTTTACTTCTTTATATATTAGTATAGATGACATTCGCTCACGAAGTAAACGCTACGACAGAACCAATCGGATATATATGCATCGCTCGAGGACTCGAGAGAAGAAGACTGAATTTTGCGAAAGAAAAAAGACGCGCGTAAACTCTCTCTCATGAACAAAGTCCCGCCGAGAATTTTTCCACGATTATATAAAGTCGATTAAATATATATTAACGAGGCTACCTTTTGAAAGATTGATTTATTTTATTTTATTTATTTTATTTAAAAATTCTTAAACCCGCGATCTTACAATATGTATTTATTTATCATTTTATATTTGCAAAGTGTAAATGATGTGTAACTGTGCACACAAAATAAAATATACAATATAAATTTTTTCTAACAACCAAATATATTATAATTAATATATTTTAGTATATAAATAGGAATTTATTTGTACCAAATGCATGCTACACCGCTAAACATATTTCAAAACTATTAAATCTTTGAAAATATAAGCAATAAAATTTTATTTGAAGTATTTTTCTACTTCTTGTGTGTCATTTAACAAATTTTTTCAGCAAAATTTTATATCAATTCTAAATTACAAAATATTACTACTAATTATTCTACATGTATTTATTTTCTTTATAATATTTAATCAAAACTTATTCTACATGTATTTATTTTCTTTATAATATTTAATCAAAACTTATTTTGTTTGATTATTTTTGAATTATAGTTACATATATTAATTTTATAATAATATATATATAAATATTAATTATAATAATATATATATTTAAATTATATTTAAAAATATTAATTTTTGAAAATAATGATTAAATTATATCCAATATAAATAATTTTCACATAATTTACTTTTGCTTGTCGGAATCTCTTCAGACCATATTTTAGTTGTACATAAATTTTTGCTTTTTTTCTTTGTGTCTCTCGTTCTTAGTACACTTTTCTGCCTTTATTATTCGACGAAGTTGTATTCAATTGAAGGTCTTTCTAAAGAAACATATATATGTCATACAAATATATAAACAAACTGCAAATATTTAATTGGAATATGATGGTAAAGATATTCGATATTCTGATCTTCTCTCTTAATAAAAATTAATCTGTTATGCAATTTTATTTTTAATGTTGAAACTGAATTGTTTATTACATTACAGTTAGAAAAAAAACCAGAAAGAAAATAATAATACTAATTAATAGAATGATAAAGTCAATATATATATTATAATATTAATTTTTGTATTAAAGTATTCCAAATAGATGGTTTTCGTAATGTACTTATACATACATATATGTATACAATCTCTAATAATATAATAATGAGATGAAAGATTCAATTACAGTAACAAATGATTTGAATAATATATAAATATCCAAATTATCTCGCTAAATTCGGTCAATAAATTTCTTCTTTGTGAATAATATATAATCGATAAGCTTAACAGGTTTTGTTAGATTATGACATTGCAATTGCAATGAAATAGCTAATAGTGCATTTACAGTACATAATTAATATTGACGTAACAATGACACGAAATATTTTTGGAAATTGTAATAAAAAAAGGAAAGCATTTACGTGATAATTTTTAATAACAAATTAAAAAAAATATCCGCACAATTTAGCCGCATGGATCATCCGAATTGAAAGTGCAGATATATATTTCGAACGATGTGGTCTTCTTTATGTAATATTATATTATAAAAAAATGAGAATAAATACGTGGATATTTTTACTAAGATTTTTATTATCGATATATATGTCACATTCGCTCGTAATACTTCCATGATACCTTTGTATATCATCAACATTAATTAGAATTTTATCGCAATATACTTTATGATTAGTGTTATAACAATTACAATCGTTGTGTGTATTTTAATTGTTATGTGTGTAATTGACAATAATATATGTGCAAATGAGACGAGTCAATTGTGCAGAATTTTACAAAAAAATGTTAAAAAAACTTATTCACGAAGTTATAAGTGATATCTGTCATAATTGTAATGTATCAAATGATTATATCGAATAATATATATAATTAAAGATGATTATATACTTATTTCAACGAAATAATTTTATGAAAATTCTCTCTTATGTTATACTTTAAAAATTTTATAATCATATTATTAAAATAAAAATTTCATAATTAGTATTTAAGATCTAATTTAAAAGTTCACACATATGGTATATATATATCATAGATTGTTATTTATATTCCTCGATGAGACTTTTCAAGTTTCATCGTTTAAACACAGATGGAAAAAATAATATCAATCACGAACCTTTTTTAATAATCGTCAAATTTCGCTAGGTCAATTTTATTCAAGTAAAATTTAAGATAATATGTGGAAACGCGATATATATTTTAAGTTGAGCTGCCTCGCCCTTCTTATTCCTAAAATCTTATTTACATATCAAATATTTCTTCTTTTACAGATTATAATCATCACAAATTTCCAAATCATCGAACACTATGGTAGATAGAGTAGGTTTAATATTTATTTACTCGAATTATAGCATTATAGAGATAGAATCTATGTCAACCCTGTAACGTTACGCTAATTCCGTGGTAGAAGAATTTTATTCTGAGCCCTTGTAAATGCGACGTTTTACAATAAAACGTACATTAATTCTCACTACAATATAAATATTTTTGTTACACCTTTATATGGATCAACGATATCTTTACAGACGAAAAATGGGTATTTATCGAAGATAATACAGCTATTTCTGATTGTCTTTACGTATCTGTCTCTAACTTTCGTCAAAATACATCGATAACAACGTGAAACTGTCGAAAAAAATTTTGATTTAAAGTATTACACCTAAAATCCATTTTCTGTGATTCTTTTAAACAAATTCAAATCTCTCGATAAACCTCGCCGAACACACAAATTTTTTTGGTTTATTCCTGTCAATTCTATCATTGATATATTTTGGCGATTGGCAAATCGTTTCTATTTTCGGTGGAACTGATATTAAAGGAGAATGTCTAAAAAGTGCGATTTTTTTATCTCGAGCGGAAAGTAAAATTTGAGTTGTTTTAGGTCTCATACATCTAAAATAATGTAAAAACTATAGTGGTTTTCCTAGAAATGCAGAGAACATTTAAATATCATCATATATTTAGAGAAAATCACGTAAATCAATCTCGCAATAAATCGAGATTGCTTGATGTTTCAGTCGAATATTTTGGTAACATCAACTTTCCAAGATCATTTAGACCGATTTTAATGTCAGTCAATAATAAATTTATACAGGGTGTCTAACGTCTGACCCGGGCTCTTTATCTTGGAAACGACTTGAGATACGAAAAAATGTTTCAAACAAAAGTTGTAGGGTTTCGAGGGGAACATAAGATCGTGCCATTGATTTGACCTTGAATAGTCGTGTGAAGGTCACCTTCAATTTATTAAATGGAACTACCTATTTTTTATTACATATTCTTGTATGTTATTTCAAAAACTTTACAAAACCTACAGATAATTGTTTAAAAAAAAAGTAATATTCAACACGCAGCTGCATACTTTTTTTATAAATAATTATGTTTTTTTACACCAACTGATTGATCTCATTATTCCATGCAAAACAGTAATAAGGTACGATTACTAAAAACCGAATATTTTACATTTTATGTCAAAAAATTGTTAACTTTAAACCTTTATAACTCAAGAAGAACTCCATGAAAACATATATTTTAGTATAGAGTTTTGTAAAGCTTTTAAAATAACATATAAGAATATGTAATGAAAACTAGGTAATTCCATTTAAAAAATTGAAGGTGACTTTCACGTGACCTTCAAATGACTATTCAAGGCCAAATCAATGGCACGATCTTATGTCTCCCTCAAAATCCTACAACTTTTGTTTGAAACTTTTTTCGTATCTTAAGTCGTTTCCAAGATAAAGAGCCCAAGTCGGACTTTAGGAACACCCTGTATATATATTATATATTTAATTTATGATTAACTGACATTAAAATCATTCTAAATAATTTCAGAAACTTGGTATTACCAAAATATTTATCAAAATATTCGGATGAAACATCAAGAAATCTCGATTTGTTGAGATATTGATTTACGTGATTTTCTCTAAATATATGATGATATTTAAATGTTCCCTGCATTTTCAGAAAAAACCACTATGGTTTTTACAATATTCTAGATGTATGAGACCTAAAACAACTCGAATTTTACTTTCCGCTCAAAGTAAAAAAATCGCACTTTTTGGACATTCCCCTTTGTTCTATTTTTCTTTTCGCTTTTTACAATAGGATAAATCTACTGAAATTTTATATAGACTTTGTCTAATTGTGTCATCGATCTGATACTGTACACTGAATCATCGATCTATAATAAACTATCAAACATTTACATATATATCAATATGTTAATGTTAAAACCACAGAAATATATATGTATATTATACATATATCGGACTCATTTTAGATTCTATCGAATCAATATCTGTATGTAAATATTTAAATTGTAGAAATAAATAAATTTAATATAATAAATAAATAAATAATTAAATAGATAAATAAATAAATAAATAAATAATTTAATTTAATAAATAAATTCTCGCGTTTCGAAATAAAGTCTTTTCCTTTACTTTAAATACTTTTGATCGCTAAGAGAAGAAAGATTTGGTTTAATAATTAAATTATAATACAATTTTTTAATTAAAAAATTAAAGAATTAAAAAAATTATATATATACTAGATATTCTAAAGTATTCGTTTTACAACAGATTTTCTGTCTCTCTCGTATTCTCATTTAATCCTAGTTTAATTGATTTGATTATTTTTCCCTTTGTTAAGACTAAAATTAAAAAGAGGGCTGAGGAGTTAATTAAATTACAGTCGAAAATGACATGATTATTAATGAAACGGCGCATTTTGCGCCATTTAGAGTGTAGCTTTTTAAGGATACTAATAAAATGATTATTTGCTGGTCGAAAAAAAGTCTCACTTATAATTGAACGATAACTTTGGCCATTGAGCCGCTGCCAAAGAAATCTATGTACCCCATAATTATTGCTTCCGTTCTTGGTGAGTTTAGTCACCGAACTCTGCCTGACGGTGAGCGTAGGTGGGATTTTATGTAACCGGTTCGATAATCGATCACGTCGCGTGACGATCCGTCTGACAAGCCATGCCGGTGTCTCCTGCTCCACCTGCAAGCGAAAATTCTATTATCATTCGTATTCTGACAGTCGTCAACTAGAAATGTCAATCGGCATGCAAATTCAATTTCGGCGGAACAATTTCGCGTGAAAACTTTCAGATCTCTCCTTGATTTCTTCCATTAATTATGTATTAGAAAAATAAATGCAATTGTGAAAAGAGAATAACAGTAATTCTTTTCTATTATTGTTTCATTTTTTTTATTGTCATTTATATTTCAAGTTATCTGATTTAATAATTAAAACATTTATATATACATATGTATATTAAAAATAAAAATGTTTAATATATATACATGTAAACATATAAATATCTTAATTTTTTAATTTTACAACTTATAATGCATTATATCGTATATATATTCTTATAATGCTGTATTAAATAAAATGCAATATATGCAGGATTTTTAAACAAGTGTGGAAAACTTTAGGAGATGACTCTTTATCGAAAATTAAGGGGAATTTTTATATAAAATATATACTCCTATATTTATATAATTTTATCTAAAATTTTGGACAAATTAAAAAATAAAATTCAGTGAATATTTTCTACCAGTAAAAAGGATATGTATTAATATTTTTATAATCTGCTCGTATCGTCATAAGGGGATAAAACTAACAACTCGTATTCAATTTTTATTAAAACTTTTGAATCGACTAGAATGTAATCACCTAAAAATATGCGTTAGGTAGCTTGATTTCTAACAAAATTTTTTTATTTCTTTTATTTTTTTATATAAAATAAATCTTTTTTAAGAAAAAAAAATAAATTTTTATAATTAAACTAATTTTTATCTCCCTCTTTGAAGGAATTTAAATCCTTAGAGAAGGATTCCAAGTAGCAAACTGACGTCAAAATGACATCATTCGACGTCAAAATGACGTCATTTTGACGTTTAATTATGTCAGCTTGCTACCGAGGATATAGATTAAAATATGTATATTTATATGAAAAATTTTTTTAATTTTTGACAAAGAATTATCTGCTAAAATTCTTTGCACTTATTTAGAGAAATATTCTACATATAGCCTTTTATTTAATATAAGTAATGTCAACAAGAAAATGTAATAAATTTAATTTATTACTGTGTGTCTCGAACTTGGAATTAGAATGCGTGACGTTTCTTATGCGTGTAAATTATATACGTTACCTTTATATTTAAAAATTTTTTTTTTTTATACATTTATATAAAATGTCAAAAAATCTTCACGCGAAAGAATCAAATTTATATCTATCGCAGTCACGGAGATCCCATTGTTACGTGAAAATATGTATTAAAATTTTAATACTTACATAATTTTTTTAATATAAATAAATTGAAAAATAATTTTCTCATTAATAACTATCAATGAAAAAATCATCATTGAGAATTAATTATAATTAATAATCGATTGTGTCACGATATAGTATGGGACCGTCCGTTTTTGCAAGATATCCAATTAACGAGCTGAACCACAATAATAATAAGTAATTGTATCATCGAACAGCATAAACAACAAATGTCGCAATGCTCCATTCCGAAAATTTGCATGGCACACACACGGAGAACAATGTATATATATATATATATATATATATATATATATATATAATAAAAATAATGTTTTTATATTTTTGGAACACATCCACACGAGACAGAATAACTAAATGAACCACTACAAACAAGTAGATGCGAAGAAAAAGACAGAGGGAGAGAGAGAAAGATTTAAAGTTTCAACAAAGACATTCCTCATTGTGCTTTTATATACAGGATATCTCAATAATTCATGCTAACCAAGTCTGTATCAATAAAATCTTCTCTTATTAAAAATATATGAATTTGACATTTTCAAAGTTATAAAAAAAGGTGTGCAAAATCTTATTTTTCAATCTCAATTAGCACACTAAAAAAATTATTAAATTAATAAATATTCATTTCAATATTGCCCAATAAATCATTTATTTAAAACAAATAAATATTTTTCACATTAAATCAATATTATTAATTTTAAACAGATTTGGATAAGTTAAGTAAAGCTTGACGTCAGATTTCACGCGCACTGATCTTGCTTGGTTTTTGTCGTCAATTTGACATCAAGTCATGCAGTAATTTGCTTGCTTTCTGCTGCCAATCTGTTGTCGAGTTTTGTTAGCAATCTTTGCTCGATTTTTGCTGCCAATCTGCTAGCTTAATCAAGTAATAATAATTCTTATAGCCAAATTGTTGCCTTTTTGTTGACAATAATTTGTAGCAAGTATTTGACAAAATCTATTCGCGCAAACAGACTTGGCTGACTGAGCCGTTTTCCTTTTCTTTATTATATTAAGCAGCTCGCGTTTCCTGTTAACACGTCTTCGTTTTCTATTCTTGCCGTCCATGACACTCTAAGGATCCTGCGATACAGCCACACTTCGAAGGCTTCCAACTTGTTGATAGCGCTCACTTTCAGAGTCCATCCCTCCATCCCATAAAGGAGCACCGATTAAACATAGCATTTCACGAATCTTATTCTCATATCAAGGTTAAATTCCGAACAGGTCAACACTCTCCTTAGTTTTAGGAATACCTGTCAAGCCTGTTCTATGCGACATTTTATCTCATTGTCTGATGTCCAATCCTCGAAAAGCCATATTCCCAGATATCTAAATTTGCTAACCCTTTCCATGGGTCTAGCATCACATGTTATATACTGGAGTTGTTGAATGCATTCCGTTCTCTGGTCACGACCATAAATTTCGTCTTTTTGGAATTGATGTTCACATCCATTGACTTACTGTGTCGTCCTGCTACATTAACCAGGCGCTGCAGGTCGTCTATATTATTGTCAGCTATTAAAACCGTGTCGTCAGCGTAGCGGATGTTATTGACCCACGCTCCATTAACCTTAATCTTTATTTCCTTCTCCTCCAGGGCCTTTTGAAATATTGTTTCTAAATACAGATTGAATAGGAATGGCGACAGCACGCATCCTTGCCGTACCCTTCTCCTAATTTGTATGGAGATGGAAATATCTTCGCCCACTTTCACCCGTGCCGTTTAGTGCCAGTATAGACTTTCAATACATCGGATGTCTTTTTGGTCTACATCAAGTTTTTTGAGGAGTAGCATTAACTTGTGATGTTATACCCTGTTAAATGCCTTTTTACAGTCCAGGAAACACAGACATATATCCTTCGTGAGGTACCCTTTGATCGTAGCAGTTCTGGACCAGAATTTGCGTTGCCACCAGTGCCTTTCTTCTGCCTATAGGCCTTTCCTAAACCCAAACTGTGAGTCACTTATATCCCTTTCATACCTTCTATAGATCCTTTGGTGTATTATTTTTAAGAATATGTTTAAGATATGACTCATTAAACTAATGAGTCTGTGATCCTCGCATCTTTTTGCATTATTAGTCTTTTAGGCAGTGGGATAAAAGTAGAAGTCAGCCACTGCTCCGGGTAACGATCAGTGTCATAAATGATGTTAAATATTCCCAGCAAACACCGATATATAATTGTTACATTGCTACAATAAAACGGAATATAACAGGTAATATAACGTGTACGTTACATGTAACATCCATGTTAGTTGTAATTTCCCACTCATAGATGCAACATTTTAATATAACATATATTACGTTGTAGTTATATTGTAATTATATACCAAATAGCACATTGATGTATTGATAAGTCAGTGCTATCTTGGGATATAATGACAATATAACTACAATGTAATATATGTAATATTAAAAATGTTACATCTATGAGTGAGAAATTACAACTAACATATACGTTACATGTAACATGCTTGAGTATATAACATTTATATATTGTGTTTGCTGGGTTTAGTGTACTGAGGTGATGCCTTTCTCGTCCAGGAGCTTGAGTATTTCTGATGGAATTCCGTCCGGCCCAGCTGTCTTCTTAGACTTCTCGATCCTTGTATGGTATTTTCTATCTCCTCCTTGATGATTGAGCCCAGCAAATACCGATATATAATTGTTACATTGCTATAATAAAACGGAATATAACAGGTAATAACGTGTACGTTACATGTAACATCCATGTTAGTTGTAATTTCCCACTCATAGATGTAACATTTTAATATAACATATATTACATTGTAGTTATATTGTAATTATATACCAAATAGCGCATTGATGTATTGATAAGTCAGTGCTATCTTGGGATATAATGACAATATAACTACAATGTAATATATGTAATATTAAAAATATTACATTTATGAGTGGGAAATTACAACTAACATATACGTTACATGTAACATGCTTAAGTATATAACATTTATATACTGTGTTTGCTGGGAGTTTTCTTCTCCCTTATCTTCGCGGGTCTGTCATCGTAAAAAAGGTCTTCTATATATTCTTCCCATACTTTGCGTTCTCTTTGCCGTCGAATATTCAATTGTTTTTGAGTAGTATCTGATTTGTCGACTATTACATTGGCTCTTCTTCTCTTGTATAATCCAGCAGCCTTCTTCAGCCTTTTGTGCAGGTTGAATTCATCATGTTTGTTTTGCAGTTGTCCAATTTCGGCGCATTCTCGCCTGAGCCACTTATTTTTGGTTATTCTTATTTTCGATTTTATTTGCTTTTGGGTGTTTATATATTTATCGTTGTTATTCCTCTTATATTTTCGGCGCTCATCCATCCACAATAGAATCTTATCCATCATCCATCTCTGTTTTCTGTCTCTTGGTCTAAATCCCAGCCTGTCGTGTAATGTTTGTTACAGCATTCATTATCTTAGACCACGACTGTGTTAAGATTAAATTAACTAAAGTTAAATCAAAAGTTAATTTTTAAAAATATATTTGTATTAAATTAAAATTTTGTTTGTTAATTCTTTGAAAATTTATAATAACAAATGACAAAGAAATTTAGATTTTTATATAGAAATATATTTTTTGGTAATTACAAATTAATGACAAATAAATATAAAAATTAATAATACTTTAATTTAAAAATAATACGTTTATGACATAAAAAAAATAATGGTATTCAGAAAAAAATTTTACTTAGGAAAAAAGTTAATAAGTTTAAGGTAAAAAATAATTAATTGAAGTTAAAAATTAATACATTTTAAATTAACTAAGCTAAGTTAAAAGTTATTAACTTTTAACTAATATTAATAAGTTATTACCCTGGTTTAAAATAAATGATTTATTAGGCAGTATTAAAACAAATATTTATTTGAATTAAATACTTTTTTTTTTCAGTGCAGAATTTTAATGTTTCACCTTCTTACTACCATTGAAATAAAATATCATAAAGAACAAAACATTATTAAACAAAAAAGTGGTAAATATATCCTGTATATATTCGCTACCAACGCCTTAATACACTACATCATGGCATCAAAATCGCTTAGCCGCCTAGCTGGGAGGAGTCAATCAAAGAAGGATAACATTACGCAGCTCAATATATAAATTCAGCGCCTTCGACTGCCATTGCTCGCTCAAAACAAAATATCAATCCTTGCTCAATGATCATCAATAATTAACCCAGCATTTCCCTATACACACAGAATCTCGAGCGACACCAAGAACACCAAGACCACTATATTCAATAACACGACGCTCTACTTCGTCGCCAGCCAACTATATATGTCATCGCGCTCGATCATCCGATCATCTCCGATCATCATTATCATCCTGATCACCTGATTTCCTACCTGATTTCTCTCTTACCGCGTCGCGCGTGGCTTCGCCACCAGCCTGATAGTTCTCATACCTTGCTGCTGATTACGAGGATCGTGCGAGTAGCTGTTGCTGACGACGCTGGTGTTGTTGGAGGTTGAGGGAGGGAAACGGCGTGATTGGATTTCGGAGATCGAACTGTACTGTTGGGAGTTGTTAACGTGACGAGCGGCCGGCTGGTTACCACCGCCGCTGCTGCTGTTGTTGTTGTTGTTGTTGTTGTTGCTGATCGGCAGCAGAGTCTGGCCGTCCCCGTGAGCGGCGATCACGCCGTAACTCCTCAGACGTTGCTGACGTTGCTGAAGAGAGGCCGCGCGACCCCTAAGAAAAGTCCTGCCGCCCTGCCGTTGGCCGCCTCCCGTGATACTGCATATATATACATCAAGCCCGAGACTCTCATCAATCGATCATCGTCTCTCGATGGGGGATGCCTCCTTTCGATTGCGATGTGTCTCGTCGGTCGTTTTTTTTAAATATAATTTTGGGAGAAACTGGCCGCGCGTTGAATGGCGATCGAAAGTCTCTTACTTGAGAATTATACGTTCCTTTTTCGTGCTCAAGTTAAATTCAGGGGCGAGTCGAGGTGTGCGAAGGGAGGATGTGTCGTAGAAATTCGGCGAGTTTTCGTTAAATGGTTTTTCTATCCAGCTAGCGATTGTATAATCGAATTTGACAGCGAGCGATTGATGATTCCGATTTTTAATCTGTTGCAGCATCGCGTCACAATTTTGAGAAATTTAGAATTAAAATTGCAAGATTATTCTAATTTGTTTTATCATGTTTTATAATTATAATGTAAGATGTTTTTGGTTTCAAGCAAAATTAATTGTAATATATAATGGAATTAATATAATAAATCAAAATTTAAATATTCAAATTTTATCAAAAATTTAGATGAAAGTTTGAAATTTTTAATTGTGTAGGTATAACTTAAATTTTAAATACTTTAATAATTTTATATCTTTTGAATTCAATTTTGACATTATAAAATTGTTCAGTTTAAATAATTATAATTAAACTATTTGGTAGAATTACCAATAATTTAATTTGCATTTTTTTCATAATAAATCATTAATGTTATATATATATAAATATTAATTGTAATCAATACAATAAATTTCTTTATTTGAAAGCTAAACAGCTTAATAATAAACATAATTTTGATTGAACATTTTTTTAAATATCTATTATAGAATATGAAACATATTAAAATAGCTTCTTATCTCTCTCTCTCTCTCTCTCTCTCTCTCTTTAATCACAAATTTTGCAAAATTGTGACACGATGAAATGATTTAAAACACGGAATTCTATTCAGCGTCATGCTATTCTTTTTCATGTGTTAAATTTTTCTAATTTTTTTGTAAATAAAAAAAGCATAATTTACATTATATAAAATCGAATTATTATTCTATAATCATTAGATTTGCAGTCTTTTATATAATTCTACAATAAAAAAAATATCTAAAATACTTATTTTGTTGTTCAAAATATAATTATGTATAAAAAATATATAAACAGTCCTATTAGAAACATTCATTCTATTTTTATCCTTATAAATTCAAATGAATTAATTGAAAAAATGTATATTACAAATTCTCTAAAATACTGAGAAAATTATATAATTAATTTTGACTCAAATAGTTTATAGTACACAAACGTCACAGAATGTCTACGACAGCCGAATTACTAATAAATCAATCAGGCGGGACACTGGGGCAAACATACAAAAACATGAATAAATTATATATATTGAGGGAAAGAATAGATACACCGTTCCAGGATGCTTTACGAAGAGACGATCGTCAAAAGGCAAGCAATCTCTTAAGATTTCCGAGGAGACAAAATATAAATGACGGATCAAGTCATGAATCTAACACGTGTTTTATTATCGATCCAATTTTGAATAAAGATTCTGGATGAATAAGAATGATTGCTGGCATACAAAAAATATATCGAATGCATCAAATTAAATGACTGAAAAAAGCAAATGATATCGGGAGAAAAAGAAGCGTGAAGAAGAGGCATACCGTTTTGCTTTTTAAGAGAAAAATAATCCGATGAGAAATAAGCCAAGCTCACACGTGTGCATGCAAAATGGAGAAAATTGAAAAATGTTATAAATCATGCGCCTATTACTGACACTTATACCGCTTGCTCTTTTACAGAAAATTCATCGGAAAATCAACTAATTTCTTCATTACGTTTCTCTCATTTTTATTATTTTTTACTATTCCTTTTTACTATTTAAATAATAGTTTTCAATAGATTATAATCTGCCGTATAAATAAAAAATTTTTTCAAATTAAATCTAAAGAATAAAATAATTTTAAACAATACATAATTTAATCAATAAAATAAATTTAAACAATAAAATAAATTTTCTTACACATGGATTACCCGAAAAGAGGATGAATTTTCGGTAGAAAGCAAGAGCAAGACGTATGAGATGTATTTTCTTACCTTGTACTGTGACTCATGAGGACTACGTTTCTGTAACAGCATATAATGGATCCTGATTGTTGGGAAGCGAGTGATGAAAGTGTCGACATTGATTTCACAGACAACAAGCAGCTTAAGCGATTTAATCATTTTTATTTTTTCCAATTTTTTTAAATCTAAACAATTCAGATTCTACCGAATAAATGTATTATTAAGTATACGTTAAAAATCTGACAATCATTTTTTGCACGATTTTCCTATAGCAAGAATAAAAATTAATATTTAGGTAAATTATGACAAATATTTAAGTATTATAAAATATTTAAAAAATTAGAAAATTTTACGTATCACGTTGCAGATAAATTCCAACAATGCCATATAAATTTCTTGATACATTTAAGGTTTTCTTTGTAAAATTAATTTTTTTAAACCTTGTGCTGACTGTTGGCAGAATTATATTTAAAAAATGACAAAAAAAAAGTTATTTCAATTATTTATGCTTCGGAGATATTCTGAAGTGTGGTTTAAAAAATATTAGGGGAGGAAGAACTAAACATAAGGTAAGTTTGGCTCACATATATAGATTAATATTTTACGCTGCATCTAAATATATCACTGGCATTTATACGAAAGTTTTTTTACCCCGATTACATATCACTCATGTATGTATATGTGCGCTGCTATATATGTATATAAAATATATATGCTCATTTAATTATATACTTTAAACCTGTAATATATTCCAGGCATCCTGTAAAACAATATTAGTGCTGGTCTTTAAATTTTTCTGTATTAAGCGTGACGTGTGCGCGAGTTTTACCTCTAAATGCGAAAGAAAATCGCATAATAATGCACAATTCGCTTCGGCTGATATATCTATGCAGCAAAATAAAATATTTCGTATATGAAATCTGACATATGTTGTCGTATGGAGCTGCAAAGCTGCAAAGGGGTGGCTGATGAGACGCAAAATAAATTCAAATGAATTTGCGCTTCGAAACAAAATTCAAATCAAAACCGATTAAGATTTCTCTAAAAAAAAGAGGAAAAAACGATTGCAAGTGATATAAAAATGATGAAATTGGACAAAAAAATTCTTAACCTTCTCCCATATTTTTTTAACGATCGCGTTTGATCAGGCGACTCTTTTTTTTGCGACGAAAGGGAGATTTTTAAAATATAAATTATACGTTGTGCAAAAACGGATTAATAAAACTTTTCTCTTTTAGGAAACGCGTTCTATGTTATTTTACCAAAGCAATTTGTAAAATATATCTTACGCTCTCAAAAAATCGAAAGAACTAAGGCAGCTTAAATGGTACTCGTATAAATATATATATATGTATATATATATATATATATATATATATATGTATATATGTATATACATATATAATATTCATATATATACATAGATATATATGTCAAGCACTCTACTTGAGTGAGACTACGCGCTGCCTCTATTCTGGTGCCAAACAAGGTAAAAAACGACAGTTCGTATCGTTGCAAGAATAAAGAAAAATAGAGAAAGAGAGAGATAGATAGGCAAAAATAGGATAGAGAACTCTCTAAAAGAACTAAGGACTAAAAGAGAAAAAATAAATAAACTCCGGATTAAAAGTGCATACCACAGAACCGCATTGTATATGGGATACAAGTTAAGAAAACGTACCGGAGGAGTCTCGTTATGTAATCGGGCCAATTATCCGGAAACATCACGAGGAAGAAACCGACCGCTATGAAGATCATTCCCGCCAATTTCATACCCATAAAGTACGCCCCGTAGAAAATAACGTCCAGTGCTGCATCAATTATATATAACGATTAGTAAGATCATTCTCGGGAAAAATTTTTTATGTATAACTATATATAAATAATTGTATAATTATACATATAATCGTAAAATTATATGTAAAATATGTCCATTTTTATACATAATTATATAAATTTATACATAATTTATAAGGGTTCATATATAATAATGTCAAATTATATATGAAACATATATATTTATATATTATAAAGAAATATACTTTTTTATTATTTATGTATATAAATTTATATAATTATTATATATATATTTATATAATATAATTATATTATATTTATATATAATTATTATATATATTGTATATAAATTTATATAAAAAGCACTTTTATCTAATTATGTATGGACATATTTCATATATAATTTTGCGATTATGTATATAATTTTATATATTTCTATATATATTGTTATATATAAAAAATTTTTTGCGAGTTGAATAATACGTGAATAAAAATAAATAAAATTAATGTTTTATTCTAAATTTATGCGCGAATAGAGAATATTTCTATTGTATTCGCGTTCATTTTTATCAAGTAGTTTTAATTTACAATTAATTAATTTAATTGAATGCATTTTAATTTTATTCATTAAAAATGTAATAAATTTATTTAATTCCTTTTATTTAAAATTTAATGAAACTAGCTTACTAAACTTATTTAAATTAATAACTTACAAATTAAATTACATTAAATCAATTAATAATTTTGCACGTACCAGCGGACACAGGTACAGCTGTGATTAATCCAAGAGTGATGAACAGATCGTAAGTGAGGGCGATGCTGAAATTGCCGAGCATATTCGCAACTGCAAACAAATCGTGCAAAATCCATATTAATCACGAGAGTAAACTCGTTCATGTATAATTAAGTAGTTTAGCTCAACGTGAGCTCGCACCTAAATGGAGGATGCTGGCGGAGAGTAACGCTGCCCAGGGTAGCGTTGCCCAATGCATGGTTTCCGCCCCGGAAAAGTACAGAGCCAGACAAATCGGCCACAACAAGGCGGCATTGCATAAACCGATGAGGGAGAAAAAAAAAGACATTTGACCGAACGTAGTTTCTCCTATTACTTTCTTAAAAAGAACCTGAAGGAAAATAATTTTTATTTAAAAGTCGAATCATTTTTATTTAAAGATCTTCAACATCTTGCAGTTGCGTAAATATATTCAGGGTTGGATAGCTAGTTAATTAGTCAAAAGTTTTAAAAAACGTAATAACTTTTAATTTATCTTAGTTAATTTAAAATGTATTTATTTTAAACTTCAACTAGTTATTTTTGAGCTGTTAAATTTTTTATCTCTGAATATTATTATTGTATTTCATAAGTTATAAACGCGTATTATTTTTCAAATAAAGTATTATTAATTTTTATGTTCTTTTGTCATTAATTTTAATTACCAAAAATATATTTCTATATAAAAATCATTGTTATTATAAATTTTAAAAGAATTAACAAACAAAATTCTAATTTAATATAAATAATGTTTTAAAGAATTAACTTTTATTTTAACTGCAGCCAATTTAATCTTAATTTAAACTAAGTTAATTTTTTGTTCGTGCAACTTTTAACTTAACTAAATTAATTTTATAAGCAACTAACTTTAACTTTATTTAATTAAAAAAATGATTAACTTACCCAACTCTGAATATAAGTATCACATATTGCTTACTTTGTAAACGGCAGAGCCAGCTGCCGCTGCTGTAGCTAGAACAACACCTCCGAGGGTCGGACTTCCGGTTATACCGTCCATGTAAGCTAAAAGCGCGATGCCGGTATTACACAGGATTACCGCGACTATCTGTAACAAGATTTCAAGAATTTGATGAAAAAATTAAAATCTTGTAAAAACTCAAAAAAATGCATTCTACAATATTAGTAATAAAAAACATCACTTTTTAATTTTTAATTTAAATATTATTTAAAAAATTTTTAATTTGCGATGCTATCTTTATACAAAAAAATTTAATATCCTTTAAACATAGAAAATTAATTTTTTTATATTGATTCTTATAATATTAATAAAATTTTATATAAATAATCTTTTTTATATAAATTTTTATATAAATAATCTATTAATTTACATAAAAAATTTAACATTATTTAACATTATTTATACGTACATAAAAAATTAATTTTTATATTAATTGTTATAATGTTTTCAATAAATAATCTTTTATTTATGTAAAATAATTTAACATCCATAATATAAAAAAAATAAATTTTTATATTGAATCACATTATTTAATAAATAACATTTCTCTTTTTTCTTACAGCATAAAAATGACCTACTAAATTTTATTAATTTTTAAGAAAATTATTATCGATTCTCTTTCTCTTTTTTCTACTATCGAAAAGATAAAAAAGGAAGATATAATTGTTTTAAAATTACTAACCCTCACACCCACAAATTGCTCGTGAAGAATGACCCACGAAAGCAGGTAGACGCAGGAAACGTTGGTCGCGAATAATGCCATTACATCCGTGGCTAACAATATTCGTAACGAAAGTATATACAGGTAATTAGTGATGACCCACAGACAGCAGAAGAGACTACATCTGAGTAAGAAGCGGCCACCAGTGAAGCCCTTATCGCGAAAGCCGCGTAGACTCTCGACTATTATTTCGGAAGGGCTGGCGCATTTAGTTCTGGTAGCCCGACAGATGAAGTACACCGGGAAGTACAGGACTTCCCAGTTGGTGCAGAACCATGTCGTGAAGAAGGGTGCGTCGTACGCAAGAGTGATCTGAAGTTATCGTAAAATGTCATCCTTAAATAGGAGGATTATTGCATTTTATTATTATAACATAAAAATAAATCTAACAAATAAATTATAATTAGATTAATAAACATAAAATAATTTTTAATTAATTAATCAATTGTATTTCAAAAGGCTATGATATATTATATCAATCTTATTAGGACCTTTACATGTTTGAACGTATCTTAAAAATTTTGCGTTCTAACAAGCTACACCCTTCAATAAAATTAATAATATTATTATGGATCTTAAAATATTCAATTTTATTTTATTACTAGGTAAGAATTGTTATTAATTATTACATGTATACTAATTTCAAAATATCTTCTATATATAATTAAATTCTAATATACTTATCTGTCAAAGTAATTTTTTTTCTATCATGAAATGTCATCGTAAAAGAAGAGGAAAAATATAAGAAAAAAACTTAATAAATTTGATTTGTGAGATAAGTAAGCTCACATGCTGATGAGGCAGGTCGTTCGCGGAGGAATTTGCGGTGACGGATGTCTGCGAGATTTTGTCGGACTTATGAAAGTACAAATATTTGATGCAATGAGTTGCCCCGACCCAACTTGCTGTCACGCATATCGTCACACACACCCCGAAATATATCTGCAATTGAGAATAACATGATTCAATAAAAAATAACTTTTTTCGAATACAAAAACAGAGCAATAATTTTTTTAGATTTTTTGAACATTTTCGGTTTTCAAATTATTTTATTAGTATTTTATTATGTGTAAATAAAAACTTTTGAAAAAATCTAAAAATTAAAAAAATTTTGATATCTATCATTATTTTTAATTTGTCAGTTTTCATATCAAATGATTTATTATTCGTCGACATTAAAAATCTTCAAATTTGAATATAAACATACCTAATAGAAAATTATAGATCTTTAATCTAATTGCAACTTTTTAACAATAAATCTCATAATTAATCATGAATATTTTATTAATCATAATTGACAACAAATTTCTTTCAAACAAAATTCTTCAGGCATTAATATTAAAAATCACAATAATATACTTTATTCTGAAAGCTTTTTTAATACGTTATAATTATAACATAATAATTGAGCTACAAGATGAAACTTGTAATCGACCTTTTTTGCGCTCTCGGCGCAGCAGGAAGCGAAACATGTCGAGATCGAGCTCGGTCGTTGAACGACCGCCGGGGTCGGAGTCGAGGTCACGTGAACCGATGCTCGAGTTTGGGCCGTCGGTTGAGTTTGCACACTTCCGGTCCCGCTATCACCGCCGCCTCCGCCTCCGCCGCCGCTTGTTACGGCACTTCCGGTGGTCTCCAGAGTGCGACAACTGGATCCAGAATCGCCACGTCCATCGGCGACGGTGCAACCTTGCTGTTGCTCGCATCCTAAAATATATTCTGATGATCCACTGAATCTTCATCTCGCGGGAACTTTATCTCACAACGAAGATATTTCTATCTGAATGTGTGTTCATTTGCAAAAGGAATTTTATAGACATAAATGTGTGTATTTAGCATGTATTTTACATGTATTTTTGTTAACTGAACTACCATCCATAATTTTATATACTATTTTATATTTTTTATAATATTAATTTTATATATTATTTTATGTATTATACATATAATATATATATATATATATATATATATATATATATATAATTATAATTTTTGATAATATATAATATATAACATTATTTTATAATATATAAATGATATATTTTCAAATACTTTAAAATATATGTATAACATATAATAAATAAAATATTTTATCATATGTAAATAAGATTATTTCTTACATATGTATTTATTTAATAATTTCATTTAATCTAACCGAATATAATAATGCGCGCGAAGCAAAGTTATATTATTCTTTGATAATAAAATCTCAAAAATTGCAACGCATACATAAAAAAGATTATTGCAATGCATGCATAAAAATTCAATATTTAAATCTTTAACAGAGAATAAAAATATAGAATTTTTGTTCATTTATACCCCACATGTCCGTCACACTGCGCGGCTTGCGCGAGACTGATTTTCGTGCGAGGTATCGCGAGCGCGAAGCCGAGATCACGTGACCATTGGGACCCACTGGTCATGTGACCAACGGTCCCGCGCTCGCGATACCTCAAACGAGAATCGAGAATCAGTCTCGCGCGAGCCGCGCAGCGTGACAGATATGTGGAGTATAGTCTCGCGCGAGTCTAATAAAAGCGTGGATATTTTGATCACAAAAGATTCTTGTAGAAAATTCTATTTTTTGTTCGCATTTTCTGTTAAAGATTTAAATATTGAATTTTTATTACATACATATTTTTTATGCATTAATTACGCAATTATTTTTTTTATTTTTACTTATTTTTACTTTTTACTTTTATTAATTTTGATTTCATTATTATTATTTTATTTTTATTTTTATAACTTTGTTTTGCGGGCGTAATTATATATATATATATATATATATATTCTAACTGAATATATATATTCAATCTAACTGAATATATATATATATATTCAGTTAGATTGAACAAAATGAGAAATATATATATATATATATACACTATATGTATATTATCATAGATTTTGTGCTCCAGGCAATGGAAAAAGCTACGAGATCAATAGTATATTTATTTGCTCTTCGAAATAAAGCCGTGTACAAAAGATGTGTTATATGTGTGTATGTGAGTGTACAAGCATGTTTTTTTAACAGCTTTAAGTGATACGACGTGCGCAGAGCTTTTCGTCGAAGCATATCTTATTTCGAGATTTTTGCAATCTTATTTTTATACTAAAGGCAAACTAATTTCAGCAAGCTGAAATATTACGCGCGTATACTGTGCGAGCACATCATATGAAATTAAAAGAGGCTGATATCAATACTGATAACTAATAAAGACCCAATATATGTATCAGAGTTGGGTAATAACTAGTTAATTAGTAGTTAAAAGTTAAAAAAAGTTAAAAAGTTAATAACTTTTAACTTAGTTTAGTTAATTTAAAATGTATTAATTTTAAACTTCAACTTGTTATTTTTTATCTTAAACTTAGTAATTTTTTCCTAAGTTAAATTTCTTTTATTTCTGAATACCATTATTGTTTTTTTACAAAGTTATAAACGTATTATTTTTAAAATAAAGTATTATTAATTTTTATGTTCATTTGTTATCAATTGTAATTACCAAAAATATATATTTCTATATAAAAATCAAAACTTCTTTGTTGTTTGTTATTATAAATTTTTAAAAAATTAATAAACAAAATTCTAATTTAGTATAAATGTTTTTAAAAATTAACTTTTAATTTAACTTTAATTAATTTAACCTTAATTTTTTAATTTTAACCGAGTTAATTTTTTGTTCATGCAACTTTTAACTTAACTCCATTAATTTTATAAGCTTAACTTATACCCAATCCTGATATGTATATATAGGCTTTCTTGGGATTCTAAAATTTTTATAAATACGCTACAAAACACTATGAATCCACCGGCGTTAGATCTATTACATTCTCCAATCGATATTGAAACAAGTCGACAGATCAAACTGACATCTTCCAACCATAGATTTTCCAGCTATAAACCAGTCTCTCTTCAGAAAACTTGAAATGAAGTATGGATCATTATTTGTTTCTAATATTGTCAATACGTGATAATTTAATTTTATAATTATCTTAAATTGGAATTATAACGACAAATCCGATTAAAATCCCAGAAAAAATCCATATAATCAAATATGTAATAATTAAATATATAATAAAATATATCCATATATGTTCTCTTATATACTCTGTTTGTTTATGCAAAAAAATAGTAAGAATATAATAGAAAAATAATTACAAAAGAGAGAGAGAGAGTGCATTTTTTAAAAATATAAGTGCAATTAGATTATACAATATAATATATAATTATATGTACATATAATTTCATATATGTAGGGGCAATTTTTTTCTCATTTCTTCATATTTTAATTTTTCTAATTAAAAATTATTTTTAAATTTGATTAAATATGGAATTTTTTCCCGAGATCAGCTTTTATTCTTTACATTATAAGTAGAATTTTAATTACAATTTTTACTGAGATAAAATCTTCCAATTTTTATCGAATAAACAGCAACATAATTAATTAAATAATTGTGTCACTCTTTTTAGCTTATTCTTCAGAGAATGCCTGTGTTCCAAAAAAAATAAATAGATAGGGGTTAACGCAAACTCCGTATAAAAGCGCAATTGTTAACTTACCTGCGTGGAGCGCAACCTGGATAGGTGTGATGAAGGGACCGTGAGTCTGTTGATCATCGCCGAGGATTATATTCGACGTACGCGATCGTCGGGGATGAAATATCGTCGGTACCTCACCAACCCCTCCGCTACCCATGGCTTAAGCGCGTTCTTTGAAACATGTCATTAGAGAGAGAGCGAGAAAAAAAATTTATATGTTTTCGCCACGCGACACCAGGCTACGTCACTTCGAGAAGCAGGGTTGGGTAAGTTAATGATTTTTTTTAAACTAACAAGGGGGGACTGGTCAAAAGTGTCCCTCACCGATTTTAATGAACCTTGAATATGTTGTAGAGCATTGAAAAATATTAGATCCGTGTTTTTCTTAATGGCGTATTTAGTCGTTTAGAGAGTAAAACACTCCCTTGAAAAAATCGTTTTTTTTTTTATTTCTAAGCTAATACCGTCGAAATGGTAAAAAATATAAAAAAATGTTTCAAATAAAAGTTTTATGGTTTTTAATATTCTTTAAAACAATGTAATCTTCAAAAATGTCAAATTAAAAATTTCAAATTTTTCCTCCCTTCTCCATAATTTGATTGCACTGTTTTAAAGAACATTAAAAATCATAAAACTTTTATTAGAAACATTTTTTTATATCTATCTATAAAAAATTAATTGAATTAAAGTTAAGATTAAATTAACTAAAGTCAAATCAAAAGTTAAGTTTTAAAAACATTATTTATATTAAATTAGAAATTTATTTGTTAATTCTTTTAAAATTTATAATAACACATAACAAAGAAATTTTGATCTTTATATAAACATATATTTTTTGGTATAATTACAATTGATGACAAATGAACATAAAAATTTAAAATACTTTAATTTAACAATAATATGTTTATAACTTATAAAAAAACAATAATGGTATTCAGAGATAAAAAAAATTAACTTAAAAAAAAGTTACTAAGTTTAAGATAAAAAATAACTAGTTAATGTTAAAAATAAATACATTTTAAATTAACTAAGCTAAGTTAAACATTATTAACTTTTCTATTTTTTTTAAATTTTTAACTAAAGAACCAGTTATTACCCAACTCTGTCAAAAAGGATGCGTCATCATGCGGGATTCGCTTGGGTGCAACTTGCAACGAGTTCGCTTTACGAATGCATTCGACTTGTTGATCCCCTGAGGTGCACGCGAACGATATAAACATCTCATCGACAACATGCGATACTTTATCGAGGGTATGTTTTTTTTCGTAAATTTCATTCTCCTCTATCAGATATTGACATGCAAGTGCATTTCGCGAACAAATAACGATGTGCACTGGGAGATGATTGCTGAAGATGAATTAATGTTCTGCGAAATATCGAAATGAACGAGTTTGAAACTGATGTATAATTGTGAAAATATAATTTTCAGAACATTTTTTAAATATAATTTAGAAAATAAGGATTTCAGAAAATATTAATTATTTTGTTACGATTGAATAAATGCAAAAATTATTTGTAGAATTCAATATCTGTGTGATTCTCGAGCATTTATTCGTGGATTAAATTAATTTTGTTATGTTTAAAATTTGATGATGATATTATTAGAACAGTTAAGCTATATTTGTAATAATTATATACCAGTTTTAAACTCTGAAATAAATTGCAATTAATTAGCAATTAAGCATTAAGTATTAAATTAACAGAAACCTACGTAAGTATGCGAATTTTACTGTGCACTCTATCTCTAGAACCAAAAGCATAAAATTAGCCAAATTAAAAAAGCTGACGTTGAATAGAGATATGCAATTCGGTGAATAAATTAATCTAAATTCGAAAATTGTATAAATAAATTTGTATCTCGATAATTCAAGATCTAATATCTATCAAAATTTCATTAACTTTTCATGATTAAACTAATTGAGCTGTACATAATTAAATTAATATTATAATTAAATATATAAATTAATATATAATTTAATATGTAATTAAATTAATAAGTTAATCAGGTAAACATCTTTACTTTGAAAATAAATGTTAAGATCAGCTTTAAAATATATACGAATTAAGGATCTTAACGAAATTTTGAAACTAGTGAACTTTGGTATTTAGCTATTTTTTTAAAATTAAATTATAATTATAATTAAATTAACATCAAGACATAGATAAAGATCTTAAAGAAACTAACTCATTGTATATGCAATAACTGACAACAATGATACAAATAGAATATAAAATTGTAATCATAGTTGATACCAAAAAAACCTCTTTTCTCCATTTATACATAAGTAAATAAATAAAATTACATCTCCCGGACTTTGTCAAGCTGATAAGTCGAATTCCTTCGATAAGATCGTGCACGTACCTTCCTTACGTCTCTCTTCCGAAGTCATGCCGCTTTCGACCTGTGACGTATCCATGGTTCATGGTCCACCCGGTTGATCCCACTGATTTTCCTCGGTGAACTCGATTACACCACGAGACCGATGTCACAACGACGGCATCATCCACTTTTTTCGCCGATTATTATCCAATTAAGTACGTCGCGAGTTTCTCGCGACGTACTTAATTAATCAACGACGTGGTCCGTCAGCTGTCAAAATCACAGCTGATCGATTTTAACCGAGTTATATCTCGCACGCGATCTCACTTCGAAGCGACCTTTCGCGACCTTCGATCTCTGGTGAATCACGCAGGAACGAGAGACGGTGATCTTTTTACGCGCAATAATTGTGGTCGTCGGGGATGATGTCTCGAGCAACCCTACTATGCCATTGATTGCCGAGCGAACCCTCGTAAGCAACGTTCGTTCACCAGGCCTTTCGCGTCTGCGCCTTGTGTCCAACCCGCAACTACCCTCCTATCGTCGTTGCTCCAATTACAACCCTTCTCTCGAAATGTAACCCGATGTACGAAGTCTCCCAAAATTCCATCTCAGCCGAAAAATTATTTTATTCAGTGCCTCGCGAAAGAATTTGTAACAAGATTTTTTTATAATTTTTTATATAATTCTATAATAAAAAATATTAAGGCACGTATAATTGGTATTTTACCACCCTGACCAAAATATTATGTTTTTAGCCGGTGCTTCGATAAAAAATGATTTTTGATCAAATAGACTTCTTTATTTATTATATTTTCTATTAATTAAATTTTACATTATATTTTCTATTAATTAAATTTTAATATTTTAATATTTGTTAAATAATTTTTTATATAATTTTAACCAAAAATATTAAATGAGTCACATAGTTGAAACTTTATTATCCCAGCCAAAAAATATTTTATTCGCTGCTTCGATTTGTAATAAAAATATTTTTTTTAATATTTTTTATCAATTAAATCAATACTCTAATGTTTTTTAAATAATATTTTGTATAATTGTAAAAAAAAATATTAAACAAGCCACACGTAGCTGACACTTTACTACACCAGCTAAAAAATATTATTTTATCGGATGTCTCAATACAAAAATTATTTTTGATATTTCTTATATTTTGTATCAATTAAAAACCAACATTCCAACATTTTACAATTTTTTTGTATAATTCTATAACAAAAATATTGAACAAGCTACGTAATATTTTATCATTCTAACTAAAGAATATTATTTTATTCAATGCTTCCATGCAAAAATTATTTTTAATCAAAAAAACTTCCTATATCAATTAAATCAACATTCTAATATTTTTTAATAATTTTATATTCTAACAAAAAATATTGAACAAGCCACGTAATTGATATTTTAGTGAAAAAATATTATTTTATTCAATGCATCAATACAGAAATGAATTCTTGAAAAACTTTTTATATTTTTCATTAATTAAATCAACACTATTTTAAAAATTTTTTGTCTAATAAAAAATATCGAACAAGCCTTGTAGTTAATAGATTACTTAAGGGATTCGTAATAAAATAATATTCAAATCTTTAACGCATCATAACATAAAATAATAGTGCAATTTTTTTCTCTTATTAAAATAATATGAAAACAATGATAAATACTGCGTTAAAAATCAATTTAATCAAAGATTTTGTAATCAAAATAGTAAAAAGATATTAATTGTAGAAAGCATTGGCTGTCGAATGTTGTTATTAAATAAATTAAAATATTATTAAATAAAATAAAATATATATATATATATATATGCGCATATTATTGTAGTTATTAAAATTTTATATAACAATATTATTTTTTCACCTTCTTATTTTCATGTGTAAAGTAAGTCTTATATTATTATTATTTGCACGTTTATATTTAAAGCAGCGCACGAACAGTATAATCATATATAATCGATCGTAATTGACTCAAAGCTAACTCTCTGCTCGCATTATAATATTCCAAGTTCTCTCGTGAGTCGCTCAAGAGTTTTTACAATTTTATTTCGCGTGATACAGACTCGAAAAGAGCTTTTTTTCTTATACATATTCATAAAATGCGGCAACATCCACTAATATGTCGTGATATGACATCATAAAGGGTTCACAAAAATAACGAAAAAGAAAAAAAAATATAAAGAATGTAAGTGAATTTCGAAGGGTTTCGTTGGAATAAGGAACTTGAGGAAAAATGGCAAAAAAAGAAAATCGATAAGTAGCTGAAAAAATATTTTTTTATTCCGTATCTCTTTTTTCTGAAATAAAAGATTCATATTAATTCTAAAGCGATGTACGTTTTCTCACTCATCTTACTTCGCTATTGATTTCAGCGTCACTACATCTAAGTAGGAAGATATGCGATAATCTATCGCGTTGTTTCTTCTTTTCTTTTTCTTTTTTGTAAGAAGGTATAAGTACAAATATATACAGGTATATATAAATAGGTATATACATTCATACACATTGTGTGTGATATGTGCTCGCGTGGTAAATTACAGATGGTCGAACGTTTTACAGTAATAAATGTACAAACTTTTTTTCGTATGTGTACAAAAATAAACAATGCATAAAATTAATCAAAATAAAAAATCATTCCGCCGGAGAAATAAAATAATATTTCTCTCGGATATAAAAAGATCAATTATATATATAATATGTTCTCTCATACATACACAATTCTCTAAAATTTGTATATCATTATTTATAAATTACAATTGGTAATCATAATGTAAAAAAGTAATAGATTTATTTTATATTAATAAATAAAAATGAGTTTATATTAATAAATATTGCGATATTAAATTACAATAGACAAACAAAAAGATTGTTGTAAAAATATTTATCAACGAATTACTCCCATCTATATTTGTACCACTATGACAGAAATTAATAAATTAAATAATCAATAACAGTCACAGAAAACTGCGATCTAATCGCAATTATATCGTAGAATAACACAGAAATTAATTCGAATATTATTCTCAAATTTTACTGAGTTTTTAATTGCAATTTTCAAGTAATAATTGAAAAATAAACAGTGAATTATCTTAATATACAAATTATGTGTACAAATGATTGTATAATAAATAAAAATAAAATCTCGACGGCAATCGGAGCCTATGCGGATGACATGCACAAAATTAATAAATTAAAATGAGATCTCAAGTCAAACTCATTTATTAAATTCTAAACGTTTCGACCCACTTCGGGTCTTCTTCAGTAGCTGCAAAATACAAAGAAACAAAAATAGAAGATATTCGGTACAATCAGAAAATTATAAAACTCGTATACATACAATCCGCAAATAAATTAAATATCATTCTCCTCCCTATTCAAACCGTCCGGCCGTCGGAGTGTCTCCCTAACGGTGACCATCGTCAGGAAGGAAGCGGAGCAGTGACTCCCTTACCAACACTAATCAACATGGTATAAATTAAACGTAGAACAATTCACAAGAATTAAAAATTAAGAACCGGGAAGAACACTCACCCCAACAGCAAAAACAGAGAGAAGACGATGCTACACGTGACACATCACTCTAACGACTGTGCGGTATTCTACCTCGACACAGTCGATACATATATACGCAAAAAACAAATATAAAAATAAAATATGAAAATAAAAATAAAAATAAAAACAACTAAACTAATCGGCACTCATGTCAAAAGTCTAACAAAAAAACCCGGCTATGTAAAATCACAAAGCTAGATTTTGGTAAATTTTTCTATTAACAGATCAAGATTCTCGTTTAATTTATCAGTGTCGCTATGTAAATTTAAACTATTCCTCTGACGTTTTATGTGGATCATTTCGGATATCAAACGTTTACCTAAAAAAGGCTCCTCGTCTAAGACTTTTACATCCTCCCAATTAAATTCATGGTTCAATAATCTATGTTCCGATATGACTGATAATTGTGACGCGTTTCTTTTTATGTTGTTGCGATGTTCTTTCATCCTAGTTTTCAACAATTTACCCGTCTGCCCTACGTACGACGCATCACAATCCATACAATCAATTTTATAAACTACATTATTATGGAGTTCTCTTGGTAACTTATCCTTGTGTACTTTAATGAATTTACGGAGACTGTTAATTGCTGTATATGATGGAATGACATCCAAATCACGTGTAATGTCCTCGATTCTCTTCGATACATTATTAATATACGGAATATTAAAGTACAAAACTTTTTTCTGCGTTAGAATCTTGTCATTGCATACATTTGATCTATTGTTATGCAACTTATTATTATAGCGGAAGAACAACTTTTTTAACCGCGCTTGTAATGTATGAAATATCAAATTGAGAGGATAATTATTAGACAAAAGAACTCCAATCATAGACTCAAAGTTAACTTTATGGAATTTCGGATGAGATAGCCAAAAAACTCTATCTATGAGGCTGATAATGGTGCCTTTTTTATGACAGAGAGGATGCTGCGATTCAAAATTTAAATATCTACCTGAATACGTCGGCTTATGAAACAAATCAAACTCAATGCTCCCATTATTTATAATAATGGTGACATCTAAAAAATTCAATCGGTTGTCAACCCCCTCCTCCATGGTGAACTGCAATCTAGGATGGAAAGAATTGAAAGTGTTTAAAACTATTTTAAGCATGGAGGGTGGGGCCGCCAACGCGATATCGTCAACATATCTAAAATAAAATGGAAATGACAATGGAATCGCAGCAATCGCTCTACTCTCCAAATCTTGCAACGTGATATCCGCAATAATCGGTGAGAGGGGGGAACCCATAGGCGTGCCAAAAGTCTGTTGATAACATACATTATTAAACATAAAATAAGTCGAGTTCATAATAAAACGAATTGCCAATAAAAATTCATCTCGTGGAATAATACACTCTTTTTCAATATACCCCCATCTGTTAATTAAACTATCAATAGCCATATCCAATGGTACGTTGGTGAACAATGATGTAACATCTAGTGAAACTAGCTTCACATCACTATCCACACATAAACCATTTAATTTGTTCACTAATTGGAAACTATCAGAAATAGCCGAATCAGGTTTCGGAATTGCCTTATATATTATCTTATGTAAAAATTTTGCCAAGTAATAAAGAGGTGTATTCCTAGATGACACGATGACACGTAAAGGGCAATTCGGTTTATGCACCTTCGGCAGACCATACGCTCTCGGTAAAACCCCGTCCGTGCAGTTCAGGGATTTATATGTTGTTGAAGAAATGTAATTCTTCGTTTTCCATCTCATTAAAATTCCGTGTAATTGATTAATTAGGTTCCTAGTCGGATCTTTTTTAACAACAGTATAAGTATCCCGGTCAGCCAGCAAATCGTTTAGAAAACGTTTAGAATTTAATAAATGAGTTTGACTTGAGATCTCATTTTAATTTATTAATTTTGTGCATGTCATCCGCATAGGCTCCGATTGCCGTCGAGATTTTATTTTTATTGTAACACAATAATTCGAGCCGAGATTAATAGTTTTTTTTATATTGTATAATAAATAATTAATATAATTATATTATATAATTATTTATAATATAATTATATTAATAATAATAATAATAATATAAATAGTATATTAATATAATTATATAAATAATATAAATAATATAAATTTGTATAAAATTAATAATATAAATTATATAATTAATAATAATAATTATTATTATAATTATTATTATTTTGTATAAATTATTCACAAATTAAAATTTATACAACAATAAAATATTTCTATCGTACAATAATCACAACAGATGTCTGGAGAAATCTTACATATTATTCAACAAAAGTTTTTTTAATATTATTATTGTGTGTTAGGTAACTATCTGTGTTATTCTAAGATAGTCGAAACGCATCTAAGGGAAAGTGAAAATCCCTGCAAATATCACATTATATTATTTATGCACTGATTAAGGCTCATAATTTCTTTCTCAGTCTCTCAGTTTATATATTTCTCTAACTACAAGAGGTATCTATTATATGCAACTCTTAGAGTTGACGTCATAAATACACACGTACTATGTGTAAATAAAAATGGCATGGTAAACAAGTTTTTTTGTTTGGCCGACGACGCGTAAACACGTTTTTCACTCTATTTAAGCGTAATAGAAAAAAAATGTATATCTATTTACACCCATGTTTTTTTTTAATCAAACATAAAGAAAGGCACGCATGTAACTATTAATAATAACATCGTTTTTATACCACATATACACATACATATGTATATAATTTAATACTTTATTTTATATATATATGTATATACACACACACATACACACACACATATATATATATATAATTCCCTACTGTGGTGCTCGTAGCGTAACAATTTTATGGAAGAAAATTTCTATAAAATGTAATATCAGTTTTTATTGACGTAAAAGAAGCGTTTACCTTCATAGATACTATGAGGTATTTAGCTTGGTATATACGAACATTATTTCCGAAGTAGAGATTGAATTTATGTACATAGCTGTACGACAGCCTAAAAAATATTCACGCATATTGATTATACATACGCTGTACTAATGCATGTTATATATCCTAATTGTCAAAATATGAATATATATATATATATATATATATATATATATATAATTAAAAGAGTAATGAAATACGCGTCGTTAAAATTAAATATACAATTATGTAAAATACATTAAATAATTACTTGCAACTTTCTTGAAAAGTGCAATAAAAACATATATATAACAATAGATTATAGATATGCGATAATATCTGATGTCGAAAACACATAAAATTAACATATACAATTTTTTATACAATTTTGAAAAATCGTAAGTTACATTTGTATAAATGCCATATATATTCTACCAGCGTATTTAAAAAAACTGTATAGAGATATTAAAAGAAGAGAACAGTTATATTCTTTCCTATATCTTGTTAATGTTTTAATATATACTTATTGTATTTAATTTCTTAATTGCAAAAATGAGCGTAAAGTATACCAATTTATACATCGTCTGTCAGATCTTAAAGAAGATTTGCATCCCGCTTAAAAATATGTCGACTTAACGACGTTGAATTAAATTTTAACGAAAGTTTTGCATTTTTTCTTGGATTGCTATTAATTGATTTGTACAGGATTATTTGATGCCGCGGCGCAATTTTTCGTTTTAATTTTTAAATTTACAAGCTATACTACAACATTCTTATTAAGTTCGACGTCAGTATTTTAAGTGCTATGTACAATTAAAGAGATATGTGCCTACACATTCTACACATTCTCATATAAAATATATACTTAGGTTTTGCAGTAGGTAGCTTTGGGATTATTTATGATTTCTTGTTTATTTAGGTGAGCGACCAAAAGTAAGTTATATACACAATAATCTTCAATACAACAGATGATTTAATATTAATTACACGTAATCAACTTTTCCTAAGCAAACGATAAACAGTTGAGTACATTTAATGGTAATTGTATCGAAATTTTGGATATTATTATCCTCATATCATTAACATTATTATTAATATTATTGTACTTTATAGTTGAAAAGAGAAAAAGAGATGCCTTTTTTTATTACGACATAATAATATAACCGTTAATTATTAATGAGCGCATCTTCCTATGTGTGTCGACAACATAAGCATGAGCAGTAAGAGATGAACCGCTATTTCTCTCTTCATACAAATATGCAATCGGACGAACGCGGATTTATTTTATTCCTAAACAAAAAAACAGATCACTCTTATTTTTACTAAACCCCAGTTTAGAGTCACGCAATGCTAAATTGCAAACAATTTCTGGAAAATGTTCTATACGATTGCTCTCGTTTCCTTTCTTTTTTACATTTCTGGGTTTTTTCTAATATTGTTATTTTGTGTCTATATCTGTTTTTTTCACGAAAACAATATTTTCAAATTTTTTTCAACAAAATTCAATGTGCAAATTATCTCGCGGCATTCATGTTACTTTCTGGCTATTATTAAAAGGCACACAATATTGTTTCACACTGTGTTTCATATAACTTAGTTAATAAATTATTTTTGTGTAACTATTTTTACTTAAATTAGTTTCTAATAAAAAAAATGCATTCGCAAAACAAAAAATATCCATATAAACAAACAAGTAGTATCTACTAAAATTATTTCTCAATTAATATGAATATTCAAAGAATTATTTATATCAAATTAATAGAATTGTAGCGATCGATCATTATTCAAATATTCTATCAGAGACTGCATCATTCTAATTCACAAAATGATAATGAAATATAAGCATAAAGTAATTTGAAGCTTTTGTGTTGTTTGCTACTTTTAAATCCGCCATCATTTCCATTATGATATCGATAGAAGTATGAATATTTCACAAAATGTATCTTTTTACATACTTAACTCTTGGTAGTATCACAAAATATCGACCGGATTGATAAGAAGTTACCATACGACTTACTTAAGTCTAGATTAGATATATATATATATATATATATATATATAAAGGCATAATTTTATACACTACGAAATATGCTCAGGATCTTTTAGAGACAAATGATTTTTGTGCTTTACCTTACGACCCTGTCTTTTGGATGCTTTTCGAGTAACCTTGGATTCTCTGGACTCTTGCACTTGTTTGTTGAGCCCCAGCCTGAAACGCACAGGTACTTTCGAATCAAGAGTACTTTCATCTGTAAATAAAAAATAAGAACATAACTAGATTTATTAAAGATAAAAAGATTTAAAGAAAGTTTTCATAAACGAGAATTTTTTTTTTAGATATTATTGAACAAACATAAAAATACAAAATAAATACATCATTTTTCTATTCTACATAGTTCTCCGATATAAAAATAATGTATTTATTTTATATATTTTTATTACGATTCAAATTAAAAAATTATAAAAAAAATTCCTGTTTTATATCTGACTACCCCTTATATAACAAATATCTTCTTCATACATAGCAAGAAATAGTAGAATCAATATATATCTATAAAATAATTAAAAATAATTTAACAATGTTTTATAATTTTTTCAACAAATAATAAACAGAGGTTAATGAATATATAACAAATTATGAAAGCTGAAATTTACAAATATTGTTGAACTTCAGGATCCAAGAATCTTAATGTGCAAAGAAATATAAATACCTTCAGAATCATGTAATTCTGTTAATGATCTATGTAGCACAGTAACCCGTCTGACTTCCTTTTGATTAGCTGTAAAAAAAGGAAACATATTCGTTATTAAGAGCAACTTTCCACCGAGAAAAAAAAACGGAAATATGTGTAGAAATATTGAACAATTAAATGTATTATTATTACTTACATTTTTCATCAGTATTAATAACATGTCTCTGATTAGCTTTCGCATTATTTTTCACAACCCTGAAAAGAAACGTAAAATACGATAAATGACACTGCCAACAAAATTTCAACAAATTTTGATAAAAAAAAATTAAATAAAAATAATATATTACACAACATGATACTTACTCATTAACAACGCCTTTAAAAGCTGACTGCACTAATCTAGCAGATTGAACTGGTACTGTTCTATTTAATCTTTCTGCGCGCCTTCTGCTAAGCTCCGTCCGCAAATCACCTTCTTCATCTACCGCTATATCCTCAAATACAGCGTCCACCTCCTCCTCGGATACCACCATCTCCTTCCGCTTTTTACACTTCTTATCCTTTCCAATACGTTCAGAAAGCGGCAATTCGTTCTTCAGTTTACCCACTTGGTACACCTCTTTGTCACGCTTCTTCTTCTTCTTCAAGGACTTCTCTTTCTCCACTTTCTGCGGCTCTACATCCATGCACGTATTTACAGAACTGGAAATAATAGTCGGGGATGTGTTCTCCACCGTTTCTTCGAACTCTTCAAACTCGAAACTCGTCGCCAGACACAAATCCACCTCCTGAACTTCAAACTCTTCTAAAGTTTTGTTCGCTTTTCTACCACCACCTAATGGAACCTCCGTTCCTTCCGAGGACTCCACTTTCGCAGTATGTTTCTTGGATAACTTAATCTTCTTATTCGCATTTATGGGGTCGATAGGCCGCGTGGATTCAAACTTCTTCCTCCTCGCCTCGAGAACGGGATCACTAATCGCGTCAACGGGCTCCTTACCTGCCTCGATTGTTGTTGCTGGTCTCTCGTAACCCTCGTCCTTCTGCTTCGTCCTCGCTCTGAGCATTTCCGGTGACGCTGTACTTTTAAAAACCGGGGACGGCTCCCTCGCGTACTCGCAATTGATGTCCGGAGTGATGGAACGTGGTCCGTGCTTCCTGGGTAATTCCTTAGGCGACCACTTGGGCGATCGTCTTCGTCGCGGCGAGAGGCGAGGAGAGTGTCTCGGGGACGACCACGGTGATCTGCGAGGTGGCGAGAGTCGAGGTGACCTCGGACGAGGCGATCTTAGACGAGGTGGCGTCCTACGCGGCGAGACTTTTGGCGAGCGCAAGCGAGGCGAGCCTCTCCTGGGAGGAGACAGACCGGGGGACCTGGATCTGGATCGCAATCGACGGGGCGATCCTCTTCTCGGCGACAACCTGGGAGACTTGGACCTGGATGATCTGAGCGGCGGCGAGTAACGCGGTGATCTCGAGCGCGACAATCTCGGCGACCTGGAGCGCGGCCTTGGAGACTTCGATCGAGGCGATCGTCTGGGCGATCTCGATAATCTGTGCGGTCGGGGCGACCTGGAACGCGACAGCTTAGGCGATCTGCCTCTTGGAGACAACTTTCTCGGCGGCGATCTCTTCGCGGTCGTTCTGATCGGGGATCTGCGCGGCGAGAGTCTGGGCGATCTGGATCTGGGGGAGTAGCGCGACGACGGTGACCTGCGAGGTGATCTATTGTATCTCGTCGGTTCTCTCGGGGATCTCTTCGGAATCTGTCTAAGCGGGGATTTTCTGGGAGATCTCCTCGGCGATTTCTTGCGTGACCGTGACCTTGGGGACAGCGACTTGCGCTTTTGAGGAACTCGGGTCGGTACGTGCGGAGAAACCGACCGTCTGTCGTTCAGAGACGAGGTAATCGTGTTGCTTCTGTCTTTCTTGCCGCAATTCTCGTCCGATTTCACCTTCTGATCGAGACCTTTGCTCCCTTCGTCACTCCTCGCTGCGTTCCTAGCTTCGCCTTTATGCAATTTTCTCTCCTTCTTCTTCTCGGACTTGTTTCCGTCGTTTATTATCTCCCTCTCCATCTCGTCCATTAAGCGTTCCAAACTGTCCTCCTCCTCGAGATCGGCCATTAAGAGTACATCATCGTCGTCGTCGTTGCCGTCTTCTTCTTCCTGATTGTCACCGTTCTTCTGCGAACTCTCTGTCGCTTCCTTTTGACTTTCCGTTTCTACCGAAGACTCCTCCAGTTCCTTCTTTGCTATAATTTCTACCTTCGTAGAAGTTACATGACTTCTTTGCTCCTTTGCATCTTCATCTTCCGAAGCACTTCCATTGTCCTTAAAACGATGGAATTTTGTCGATATTTCTGAAATAGTACAATTATTTTTAATTATTTCATTAAAAAATAATCAATATTAATTATATATAAAAATATGATAAACCTACCTTGCGATTCTACAGTTGGTTCAGTCTTTTCTACAGGAGCTACCTGGGCCTGTTGAACCGGAGAAGGTTCATCTACAGGAACTATCGCTATCAGATTTGGATTACGATGGCTCTGATAATATACATTCTACAAATAAATTACAAATGCATAAATGTGTTGAGAATTAATATCATTTATACATTACAATACAAATCTTGTAATATTTTTTTTAAACTTGGTATTTATTCAAAAATATCTTCAATATTGTAGAACAAAAAAAAAACAGCTGCATTTATCATTCCCATGTAAAATCGCTGTTAGAGTTACTTGAGACTATCGCAAATTAAAAGCTCACCCCATTCTGTCTCTGTTGTAACCTGTTGTGATAGAAATTCTTTTTTATAGGCCGTTGACCTTTATATGGGAGACGAGATGGTTGCGTTGCTTGCGGATACACCTTCTGCACCTGCGACAACGCTGTTCTCTTATGAGTGGCATCTTTAGTACGCAGTGACTTGAGCGCAGCCAATCTCAGTGCTTCAACATCCTCGTCGTCGTCGTCCTCAATTTTAATCTTTGACTGTTGAGGAACTACAACCATCTGACAAATGATATCAATGATAGATGAAATTCCACGCAACCATAAATATATTAAATATGTTAAATATATATATGTATATATATATATATATATATATAAATATATTAAAATTATGTATATATTTAATTAATATATCTATGTAGACAACACACAACATTTTACAGCAGAATGGATGGAGGGAAAATAAAAAAAAAAAAAAAGAAAATCGGAGTTTTTGCGAGACAATTGCAGTTTTTATACAGAAGCACGAATTGACGAATCATCGGAAGATATATATAGCTGCAGTATTTGTTTGTCGCGGAAAGGAATAAATTTCCATTTTAATAAATGTCAAGCAAATCTGTTTGAGGTTGTCGACGAGAAAAAGTGCATCTTTATTCTCCTTTTACTCGTGTGGCAAATAAAAAATGTTAAGGAACTTGTATTATTTTCGTGTATCGGAATTTTTGGTGCAGGCAAATATTACCTTTTGGCGATGATCCATTTTATTAACAAGAGCACTGGGAAAGAAAGCAAGCTGCGTTCACGAAGATCACCATTCGCGCGGAGAGACAGTCCTCACGCAAAGGTCATATAAATGTAACGACGTAACCGATGTAACACGGTCATGTGCGTATCGCGAGACGACGCATCTCTCTAATCGGCTCCCGGATTTCTTGCAAAAATTCGCATAAGTATTATTTTCTTCCACACACACTCCGTATCAACCCCACTGATCCCCCACACACATAAATAAAAATGGCGGACGTGAGGCTCACGAACTACGAGAATTCATTCAGAAATTCCATCTGAATTTTTGACAGCCGGACGAGAAGCGAGCGCGCTCGCTCCTGATTGGTTGTCATCGGTTGGATCCAAGCGTATTATTGGCGTATGACAGATAGATTCTTCTCTCGACGCACGCGTGTGCGAGAATACTAATTTTATTTATTAATAAATTTAGAAGTAAAATTTAATATAACTTATCTATTGAAATTTTAAGAATATCTATTTTAATTATTATCTATCTTTTTATTGCAAATAAAATATTTTTTAGTAAACTAAAATTTTTATCAAATTTTATAAATTTATTTAATTATATACATACTTTATTCTATAATATATTTTCTTTTTTAATTATTTAAATTTTACAATTCCAAATAAAATTTAATTAATATTTTTTATAGAAATTTTAATAATATCTATAATTTATTATTATTAATTTTTTCATTATAAATAAAATATTTTAAAAATAAAATAAATAAATATAATAAATAATAATAAATAATATAAATGATAAATAATAAATAATAATAAATATAATCAATGATAAATAAATCAGAAATAATTAATTAATTAATTAATTAAAAAAAAAAAATTCCTGATTTTCTATATAGGGAAGACTATTTCAGTATCTCATGGCTCCTGAAAGAGTGGAGATCAATGAGGATTATTTTGAGCATAACCTAAAACTACAGTTTAAACAATTTGGTAAACAATAGTAAACATATTTTACTTGGTAATACTCTTTTCAGGTACGTGCGATAAAGCTAGATGTTCACTGCACAATATTTCTATTTCTTCCTTCTCACTTTTGCTTGCTGCATATTTGCAAGAATATGTTACCTGATATTTGTCAAACGGGACCAAACACCTGGAGAAAGATGCCGTCCGGCTAGGACGATGATAATATTAGGATCCGGAGGACACACAGCCGAGATGCTGCGGGTCGTCGAGCATTTGAACTTGAAGAATTACTCACCGAGAGTCTATATTCATGCTCAGACAGATCAGCTGAGTGCGAAGAAGGTCAGAGACCTGGAAGGTGACAACAAGGATTACAAAGTTGTAGAGATCTATAGGAGCCGGGAAGTCCGACAGTCGTATCTCACATCAATCTGGACTACTGCCCTTGCTACGTTGAACTGTCTTCCCATCTTGTGGAGAGAAAGTCCGGAACTCATTTTGTGCAACGGTCCTGGCACTTGCGTTCCTTTGTGTCTCATAGCATTTTTGTTTAAAGCTCTATGCATCACTCAGAGCGTTATTGTATTCGTAGAAAGCTTCTGCAGAGTCAAAAGTTTCTCATTAACGGGAAAGATCTTGTATTACTTAGCCGATCATGTTATTGTGCAATGGGCATACTTAAGTAAACCTACATACAGCAGAAGCGTCCTTATATAAGTAAAGCTTTCTTTGATTTTTTTTTAAAATTATGATCATTTATTATTATTATTACATCTGAAATGTCTCAAATGTATTTGTGTGATTTATAGAAAATGAGTGGCGATGCTTCCTTGGTAACGGTACCCTGGGAATTGTTAACGAAAGAATTGGAACATATATCCATGGAAATAAAAGTACACTTGGCACCCATAATCGACGTACTACGTACATCTAACAAACAATTGTAAATAAAATTTTTTCAACAATATTATCTTGCATATATATAAAAATTTTTAAATTTATTTCATAACAAATAAATTAATTGAAAATAAAAATCTTATTTAGTTGAAGTTATTTTTACAAATTATGTATATTCCATTATTTTAATTATTTTAAATTATATAATGTATTCAAAAATATTTATAAATATGTTCTTCTTATAAGAATTTCAGAAGCATGGATAAACAATTCAATCACAAGAGTGGAAGCTTGTTTAGATCGCACATGGGAAATATTGAACTCGGGTTATTGGAAGAATGTTCCAATAGAACAAAGATATTGTTATTCTCTGTGCACTGTTGTAAAGGTATAAAATATTGACTCTTTAAGATTATATATTTTCTTAAAAACTGAGAACTTATAAAATGATTAATTATGAATAATTTATATTTAGGCAACATTATTAGAGCTTCAGTGCGAAATTAATGAAAGCAGTGATAAAGAAGAAAAGAAAAAGACTGCATTAAGAAATGTTATTAATCAAATTGATAAAGGCCTTCTGCTAGGTGCACCTCTTCCTAGTGTACCAAATTTATTGACAACTATTGCTACAAAGTTAAACAATTATTGCACTGGTAAGATTCTTTATAATACAATAATAAATCATATGAAAATTTATTGTTTTTTAAATTAATTTATTTTTTTAAATTTTTATAGAAGACTGTGGCGTTAAAAATGTGGAAGAAATTTCAATCAATTACAAGGAGACTGATTTAATTTCTACTTATCCAGATAGATATTTTGAGAGACCTTCGATGGAGACGTTTTACAATAAAATTTTTGTGCCCAAACTTCCGGCCATATTAACAGGTTTAATTCATAATTAATATTAGAAATTAGGAATTTCATTATGACCTACACAATAAGAAATATTTTATTTTATATTGTAATTTAGGTCACAAGACAAAAATCTAAAGTCCATGTTTTTTTTGTGAATAAGATATCTAACAATTTATATCAGAAAGAAGATTTAAAAAATATTAATCTTATATATTTTATTAGATTGTATGAGTCACTGGAACGCACTAAAATTATGGAAAAACCCTAATTATCTGAATAAGGTTGCGGGGTCTCGGACAGTACCGATTGAAATTGGATCTAGTTATACTGAGGAAGATTGGACTCAACATCTTGTCAATTTCTCTGAATTTGTGCAAAAGCACGTTATTGCAAATGATAGCAAAATTGGCTATTTAGCGCAGCATCAATTATTTGAACAGGTATTATTGTAATTTATAATGTATTTAATTACACAATCTTGCTTTATAAAATCTTTATAGAGAAGTTCTTGTTATCGATTTTAGATACCAGAATTAAAGAACGATTTTGAAGTGCCGGAATATTGCTGCTTTTCGGATAACGAGGAGAAAGATGTGGAACCATCAGAAGTTGACATAAATGCCTGGTTCGGTCCTGGTGGTACAGTTTCTCCTTTGCACTTTGATCCGAAAAATAATCTTCTGTCTCAGGTAAAAGAGATTATTGTGATTAAAATTATTCGAGTTACCAAAAAGATCTCTCAGTTTTATATATAAAGAACTGTATAATAATTAAAAAAAAAGTAGTGACTAAGATTCTTGCTAACTGTTAACATCTATTTATTTCTTGCTTACTTCTGTCAATTCTACATTGTTCATTAAAACAATGGTGAATATTATTGGTGGTATGCAGTGAATTTGATTTACTGTATTAATTTATCATGTATTTACGTTTGATTTACTTGAAAAGGGCTGCAATGACAGTCGAAACGTTGTATTTTAACTAATTATTTATAATAAATGATTGCCAGTTTGGTCGACTTTTACCATTGAGGAAAGATTTTTATTAATTATTACTGGCGAACCTTAAGGATTATTATCTGTATAATAATTAATGTGATTCTCCTCAGATATTTGGTTACAAAAGAGTTATCTTGTACTCTCCAGCCGAGACAGATAATCTATATCCTTATGATACCAAATTACTTAACAATACTGCACAAGTAGATCCGATGAGGCCAGATTACGATAAGTGGCCAGAGTTTCGTAAAGCTGATGGCATGACGTTTCACTTAAAACCTGGAGAAATGTTGTATATTCCACCAAAGTGGTGGCATCATGTGACCGCTCTCACCCCGAGTTTTTCGATCAGTTTCTGGTGGAATTAATTTGAACAAGATTTAAATAAAATTATTTTTTTATTAAAAAATGTTTCTTTATAGCACCCTAAAGATTAAAATCCCAGCCGATCGTAATTAATCATCCATTACAAATTATAGAATTAATAATAAAGTAGCAAGTGTATGTCATTTAGATGTTTAATGACGTCAGTTTGCATATTAGAAAAAAATCACTCATATTAAAAAAATCATATATGATATAGAAAAAAAGATTTATTTTTACATGTTAAAATAAAAATTAAATTTGCAAACATCTGATCGATCGTTTATGTATTGAATATCAACATAAAATTTAGCGAAATTGCTAACAAAGGCACGACATATAGGAGTTTAACAAAAATAACATAAGACTCTTCTATTAATATCCGCCGGTCTACGTCTTCAGCATGGTGCTTACAGAGCGTGCGTGTATATAGAGCTTGTCAAAGAGAGTATACAGTTTATTATTTAGTAATGACGGAAGAGGACGCATTCCCGCCGATCATTAGGCTCCAGGTAAAAAAAGACAGAAAAAAGTGTGTCGCCCTAACATTCAGGTCGGTCTCGCAAAACGTGAGATGGACTCCCTAAAATATTGAATTTCCTTCTATTTCCCTACCTTCTCTGCAGAGATCGATGTGTTCAAATCGAGTGATTCTCTGCAGCCACAAGATCTCTGAACATTATATATTATGCTAATAAATAATATTAATATGAACACTACTTGAGCAAATTGTCAAATGATTAACTCTTGCAATGACATATTTGGATAAATGCAACCCTAATAAGGCAACATAGTATTAGCAGCATCAGTAATATACTTTGATAGAATACATTTATATATCTATGTATATATAAATATATAAATTAACAAAGCATAAAATGTTAATAAATATATTTTAATATCGAATCAGCTGATATCTCGTTTCTTGCTAAGGCTTATAGTGATTATTGGATACGATCCAATAAGCAATAGCTCAACATTATTTTTAGAAAAATCGGTTACACTATTCGGAAACATTTCTTATTTTTTTGATAAAATTTATTTTTTAATTTAATTTATTTTTTATTTACTTTATTAATTTTATTTATTAATTTTATTTTTTATTTATTATACAATAATAATTGTCGAATAAATGTATCGATATTTTCTTCATCGAATTATTAACAAAAATGTAAAGATGACATTATATATATTACACTAATATTTATAATTTTAAATTCAATCACGACAGCATGTCACGATAAAATTAATATTATATTAGAAATAATAAATTTCTGGTGACAGAGTTATTACATGATTTATTTTATCATTTTTTAAAAATCTCGTCTAATTTTGACAGCGACTCGATTAAGCGATGACGTACCACGTTGCACGTGTTCAAATTACTGGGTGTGAAAAAATAGAGAGGCTCTCTCTGCATCACGTATCCGTGAATTCTCACAGCCGATTGGTGTGGCAGGAGAATTAAGGGTACGACGAGGCAGCTCCGCGCTAAAGTCGCGGAGGGGTCGCGACCTTGGATGAAGTCACGCGAGTGCAAGGTTGTACCGTAAGGGATGTGTATGCAACACGAGCGGGAATGACACGCATACACATGCATAAAGCGCCGTTCCTGTCGCTTACACGGGCTGTAAAGATTTTATTGATCGCAATGTGGCAGGCTGTCTATTTCTCTCGAGACGCGATTTAGGGATGTTGACCCAAGCAGTTTGTCAAGAGAATTATTTTATTTTAAGACTGTTGCAATTATTTCTCCCTATTTTGCATAAATATATATTTAATGAAAAAAAGCCGGCATAATCGTCATCGTCTTACAATTAGATTAATTAGCACAATCGATCCATTGGCCGAGATCTGCACTGATCCATACTTAATGCATGGAGAGCAAATAATTGTGTCCGTTTTATATCATATCATATAATACTAGTTTTTGAATATTTTTATATTCAACGGAATAATTAAATATATTTAATGCATAAATTTTTAATTAAAATTAAGTGTTAAGAATTTATATTAGAGCCTACACCTGTTTTTTTTTGTATCAATTGAAATTAAATTAGTATTACTAGCTTTCGAGCTATTTAAAGTACCATGAAATTTTTAGAATTTTTTTAGAAATTTTTAAAATTTTTAATTTGTTTGATCAATAGATTTTTTAAATAAATCTATCAATATACATACAGGGTTTGTCCGGAAAGTAATGCGTCGCATTTTTTTAAAAAAGAATTTATTGATCGCATAGGTAAAACAACTTAAAATTGTTCGAAGTATGACCCTTCTGCGTCAATACATTTTTGCCAACGCGATTTCCATGCGTCATAAGATTTCTGGAACTCCTTGACTGGGATGCTGTTCAGGGAGGCCGTCGAAGTAGCTTGTACGTTGTCAACCGACTCGAGCTGTTGTCCTTTGAGCTCCCTTTTCAGCCGAGGAAATAAAAAAAAGTCCGCCGGGGCCAAGTCGGGACTGTAGGGCGGCTGCGGAAATTGGGATTATCTGCACAGAGTTGCTTGAGTTCTTCACAAACTTCCACTCGGTGTTGCTTTTGCGCATCGGTCAACACTCTGGGCACAAGTTTTGCGCAAATCTTCCGCATGGCCAAGTCTTCCGATACAATCTCGTGAACAATCGTTTTCGGCAAGTTCAATAATTCCGACATTAAGCGAACATTCATTCGACGGTCTGAATTCAATAATTGGCGCACACGAGTCACATTGTCGTCCGTTCGCGATGTTGACGGGCGTCCTGCGCGGGCCTCGTCGGCGACCTCCTTCCGACCTTCTCTAAACATCTTGTGCCATCTGTTTGACTGCGATTTGGAAAGGCAATCGTCCCCGAAAACTTTCTTGAGCATTTCAAAAGTTTCCAGCGGCGTCTTGTCCAGCTTCACGCAAAACTTTATCGCATAGCGTTGCTCTATCGTTCTCTCCATCACAAGTTCGACGCGACCACTAAGCAGAGGTTCACAGAATAAGCCGTCCTAACCCTCTAAGCGCATGGAAACAATTGAGCGACCTACCGTTGGAAAGCTAAGGGTACCCCCCTTCCTCCCCAACCGGTCCCATCGCTCTGCGATGTATAGTCGCGTCACAAAAAAATGCGACGCATTACTTTCCGGACAAACCCTGTATGTTAGATCAAACAAATTCGATTTGGAAATATAAAAAGAAAAAAAGCTAAATGGTAAAAATCATATATTAATTCTTAAATATTTCTATATTTTTATAATATTTAATGTAAATAATTAATTAGATTTAATGCATGGCAAATTTTGAATAAAATTAAAAGAATTAAAAATTTAATTATATTAAAATCTACAGTATGACTATGTCTTGAAATTTTATTACTAAAATTGAATTAGAGTTATATCAGCTTTCGACATATTAATACTTATAGCATGAAATTTTCACAACGTTTATGATTAATAAATCTTTTCTAAATAAATCTATCTGTATATGATATTAATAAATCAATATTAAATTAGATTTGAAGATTTAAAAACGAGACAAGAAAGTTTTAAAGAAATGTTAAAGAAAGAATTATATACTGGCTCTTAAATTTTTTCTGTAATATTTTACGTGATACTTAATTAGATTTGCATAGCAAATTTTGAATTAAAATTAAAAGTTAAGAATTTATTAGAGTGTATAATAAACTTGTCTAGAGTAAATCTGTCTTCAAATTTATCACTGAAATTGAATTAAGTATTTAATAAAATTTTTATCAAATAAGATTTTGAATGTATCAAAAAAGAAAAATCAATTAATAAAAATAAATAAATAAATATTATATGTGCCATGCATAAATTTAATTAATTATTACGTAAACAAATAATAAATAATATTGATTATAAACTTTCTAAAAATCTCATGACATATTAATATCTTAAAAGCTGGTAAATAGCAATTAGTAAATAATTTGTTAATAATATTAATAAACTAATAAATTAACAAATTTTATTAACAGATAATTTATTAAATTAAAAAAAATTATGATCAATAGATCTTTTTTAAATAAATCTATCAGTATATGACATAACGATGTTAGATCAATATTGAATTAGATTGAAGATTTGAAAAAAAAGAGACAAGAGAGCTAAATATTAAAGGATGTTGATGGCAAAAATAAAATTACACATTCAAAGATATATAAAAAAAGCTCGATTAGCTCATAAATTGTTCTATTAATTATTTATTTCGTGGGAGCACTTAATAGTCATCTCTATTTAAATATGTATATAAGTATACATAAGACTTTTGTGTGTTTTAAGACTTTATAGATTTTTCTCGCGCTATAGTATATCGTTCTCGCATGGCTTGCAAAGATATTTGGCAGGAATAAATTTGCGGTCAGCTGTCTTTACACTCGTTGGTCGAAAAAAAAACACGAGGCTATAGCTCCAGGCATAGACACTGTTTGCATTAAAAGCGCGAAATGTGTCGCCTTACAACCCCCTCGTGTCTTGCGCTCTCGTAAGGGATGCTTTCCATCTATCTCACCCTGTCGGTAAATCCAACCCGGACAGCAACGATCTTAGGGCGAATACGCACTACACCTTCTTTTATGACACCTGTATAAACCGTCTCATACGCGAGATCAGAGGCAGAGGGATTTGGTGCAGCGAGAGAGCCAGGAGGGATGTGAAAGGATAGGCTTTATCGTATATGGAATCCTCTAAAAAAAAAAAAAAAAAAAAAAAAAAAGATATACGAGAAAAATTCGCAAACTCCGTCCTTCCAATTTCTATTAAGGCGAGATTTATTTTCTAAAGCACGCGCATTGATAAATTTCTTTTTTATTGCTCGCCTTGACATACTTTTATGTGAAGTCAATATCTTCAAGAATTGTGTCTTTAGTTCCAGATATTTCATTTAATTAGTGGTCAAGATTTTTAGTATCTTTACGTTTTTAAAAATTATGATAAATATTCAATGAAATTTTTGTCAAACAAGGTATCGATTTTGAATTCGATGAAACAGAGAAATCTGTTGATATAATCAATAAATCAGTATAATTAACAGATTATTTATTAATTATTATTATTATTTAATACATTTATATTATTTTATAATATTTATTATTATATATTAATAAATTAATATTGTACAAATCAAGAAAAATGGGGTAAAAAATTTGTATACTCTTCATTGAATACATTCCCTTTTCTAATTATAATTATATGCCCCAATGCGGTATTATTTTTTATAAAATTTTCCCAGAACACATCATACATTAGGACGCAATAAATGCATCCTATAGTGAGTGAACTCAAGGTTCGCCAAAAGTTCGAAAAAAGTAAGTGCAGGAGAGGGTGCGCAGGATGCAAGAAAATATTTTTCGCCGCTGAAAAAGCGGTGGTAAAACGCAATGTGTTGGGCAGAGGAGGGTAGCGAACGGAAAGTGCGAGGGAGAAACACCGGCAACAACCCCCACATTTCCTGCCCCACTCTTCTCACCCTTGTACCGTGCACATCAGTGTTCCCTCTATATGCGAGATCGTTGTCGCTCGAGTCTGCGCGGTTCGCGCGACCGTACAGGGCGGCTCCTACCACCGGACACCCACCCTCGTCCTGGCGTTTCACGTTCGTGCGCACCTCGTCGTCGGCACGAACGCGGTGTGTGTGTCACAAATGGTGGTGTGACGCGCGTGGCCGCGCTTCCCCTGACGAGAGGGTCTCGTGCGTCCTCCAGCTCCCGGAGGAGCTCTTTTCACCTGAGGAGTCTCTCGAAGAACCGCTTATTTTTCCTGCGTGAGGCCGCGGCCGTCGATCACGATGGTCACCGACAGCACGAGTCAGGTAGGGTCTGGTCTAGAAGGGAAGCCGGCACTCGCCTTCTCTCTCTCTCTCTCTCTTTCTCTTGCTCGTTCCCCTTTCGCACCCTCTTTCTCGCACCCTCTCCGAATTGGCCGATCGAAGAAGAGAGGATATTTCGAGCTCTACAATCAATCGAGATTCGCGATGATTCACGAGCGAGCGTCAAAAGTGACAGATGATTAGGATGGCTGGGGGTGCACGACTTCCGGTATGTGCGTGGCGTGGTTGAGTATATCTCGCGGCACAGTTGCGTTTTTATCGTCGTACCAGATTAGAATTTTGGACCCTCGAAATTATGCTGGTTTTAATTGGAGCGCGATACGGGATTTCGGGGCGAAATGCACCAGTTAGGTTCGAGGGGTGAAAAGGGTGTTTAGGCGCGCACAGCCGGCGAATGCGGCGCATATCGATGTCGAAGGAATGCGGCGGCGTATAGAAATCGAGATGCGATGGAAAAACCGGCAGGATGACGGAGTTATAGCGTCGTACAATAGCGAATAGCCTTTTTATAGTGATGAATCGTACGCAGAGGTGTAGGGACAGGGAAAAGCGAGCGTACTTCCGTCTAAAAATAATGATGATGATTGTCATTTAATCAAAACTTGCTTATAACACCCTGCTGTAGAAAAAAATGCGTTTTAAATATATTCCAAAATTTATTTATTTATTTTATTTAATCAATGATGGCCGAAATTCTCGGAAGATAAAAGAAAAAAATAAAAATGAAAAAAATTGAATAATTCAATTTTTGTCTTTTATTATTAATTTGATTATTAATACATATATATTTTTTGTTAATTTTTTTATTTAATCAAAAACAGCTCAGAAAAAATATAATTATTAAGAATACAAAAAAGTTGAATATAACTCATTGTCCCTAGTATTTGTTTTTTTTATTTTATTTTTTGAGAGCCTTGACTGTCTTTGATTAAATAAATAAATAAATTTTTAAATATATTTAAAATGCGCATTTTTTTCTATACCACATATTATTTTAAAGTGCAAATGTATCACGTAACGTTGATTAATAGAAAAAAGTAATAACGATAAACACACCAAGTTGCTATAAAGTGCGCAAGGGTGAAAGAAGAGAAAAGACAGGGTTGCATCATCGTTATAAACTAGGTTACTCTTATATATTGCATATATATAAATAATATCACGCACCTTTATCCTTTTTATTATCTTTGTACACTACCTCTCTGTTTTGTCATATTTTGTATTTTTTACGGAACGTTAATTGCGTGTGCTTTGTGTCTCTACAGATGTTTATTAAAAAATAAAATATGTTTGCATATTTAGGCTGATGACACAACGGCATTTCTTCGCGCTGCCCGATCCGGCAACCTTGAAAGGGTGGTCGAATTTCTCGATACCGACTTAGATATTAATACAGCCAACTCGGTAAGCATTTTAATTTTTTCTAAAAATATTATATGTATAAATGCAATTTTTCCAATAACTAATTTAGCGGTGATTGATAAATTCTTTGTAAATAAATATTATAAAAAATAAAAGTTATAATTTATATTATTTTTTATCTTAATGTTTTAATCTCAAGTTGTTCTTCTGTCTTTGTTACAATCAGTCTTGTTTATTTTTATACTTATATGAATCATTAAATTTTATTTAAAATATTATTATTAAAATATTTAAATTAAAATAAATTTAAATTAAATTATTTTATTGCCCAGTAATGGGATGTTCAATACTTTTTTATTCGCAGAATGGTTTAAATGCCTTGCATTTAGCCTCGAAGGATGGCCATGTCGAAATAGTGACCGAACTATTAAAAAGGGGCGCAAAGGTGGACGCGGCGACTAAGAAAGGAAATACCGCCCTGCACATAGCTTCGTTAGGTAAATAATTCTATCTGCACACAAATCAACTAATTTCACACATCGAATATTATTTCCAATCTTACCTGTTTAGCTGGTCAGTCCGAAATAGTCAATACACTTATTCAATACGGTGCCGCGGTCAACATCCAGTCGCAAAATGGATTCACTCCTCTGTACATGGCTGCACAGGAGAATCACGATCAGGTTGTTAAGCTCCTGCTCAACAGCGGAGCCAATCAGAGTCTCGCGACAGAGGTAACTTGGAGACCCCATTTTCTCAAAATTATTTAATAATTTAATCAAACAATTTTCAATTGTGATGTGTCTTTAGAAAACCTGAACTGTGCTTTATATTTTTATTAAACTAGAAGAATTTATATATAATGACCATATCTAAATATGATTATACATATGTATATATGTATAACAAATTATATAAAAAATCCCGATTCTTCAAATTCCTAAATTTAATTGCAATTCCAATATTTTAGGATGGATTTACACCACTTGCCGTGGCGATGCAGCAAGGCCACGACAAGGTGGTCAGTGTGCTCCTGGAGAACGATTCCAAAGGCAAAGTCAGACTTCCGGCTCTTCATATTGCTGCTAAGAAAGACGATTGCAAAGCCGCTGACTTGCTTTTGCAGGTAAGCTTTCAGTGGATCTTCGTGGATCTTTAAAAATTAATCGATACCTATATATGGAATAATTAAGTAAATTAAAATTTACGGCCAAAAATTTTTTATACCATCAAATGTTAAATAGAACGATCATAAGCCCGACGTGACATCAAAGAGTGGCTTCACCCCTCTTCACATTGCCGCTCATTATGGGAACGAGGAAATAGCACGGTTATTAATAAAACGAGGAGCCGATGTAAATTACTTAGCTAAGGTAAAGTATCATCCAGTGATCTTTACAGCAAAAATAATTGAATAGGTCACTCTTTAAAAATAACTCAGAAATTCGTATTTTCGAAACTTATAATGACAGCTAATACATTAATGTACATATTCTGAGCGAACGTATAATTTATGCAAAAAGAAAATGCAAGATTATACTTATAATAATGAATGACTTGTTTCTTTTATAATTTAGAAACAAAATCGTTTTAGATATTCTCTAAACAATTTTAAATAGTGTTTTCAATCTAACAAAGATATTTGCGCAGTTGTGGTATTTTTACACGCAGTACATTTTAATCTTATTAGTCGATAACAAATACATTTCTTATTTTATTTTTATTTTATTGTTATTTATTTTTATTATTCATGATTATTTTTTATTATTAATCGATTATATTACATCGATAATATTTCTGATCGGTGTATTCCTTTTTTTTCAGCACAACATAAACCCGCTACACGTGGCGGCAAAGTGGGGCAAGAACAATATGGTTAAAATTTTGTTGGATAATTCGGCGCAAATCGATGCTAAAACCAGAGATGGCTTGACTCCGCTTCATTGTGCAGCGCGATCTGGACACGAGCAGGTCGTCAGCACTTTACTTGAAAATTCAGCACCGATCAGTGCACGTACCAAGGTACGTTTTAGCATATTCTTCTTTTCTGAGTCTGTCATTTTTTTAGCTTGATAATAAATATATAATTTTTTATCTTTAATCTCGATAATAAGAATATAATTTTTTATCTCTAATATATTCTAAATAATATATTTTAGGATATTTTAAATATATATATAAAATTTATTAAGGATATTTATTTTAAATATATAAATATAAATTTATAAAAAAGGTTAACAAAATTAATTAATTTAATTAATTTTGTTAAAAACCAAATGTTTAATTAAAGATTTCTTTTGAAAACAATTATTTGTTCACGCGCTCTCGATCTGTATAATATAAAATTATATTTCGAGAGTGTTGCAAATTTGAATATTTTTTAAACTTTCTGGCTCTTATTAGTCTGTTTTTCCTTCTTATTTGTTTATGTTATTTATATGAGAACCTCTTTTTATTTTTATTATCAAATAACTTTTCTAATAGTTTTTTTCTCATTATTTATACATTTGACATTTAAATAAATTTATGGAAAAAACACTATTAAAAATTTAAAGAATGGGAGATTTTGAGATTAAAATAATACAAATAAATTATATTTAAATAGTTGCAATTTTGAATATTTTTATAATTCTTTAATTTTCTGCATTTTTCTTATCTTAATGTCAAATAACTTTTAAAATTAAAAGATATTCAAAGTATCTTGTAAGATGTTCAAAAGTAAAAATGATCTAAAGTTAAATTCGAAGAGTTGCGACCTGTAGAATATTTTATAATCTAACTTTAATTTTAATTGTCGTATTTAGTCTTCACTTTTCTTTCACGACTTGTGCTTTATCTTAAATAAATAATAAACTTATTTTCCAGAATTGAGTAATAGCTAGTTAATTAGTTAAAAGTTAATTTATATAAAACGGGTTATTTTTAAATTAAAATATTATTAATTTTTATGTTTATTTATCATTAATTGTAATTACCAAAAATATATTTCTATATAAAAATCAAAATTTTTTTATTATTTGTTATTTTAAATTTTAAAAGAATTAACACAAACAAAATTCCAATTTGATATAAATAACGTTTTTCAAAATTAACTTTGGATTTAACTTCAGTCAATTAAATCTTAACTTAATTTTAACTGCCCACGTAGCAATCTGACGTCATTAAACGTCAGAATGACGTCATTTTAACGTCGAATGACGTTATTTTGATGTTTAATGACATCATTCAACAGAATGACATCATTTTGACGTTTAATAACGTCAAAAAGACGTATGCTTGCTATACTTGGGTGAATTAAACTAAATTGTTCGTGCAAACTAAATTAATTTTATAAACAACTAACTTAAACTTAACTTTGTTTAAAAAAATAATAATTAATTTCTCCAACCCTATTATTTTCTCGCGCGCAGAATGGACTCGCACCCTTGCACATGGCCTCTCAGGGAGACCACGTGGATGCTGCGAGGGTGTTATTATATCATCGTGCTCCAGTGGACGAGGTGACGATCGACTACCTAACTTCGCTCCACGTTGCCGCGCATTGCGGCCACGTCCGGGTCGCGAAGTTGCTCCTCGATCGAAAAGCCGATCCGAACGCGAGGGCTCTGAACGGCTTCACGCCCCTTCACATCGCCTGCAAGAAGAACCGCATTAAGGTCGTGGAGCTCCTGCTGAAGCACGGGGCGTCCATCGAGTCGACGACCGAGGTAACGCGTCACTTCCGGCTCGCACAGGCTCGAATCAAGCATCTCGCAATCGAATCATGTCTTCATAAATGTCTCCTCACATCTGTAAATCACGATATGTTTTCACACAGTGTCAAATATAATTCAACGTTCGATGGAACATTACGATACATTCGTCGATATCGATCGCAAAAAAAAAAAAAAAAAAGAAAATCATTGCACAGAAATGATCGTTTTCCGGTATATATTAAAAAGCTGTACAATTAAAAAGTCACATTGAAAATGTGTTGCACAATTAATGGTAATTGACGTATTAGTTTCTAGGAATGAGAAAGATCTATATATATATACATTCATCGCCCCTAATGATTGAACAGAGTTAATTTGATTAATTTTGAAGACTGGTTAAAGGGTCGTGCATTTTAGCAGAGAAACCTGAGACGAAGATCAATCGCTCGAGTAATTTTGTAATAACTACGATCATTTTTATGTATTTGCTTATTCGTTGTCGCAGTTTACGAGAAAGAGAGACACTGTCGATCATCACGAAAAACGAAAAGTGAAGGATCAATTATCGGGGATTAATATTCCGGAGTCGTCGTCGAAGTCAAAGTAATATTAACAGAGAAAATATACATGTGTTTTGCAGTCCGGACTGACTCCATTACATGTGGCCAGTTTTATGGGGTGTATGAATATCGTGATATTCCTACTGCAGCATGAAGCCAATCCCGACGTGCCAACTGTTAGGGGCGAAACACCCCTGCATCTGGCAGCTAGAGCTAATCAAACAGACATTATTCGAATTTTGCTAAGAAATGGTGCCAAAGTCGATGCTCGTGCAAGGGTAAGTAAAGCGTGTTGCATTCCCCCCGAAAAAAATCGGCTCTACCCTCTTCCGACCCCAATTCCGCCTCATCCCTTATTTCTTCGCCGCTTTTTCGAGCCAGTGAATAGAGCTTGCTTGACGACAGCGAAGTACCTCTCTTAAAGACAGAAAAGAAATTAAAATCTATTATAGAAAAGTTTCATATACATACAAATGATCACTCATACGCACCCCCTTTTTAAACTACAAAAGCATGAGCCATTAACCAGTCTCATATATCGACATTTAATCGTCTCTTTTAATGGCGATTTGTCAATCGAAGTGTGCGATTTTCCACTTGCAAGTAAGACGAATCTAACATTTTTCTCTTTTCACACGCTTTCTTCTTTTAATCACTCTCAACTCTTTAAGGCACAAACATTTTAATATTCCGGTCGTATTTGTCTATTCAATTAAAGCCTCTTATTTGCATATATATATATATATATATATATATATATATATATATAATGGTGAAAATTAATTTATATCACTTTAGCTAAAAAAATTCTTTCTGAATAAAATTATAAATTTAATTTAAAATTAATTTTAATTTTATTTAAAATAATTCATTTATAATTTAAATAAAATTTAAATTAAATTTATCATTTCAAATTAGAATAATTTATTTTTATTTCTAACTAAGATTTTTAAAATTAAAAACTTATTTTAGAATTTTAGAATTTAAATTTATTAATTTAAATTGACTGCTATTTAAAATAATAAAAAATTGGTTTTTATTTTATCTATTTAAATTTTGTTAAATAAAGAAATTCAAAAATTAAATTTGATAAATAAAGAGCTTACACATATTTTATACGTTTCTTGAAAAAATTCTGTATGTTACATTTAATTATGATTTTTGATTTCGATTAGAAAAATTCTCTGTGCCTTGAACAGTTAACACGTCGCTTACTCTGTGACTCCAAAAGTTTCTATATAATCGCACCTTCACGCTTCCATCTGACAGCTACGCAAAAAAAAAAAAAACGAAATGTCAAAAATTTTTTTCAATTTTTTTTAATCTCGTTCTCGTCGTTATTTTATAGGAGCAACAGACGCCGCTTCATATCGCGTCTCGATTAGGAAATATCGATATTGTTATGCTGCTGCTGCAACACGGGGCGGCCGTGGACACTGCCACGAAAGATATGTACACGGCGCTTCATATCGCGGCGAAGGAGGGTCAAGAGGAGGTAATGTACAAAGAGTTCGCGGAGATAGCGGATTACATCGCCACGCAAAACAGGATGTACCTGTTTTGGAGCCGGCAACGCGAATACCTCATTTAGGATGGGCGTCGAGCCGCTGCGGACCCGTTATCTCATTATATTTTTGCACCTGTTCCCACGTCATCGTCTAAAAGAAATATTTTCACCTCTATCTCTCGCACATCTTTACATTTTTACATTTTTTCTCCGTTGACATTTTTCTTTACGTTTGATTATATATATATTTTATGTTACACGTCATGTTATTTCGCATATCATATGTATTTGTTATGTTAATAAACTTTTTCGTTACATTGTTTTCATTCTTTTTTGTGTTACCTTATTTCTTCATTTTTTTTATTGCACATATATTTATTGGAATAATTTTTCATATGTGTTTTTTTAAAAAAAGCATGCATTCTCCCACTCATCTCTTATCACCCTTTCCCTTTCGCGCTTTTTTTATCTTTCTCACGTTATACGCGAAGGTATAACCAGATTGTGGACGTAATTTCACCCCGTGACATTTGGCAATCGTTTTATTCCTCCTCGAGGTTCGATATCGATTGTCGAGGACTGCGTCAAGCCAAATGTGTCCACGTTCCCTCTTATGTATGTACATTTCTCCGCGTCTCATAAATAATTTACTTACACTTTCGTAGAGTTATATACCTCTACAAACTCGATCAAAGTCGTTAAACGAGCGAGTCGTTAACTTAAGCTCGATATAATATCAATTTGTGGAACTCGTCATTATTTTCACATATTTGGGTCATGCTCGGACATACGAATACATCGATTTTTCACAAAATTTTCTCCTCTAATAGACACCTGTCTTGCAGAAGGTAATATTTTGTCAAATTTGCGTAAATTTTAATACGCAATAGAATTGATTCGGTATAAAAACATAAAAAAATATTTATTTAAAAAATTAATTTATTAATCATTTATATATTTAAAATTTAAATATTAATATTTATTAAGAATTTGTAAAAATATTAACATTTATTATAACATATTTCAAAAGTATTAAGAGGAGATAATTGATATACTTAATTGTATTCGAGAATCTATGCTGAAAGAGAAGTATACCTTTGCACAAAAAATGAGAGTAAAAGATAAGGCCGAACAAAATTTTTTTTTATGTAACACACAATTTTTCTGACAATTAGGTGGCGGCGATTCTCGTGGAGAATAATGCTTCTCTCAAGGCTACAACGAAAAACGGCTTCACACCTTTACATATCGCGGCTAAATACGGAAATATGAACGTCGCAAATATACTTCTGCAAAAACAAAGTAAACTTGATGTCCAAGGAAAGGTGCGCATCCGTTTGCAAATTATATCGAGTTGTGTAAAAGAAGTAAAATTCATATATTTTGGGAAGAGCGAAAAAAAATATTATTTTATATTTTCTCTATTCTATTTCCACATTTGATTTCTCTTTTAAAAAATCTTCCAATATTCATAACATATCGATAATTTTAAGAACTCTTTTCCGAGTCTCTAAATTTTTTGAAAAATAAAAATAACAGATAAAATTTGAAAATTTTCAAGCAAAGAGATTGACGATTAAAGTGTGTCACTTTTCTTTTATTAAAAAAATCTAAGAGTATATTCTTACACAACGCGATATTTTCTGCCTCGAATTATCTTCCGGCTTTCGAACGAGTTTGGTCAAATTATGCGTTTGACATTTCAGAACGATATCACGCCTTTGCATTTGGCATGCCATTACGATCACCCTAACGTTGCGAATCTCTTGTTAGAAAAGGGAGCGTCATCCCATCTTGCTTCGCAAAATGGACACACTCCGCTACATATCGCTGCTCGTAAAAATCAGGTAAATTAATTAACAAGACACATTTTAACTCTTCTGACAATGAACGAGTACTCGGGTATCCAGAGCAACTTTAAATGTTAAAAATTTATTGGAACCGTCCAACAAAATAAAAAAGGCTCTTTATATTCAGAAACTTCCTAAAATATAAGAGAAGAAGAATATTTTATACCCAGCAGCTGCTATAAAAAATTTGCCTATTAACAGAAGGGTTAAAATAACGCTGGAAAATGTAATATGTCTAATATTAATATTAAATAATTATTTCGTGAAAATGACGTTCTTTACACACGTGTTAGATGGATATCGCTTCCACTCTCTTGGAAAATGGAGCTAACGCGAACGCGGAATCCAAAGCAGGTTTCACCCCGTTGCATCTGAGTGCACAAAAGGGTCATTACGATATGACGAATTTGCTGATCGAACACGGCGCCGATCCCAATCACAAAGCCAAGGTAATAATCAATTTTTCCATAAATAAATCTTCTCTATATAGTCTCAAAAAATCAACATCAAAATTGCTGCATGCGCTATTTTTTATTCAATCATTTTGTAATTTTTCACCTCTTTATACAAATCTCGAATTTTAATTTTTGAAAAATTAATAAGAATCGCCTACATATTCGATTTTTTAAATTTAATCACTATTTACTATATTGTTACAAGAAATTTGTGATTTCTAGATTTTTTCAAATGAATTTTCTGTTTTCCTATAAATTATTTTTGATTAAAAATATTTATTTAGCAGATTCTATTACAATACTTAAATAATCTTCAATTTTGATAATTCCGATTACAGTGTCTATTTTTAAATATTAAATTCACGAAGTGTAACATACAACGATACGCTTATTATCTTCTCATTTTTCGTTTCGAATCAGAACGGTCTCACGGCGTTGCATCTGTGTGCGCAAGAAGACTTCATCAGGGTGGCTTCTATTCTGGTGAAGAACGGAGCTAATGTCGAGAGTCAGACAGAGACTGGTTACAGACCGATACACGTGGCTGCTCACTTCGGAAATCTGTCAATGATACGTTTTCTGCTGAAACATAACGCCGAGATAGACGTCAGAACTAATCAGAATTACACTTCTCTTCATCAGGCTGCCCAGCAGGGTCACGCTCATATCGTCTCCGCTTTATTGGAGGGAAATGCTTCACATAAAGCGCGCACTAACGTAAGTGCCTTATCACTGCTAAATATAATTAATATTATATATTATATTAATAAAAGATCAGATTTAAAATATTATAATTAAAATATAATATATCATATAATCTATATTCAATTAAAGCATTAATAAATATTATTATTATATATTTATAATAATATTTATTAATGCTTTAATTTGATAATTATATTGTATAATATAATTTTAAATATTAATTTTTATATTAAAATAATTATTTTAAAAATAGTACAAATTTTTATATTTTTATAATAATTAACAGAGCATCTTTTATCTCATTTTTTAAAATATTTTATGTCGATGTGATAATATTAATATGTCATAAATTATTGTAAGGTACAAATTAAAGATTATTGTAAAATAAGTCAAAAGATATATAATTCTACATTTTATTTGATTAATTCACAAAACTTATCGTCACAGGATGGCTTAACAGCACTGAATATAGCACAAAAATTAGGATATATTTCTGTGATGGAAGTGCTAAAAGGATTGCCTTACGATAGTGCGACTCCGGATAACAAAAACTGGGAGGAAAAGTACAAAGTGATAGCTCCCGAAAGCTTGCAGGAGACTAGTTTTATGTCCGATTCGGATGACGAAGGAAGTACGTACACGAACCTAAATACATAAAACACAATAATAAAATAGATTGTAAAAAAAAAAAACTACGTCTTTCAGATTCCGACGTGTTAATTAGCGAGCAGCCTTATCGATACCTGACGGCAGACCTGATGAAGAGTCTAAGGGATGATTCGTTGCCTATTGACGTTACTAGAGATGATCCGGTACACAGAGCAGGTATAGAAATTGCGTATTTTTAATTAAAAATCGATCATTGCAAATATTGTTGCTGCTTTTCCGCGATGCCAATTGATTGTTTCGATTAACATTGTGTGTTATATTAATATAGCATCAAACAACTGCCACCGTGAAGGTTAATAGTTTGACAGATATAAAATAAAAAATAAAAATAAAAAAATTCAGAAATTAAAATTATATACATAATTAAAATTTGGCAAATTAAAATTATGTACGTAATAGACATTTGAGAATGAAAATTAAAATATAAAATATATAATAGAATATATATATAAAATTAAAATACATAACTGTTTTAATACAATATACTATAGCATCAATTATACCTGCATTATTTTTTACTGAAAATTATTGAATTGCATTTCTCAAATTGGTATTAGTATTTTATTATCAATTTACTATATACTAACAGTAATTTGCTATTATAATTAAACTTGATAACAAAACTGAATTTGATTTATGAGTCGATATAATTACTTGTAACTTCCTACTGTATTAACAAATTTTCTTATAAATACTAAATTTATATATTATTTATTATATATTTATATAAATATATATATATATATATGTATATATATATATCATTTCGTTTAATCTAACCAAATATAATCACACACGCAAAGCAAAGTTATATTATTCTTAAATAGCAAACTGACGTCATTTTGACGTTATTAGACGTCAGAATGATGTCATTTTGACGTTTAATGACATGAGTTTGCTACTTGGGTTCTTTGATAGTAAAATCTAAAAATTGCGACACATGCATGCAAAAATGATTATTGCAATCAATACATAAAAACATATTAATTTAATTATGCAACGCATAAAAATTCAATATTTAAATTTTTAACAGAAAATACGAACAAAGAAATAAAATGTTCTACAAGAATCTTTTATTTCTTTGTTCGTATTTTCTGTTAAAGATTTAAATACTGAATTTTTATGCGTTGAATAATTAATAAATATATTTTTTATGCATTGATTGCAATAATAATTTTTGCATGCATGTATCGCATCTTATCTCTTTATTTCATATATCTTCGTAATATTTTCAATTTTCCGTGTTTTAATTTTATTTAAATAAAATAATATACAAATGTGTTTCTGAAATAATTGAGTTCCAAAAAATTTATGTCTATATGAGTCTCATGATTATATTTCTTTTAGTTACTAAAGAAGAGACGCAACAATTCACACAAAGCAATAATTACTGTTTAGCAGAAAATTTTGATAGCGATGGAGTCAATCTAGGGTAAGAATATCAACTAATATTTATTTTACAAAATAATATACAATCATATATTTTTAATATATTACCAATTTGCAAATTATTAATTACGTCAAATATATTTAAATAAATTTATTTTATTAAAAATAATTAAAGACACAAATTTAATTAAATATATTTATGTAATAATAAATAAAGTTATATTTAGAAATCTCTCTACCCTTCTAGATTTTATCTAAAAGTTTATGTTTTTTTTGTGTGCAGGAAGTTGCATTTCAGATCGTAAGTATGAAACCATGTAATATAAAGATAAAAAAATATAGATGAATAAAGAGTGTCATAAAAAATCTATATTTCCAGATTTTTAATAAGCTTTCTGGTGGACGCACGTGGCGGTACCATGAAAGGGTGCAGACACAGCGGGGTGCGTATCATTGTACCGCCTCGAAGAGCGACAATGCCGATTCGCGTGACATGCAGATTAGTAAAACTAAACAAGGTGCCGAATCCGCCCCCTTTGATGGAAGGGGAGGCTCTTGCTACGCGAATTATCGAGATGGGTCCGGTGGGGGCGAGATTTTTAGGGTAAAAATATTCAAAGTTATTTATAAAACATATACATATATTTTGTGTATATTAGATATACACGAAAATATTTTTTTTTGTTTAACTGTGCACGGATTTTTTTTTCAGGCCCGTTTTGATCGACATACCGAATTTTGCGTCTGTTCGCGGAAAAGAAAGGGAAATTATTATTCTGAGAAGCGAGAATGGAGAAACATGGAAGGAGCATGATAATTCTGTGGATAATGATGATACTCTCCTCAATACGCCTTATGGTACATAATTTTTAGTAATTAAAATATTCATTATAAAATTATATAATTATATTAATTATATTGTTTATAATTATAACAGGTTATATTTTAATTTTTTTACATCATTCTTATGAGACGCTATCTGGTTTTTCAAAGTTTCCAATTTGTTCTCTTGTTTAAATCTTATTATAAGTTGATTTTAATCAATGAATATCGTTCAATCTGTAATCTTATTGTAATATTTAATAATAATGAGATAATTATATGTTATAATATATAATATTATTTAGTATAAATATAAATACATATATAATATATAATAATATATAATATAAATATAATTATATAATATTTAATTAATTAAATAAGTAAATATTAATTATTTAATTAAATAAGAGATGACATTGATTATAATATTTTCTTGTAGATTCTCAAATGAGTGCCTCACATTCGGGCAGAATAACTCGCATAATCACCACGGAATTTCCTCAATATTTCGCCATTATAAGCAGAATTAAGCAAGAGGTTCATGTTATCGGTGCCGAGGGTGGTATTTTGATATCCAGCGTGGCGAATCATGTGCAAGCCGTTTTTCCCGCGGGAGCGTTAACGAAAAAGATCAAAGTCGGCTTGCAGGCGAGTAAAAAAAACTTGAATTTTTCGATAATTACGCGACCGCAAATAAAAGAATAATCAAAATGTCGATCTTTCATTTTTCAGGCGCACGTTATTCCTGCTGAACTCACAGCCAAATTGCTCGGCAATTGCGTCGCCGTGTCGCCAGTAATCACGATCGAACCCAGGAGGCGAAAGTTCCACAAACCGATAACCCTTACGATCCCTGTACCACAGGCCGCAAACAAGGGGATGATCAATCAGTATGGTGGAGAGACTCCTACGTTGCGCCTTTTATGCAGCATTGCAGGTATCTATAAATTTAAAATTTTTAATTGAAAAAATTAGTGAAGAAAATATATCTTTTTTAAATTAAAAACATATCTTTTAAATTTAAAATTTTTCTAATTTAAAATAATTTGTGTGATGATAAGAAATATTTAATTTATAATAAAAGATTTTAAGTTAGTTAAAAGAATATTTTCTTTATGTGTATTAAGGAATAACATTAATATAAATTAATATTAATTATTATTAAAAATAGAATACTTAGGTGTATCATTAAATTCATTGAAAAATTATTAGTATCAATATAATTTTAAATAAAATTAATTATTGCGCTTCTTTAAATATCTTTAAAAATATTTAAAATAAATTCCAAAACATATATATTTTTTTTAATAATAACATAATATTTTTATATAATAATAATTTTTATATAATAACCTTCTATTTTCATAATGTTGTTATATTAATAAAAATTTGTTAATTCCAGGTGGAACTAACGAGTCACAATGGGAAGATGTTACCGGTTCTACCCCGTTAACTTTTATGAATGATAGAGTGTCATTCACTACTACCGTTTCAGCCAGGTTTTGGTTGATGGATTGCAGAAATATTAGCGCTGTGCCAAAAATGGCAACGGAATTGTATATGGAATCCTTACACGTGCCGTATATAACGAAGTAAACAATTTTTTTAATATCATTCGTAATACCGATCACTCAATTCTTAATTTTCAGTAAAGTAAACAAATGCTTTTCTCTTTTTATACAGTTTCATAATTTATTCGAAGAGGATGGACATATTGGAAGCCACATTGAGGATATTGTGCATGACCGATGGCAAGGAAGGCCTGCACACCTTGGAAAGACAAGAGGAATTTACAGAAATCGTTAAGAGTCGCGACGTTGAGGTATCTTTATGATATAATACAATTGTCAAATTATTTTGATTAAAATATAAAATTTAGGTAAAAATCTTTGAACGATATAAATTAAATGAACAGGAGAAATTAATACATAATTTTTATTAAATTTGTTATAAATTTGTTATTAATTTAATTTTAATATGAAAATTTAGATAAATAATTCAATTATATTAATATAAATTTATATAAATAATTTAATTATATTAATATAAATTTATATAATATATGTAAATTTTTAAATGAAAATTTAAGTTCTCTCTCTACTTAAATGTATATGAAATTACATTTTTCTAGATTTAAGATATTATATAAATACATTAACATATTTTTCTGATTAAAAAAAAACATTTTTCTTATTGTAAGATTATCGTATACCCAAGTAGCAAGCTGATATCATTAAACGTCAAAATAACGTCATTCGACGTTAAAATGACGTCAGCTTGCTACTTGGGTAAGAATCACTTATATCTATTGTATTATCAATGTCATTATTCTTGTAATATTTATTTAATAGGCACTCGATGGAAAAGATCTTTATATCGAATTTAGTGGAAATTTAGTGCCCGTCACAAAATCCGGAGTACAATTGAAGTTCACGTTCAAGGCTTTTCGACAGAATCGATTGTCGTTCCATGTTAAAGTAAAGGATCCATTGCTGGATCCAGTAGCGAGGATGTTATTCATGAGAGAGCCAAAAGTCGCTAAAGGAGAACCACCTCAACAGCCTATTTGTGTGTTAAATATTGTTCTTCCCGAAAATATTATTAAAGATGCGCGACAGAAGAAGCTAAAAGGTATATTCATTGAATATTCTCTTTAATGCAGAAGAAAAATGTGAAACATCTGAAATTGCTTAGTTTTTCCACAAATATATAATAACATAATTGTAAACAATAATTAATTTTAAAATAAATCACTTTAATTATTCATTTATTTTATCCTAAGATCAAAACAATTTGTAACAAATTAAAAAATAACTAAAATAATTAAAATAAATTGTAGTTAAAATTTTTTAAAACGTCAAATATTTTAATAATTTATTTTCTACGTATTTTTTTATACTAATTATACAAATTTTTGATAGGAAAGAAGAATTTTATCTTGATAATAAAAAATATTTATATCTTGAAAAGAATTTCTTGCCCAGCCTTTTTCTTTTTATCTATCTATCTCTATATCTATTTATCTTCCTGCAATTAAAAATAAATAAAAGTATTTCTAGACGATACTTGGTGCCTGGTTTATCGTAATTAATAATTTTTTGTTATTGTTGTTACAGGTTACGAAGATTCTAATATCATAAATCAAAAATTAGATTATTATAAATCAAAGTACAAAATGGAACAAATGGAGAAATCTGACAAGCCTAAAGAAACATCGCCATCAGAAAAGAAATTCATAACCGACACGTTACAAAAGGAACAAACAGGTATGATATCGAAATCGTAGGAAGTAGGAAAAAATAGGATGCTTTCTCTCACAAAATATTTGTGCGAATGTCAAATATTCCGAAAAATTGAATTATCTGAATTAATATGAAAATCCTGTGTGACTTTCAAAATCAATCTCGCCTATAACACTATAAAAATGCAAGGTGCAAAAAGAGAACTTGAAAGAGTAATGAAACATTAACGTCTCAAGGAATGTTTTGTTACGTCAAGATTATTATACACATATCGTTTACATCCACCGAAAGGAATAAAGCGATATCTTGGGAAAGATCTGGCGACGTAAGTCGTTTGTGTGCAAGATGGAAAAAAGAAAAAAAAGATACTTTTTGACGAGGTCGGAGGAAGATCGTCATCGAATATCACTTTGTTTCGAGGCCTAAAAGCGAAATGAAATTCGATTGTTATATTCTATTTTCATTTAAGAGGAGAAAGATAATCGGCTTACGGCTTAAGAGTTGAGAGGCTTCCTTAACTTAATTATAAACCTAACAGCATCATGCGCTCGAAAAGTAGCCGGTGACGGACTTCTTTAGTTCAATCCGTGTTGACGAAAGGAATGGTGCAAATTCCATATCTGTCTTTCTTTCAAGCATTCACGCAATTGTCAAAACGTGAGTCTTTTCAGTTTTGGCACTTGTTAATTTTATTTCATTTTTCTTCATTTATCTGATTTAAACAATTTTGAGCTAAACCTGCAAGCTTATACTTATTTTTATTTATGCATCTCTAAAATGGATCTTGACAACTTGCGAACTTTTTTATTTGTTTCCCTGAAAACTTTTCAGTTACGTTCTATTATTATTTGTCTTAAGTGATTGATTTAATTAATTAAAATTTTATTTTCCGTTGATGTTAATTTCTCCTTTTTTACACTTTTCAGTTTCAGATATTTTTAAGTTCATTAGTAATTTGTACCTACGGTCGACACGTTAAAAAAAAAGAAGTAATAAGAAATCGAGCGGACGAAATGGCGACTATAACGAAGCAGGATAATCAAGTGAACGAGAATAAGAATTGTTCCTCCGGAACGAAGGTCAAACGCAAATCCAGGTCCGCCAGAAGACGTTTGAACGCGATGATGAGCAACGCGTCTTTTCATTTCTCCGATACGGATTCCGAGGGCGAGCTGACAACGATCACCAACAAGATCGACAAGCTCGGGGTCGCGCAAATCTCGCAAACGGACCCTCAATGTAGCCCCTTAATCTCCGTCACCGGTGCCGAGGACACTGGGACCTCCGAGGTGAAGGTTGGCGACAATCTAGACTACCTCATAGCTGACGGTGAGGCCAGGTCGCGATCGAGACGCGGCAGCTTCGCGGAAAACCTCACCGACGTCGATGAGATCTACAGCGACGAGGAAAACGACCCTAAGAGGAACCTGAAGGTGGCCAACAACGATTATGAGGGCGAGACGGACCTGGAGGACATGGAGGGCGATGAGGACATTCAACCGACCATTTATGTCACTCCGAGATCGGACATTCTGAACGAGTTCGGCGGCGAGATGATCACTACCAAAGAGGGTAATGGACCCTTTTCCGTGGAGGTGCGAAACCGATTGTCCCGGGAAGAGGTCTCCTTTGATAAGGCAGACACTGATAACGTGCCCAATATGCCCAACACCGATAGCGAGGATATGGAAGGATCCGAGGATGAGGATAAGCTGGATGAGGCAGCAGCTTGCAGCCATTACGTGTACAATGACATGTATGAAGACATCCTGACAGCGTCCCAAACTGTCATGAGCAACAAAAAGGAGAACACTTTGCACGTGCCGGATGTCGCGGAAGAGGCTATCAGCGACTGTCACACCGATGTTGAGGACGTCGATTAAGCGAGATTGAATTACTAGGAGAAGGAGATTAAACAGGTTTGAAAATATCAGAATTCTTGGGATCAAGGCCTCGAGCAATTTTTCACGATCTCCTCACGATTATATTGCGACTAATGGAGTTTCAAAATGACGTCGTTAAAAATGATTAATGAAATATTGTGTAAGGAGATACAGACCTCACAACTGTGATTGGATCACTGAGGACGTCTAATAGGATTTGACACGCTTACACAACTACTGCAAAATTGCATAACGTTATTAAATGCGAGAAATCCTTTTTCCATTTAATAGGAAGATAAACAGAATATATTGGAATCTTTCCTATCAGAAAGAATTTTTATAACATCCATCAAGAGCAGCTATTTTTAAAGCTTCAGAAATGATCGAGAAAGTGTAATGAAGGCTAAAGTTTGTAGATAAATTACATATTAATATTATGATGTTTTTCATATCGAAAAAACGGCATATTGATTTTAAATTATATATTTTTAAATTAGTGTTACGTTAATATTTTTTCAAATTTTCTTTACCCTTCTCCACAAAAATAATTATTCTCGTATCTTCCACAGCAAATAAAGGAGTGAAGAGAAATTATTTTTTTTTAATATTTAAATTATTTAAAATAGAATATGTAATGAAAAGAAACATACTTTTTTTCATTATTATGTGTGTTCTCGGGAATAAATATAAATACTATATCGTGTAAAAATAACAGGAATATTATTTTCTGGGCAATTCCTATATGCGAACACCGTATGTGGTTTGTCGCAGATTCTTACGTTTTCCTTTTTGCACCGTGCCTAATTAAATTTTTGATGGGTCAAATCAAGCAAAGAATACAATAGAATTAACTTTTGAAAAATAAGTATCAATTGCGTTATTTAAAAAGCGTTCGTTGTTCAAAAAAGTCCGTCTTACAACAATTATAAATATATGAAAAATAAATTATTCGTTAATTTATAAATAATTGGATAACAATGCGCGCGAAGCGATTATCGACAAATTAATTTTTATATTTTCATTATAAAACCGATAATAACACAATATATGTGTACTTGTTATACTTGCAGACCAAACTGCCGTCCTCAACATTATCATAGACAACCATATGGGCTATTAATGCAAAAGAGTATGTCTCCGCAGTCTAGAGAAATTTTCCGATATAAACAAATACACACACATACAGATATATATATATATATATATATATATATATATATATATATATAAATACATATATATATATATATATATATATATATATATATATATACATACGTATAATTATAATTATAATTATAATTATATGATATAATATGTAAATACATATATATACATAGATGATTATGTCAAGATGTTTTCTTTTCTTGACAATAGAATATTGTTTTTTTTCTTTTGTTCAAAATCAAGTCGTTGTATGTGCAAGAATAATAATACGGAAAAATTTATTTCGTTAATAATTGGATATTATATCTTTGATTAGAGATATAGTTAAACAAATACGAATATCGTGCGTATGATAAATCTAATAATTTCTATATATTCTCTCTTATAGTCTTAAAAATATATACAATATATACAATAAATATAATAATTAAAATAATTAATAGTTATTTATATTACACGTTACATATAATAATATAAAAGCTTGCTAAGCTGTACTTTACAGTAAATTAAAGCCGTCGGATATAAAACAGAAGAAATTTATTTTTTTTAAATTATATAAATCATTGTCACTATATTCTACTTGTCTCAGTACAAAAGGATTAAAAATAAAAAGAGGATTGCAATGTCTATGTCTGAAACTTCTCGAGACTTCTTGAGATTCCAGTTAATAACTGACGCTGTTTTGCATTTTGCGGCTTCAATTACGGCTTTTAGTACATCTTGTACCTGCGACGACTGCGCATATAAAAGAAAAGCAAAGAAAACTGAGAATGAGAAGGGGGTTTGCGATACGAAGGTTCTCGATCGCCAGATCTCGCTGTAAACGAATCTAAAAACGGAACAATATATATATTGTAAAGATAGAGACACCAATGTATCCCAGCTATTATAAACGACGAAATGCTTAATAAAAAGTAATGTGAGCATAATTCTTGGTTGTTCTAGATGCCGCTACTATCCACGAATCCCTTGCACAAAAAGCGGCTTGTCCCCTAGAATCCGTAGATGCTAGTTATCCCACTAAAGTAAGCGCCGGTCAGTCGGAGACGGATATGTCGCCCGAGCTCGAAAGGCAGACGTACTCGGAGAAGCGCAAATTCTGGGAGGATATCTCGAGGAAGCGGGAAAGTTATCAGCGTTCCGAGTCTGAGGTCTCCAGGGCTTCCCAATTGACCATCAACGAGAGCGACAGCGAGTCATGTCTGCCGAACATCGTCTCCGAGGAGGGTGACGGGACCACGGAGGGTATGTCGGACGTCATGAGGTCGGAGACCATCGAGGACATCAACCTGCCGGACATCTCGGAGTGTTCAGTCGCGGAGAAGGCACACTACTTCGAGGAGCAGATACAGAGGGAGCTAAAGGAGGCGAAAGGAAGCGCGCCCAGGTTGCAGCAGCAGGATCCCGCCAAGTCCGAGAAGGAGAAGCTGGCCCCTTCCTTCAAGGGCAAGGAAGGAACAAGAAAGAGCATCGAAATCGAGGAGAAGCACGTGGCGGAATCGAGGGAGATCGAGAAGATCTTGAAGATCGCTACGGAGGACGCCAAGTTGAAGAGGGAAACGTGGAAGGAGCCCAAAGATGTCGATAAGAGGGAGAAGGATAAAGATGAGGGTAAAGACGAGCGTGAGGAAGTTCGGAAGATTGTGGCCCAGCCGGTGATGGAGATCTGCAAAGAATTGTTGAATAAGGAGAGGGAACTTGCTGAGGAAACGCAAGCGCTGAAGTATGAGACAGCATTGTCGAAAACCGAGGCAGAACACAAAAAGGAGCTAATTGGAAGAGAAATTAAGGAAGAAATTACAAAGCCGATAAAAACGCTCCAGGAAAAAATTGCAGAAGAACCAAGACCGGAAACACCAGAAACCCTGAGCAGAGAAATTGTCAAAGAGAAGACGTCCGGAAGGAAAATAATAACGGAGGAGACAACAATCACTTACACAGTGCAGAAGGACGGAACTCTGGTGCAAGAACAAGTTGTTAAATCGGTACAGATCGAGGGTGCAAATGGCGAACCGGTTACGCAGATTCCGGAAGTTAGCGTAGAAACGAAGACTGCGTTTGAAAAGGGTTTATCTACTATAAATGACATTGAGAAATTACGAGCGGATACTAAGATCGAAGAGAAAGAGGATACAGAATTCGAAGACAGATTATTGAAAAGAGAAACGTCGGAAGTGTTGCAAAAAGTGGAAGAAATCATTGGCAAACAAGCTGACACGGAAGTGAAACAGAAAAAAGAGTCTCGTATCCCGATTTCCACGTCAATGGCCGAAAAGGATAAAGCAAAGAGTAAAATGGTATCAGACAAACCCGAGGAGAAACCGACAAAAAGTCCGATCCTGGAGAAGGAGAAGGACGTTACTTCGCCTTCCACCAGGAAGAAGGAATTCGAGTCTCGTATACCCAAACGTATCGTAGAGGGAGCTGCGATGAAGGAGAAGGATCTCAAGAAGGATTTGCCGGAACAAAAGGACGAGACTATCACAGTCACTGAAAAAACGTCCAGCGAAGAGGTCACCTCGCGACACGAGGAACGCTCGACCACGAAGAGCAAGACGCAAACATTCTCCAAGACCTTCACTGACCCGCAGGACGCGTTCAAGATGTTCGAGGATTTAAGCGCCATGAAGGACAAGGACTTCGCTACGGTCACTTCGAAGGTCGACACCAAAGCCACGAGTAAAGTGGAGAAGAAAGAGGTCCTTTCGTCGGAGATCTCCAGCGGAGCGGATAAATTTATAACCCACGAAGAGAAAGAGAAAGTGGAAAGAAAAAAATCCTCGGAATCCAAGCTGACCAAGGAGTCACCGGCTGAGATGATAGAGGAGAAGAAGAGCAAAAGCGAGGAGGTGGACAAAAGCACTGTGCAAAAAATGTCGATGAACTTGACCGAAGGTAAGGAAGTGATAGACGCCAGCGCTTCTGAGTCCAGAGCGGAGAGTAAGAAGGAAGAATTGTTCAAGCTAGTGGAGGACAAGGAGGGAACTGCGACGGAGAAATCTGGAACTAGTAGGGTTAGAGAAAGCGACGTAGACGTGGCGATTAGAATTAAGAAGGATGAAGATACAAAGAAAGTGGAGGACATTACGGAGTCACCTCGAGCTTCCAAAGACGAAAAAATAGGAAAGGTTGAAATGATCGCGCAAGGACAATCTTACAAAGAGAATTTAGAAAGCTTTAAAGTCGAGGAATTTGTTCCTAGCCAAAAGTACAAGACGGATTCGGCTGAAAAGGACGAACAGAGCAAAGAAGTTCCGGAATCTTTGGAGAAGAGAGAGCAAATGATTGCCAAGGAAATGGAAGCGCGAAATATAGCGGAGGATCTGATACAATCGATTGAAACCGAGATCGAGAGGAAATCGTCCACCTCGGGATTAACACCTCAAATGTTGAGTAAAGAATATCTCGATCAACTGATTTCCCAGAGCAGCGATGCCGATCATGAGAAACTGGCCGACGACTTGACAAAAAAGTTCGAGAGTATAATGAAAAAATCTTTGGATGAGCAATTGACAGAAAGCAAAACAGATCATCCAACTGCGGAAGCAGTGCTATCAAAGTCTTTTATACAAGAAGAATCATTCGAGAAAGGATCTACGAGAGACAGTATAAGTTTCAGCGAGGATATAACCAAGGATGAAGAATCATCACATGATCGAGAAGAGAATTTGCCGTCTTCACAAGCTAGACTCCAAGATAGAGACATCACTATGAGTCCCAGCAGCATATCCGAGCCAATCGATCTTGAAGAGACGATCGACGTTGACACTGGAGATCTGGAAGACTTATCTAAGCCTACGTCCAGTCCGCAATCTGAAAAACTTCGCTCCGACAGATCGAGTGGTCATATCGATCCACTTCAAAAAGACATGTCTAGCGATACTACTCTCTCGAAAGATAAGATAGTGTCGGAAATCTCGGGCGCTAGAGTGTTGGAGATCTTGGAGCCGGACGCGGACAATCGTCAAGATTCGGTCGACGTGCCGTCTTTGGAGCTGGACGAACACAAAGTGTCCGAAGGGACTAGCAAGGACGTGGCGTCCTTGCACGAGAGCGCCGCAGTGGATTCCTTGGAAAACATTGGCCAGGAAAAGGACGCAACCGTTACTTCCAGCACGGTGTCCGAAGACTTTCCTCCGGTTCACGAGCGTGCACCTTCCTTGAAAGAGTGCGATGCAGGGGATAGACGAAGAGCGGACAGCTTTGAGATTGAAAGCCCGCCATTGATCTCACCGAGGACGAAGCACGTTCACGATTTGGAGATCAAACCTGTCAATTGGATGATTGGCGACGAGAAGATCGAGATATCGGAAATTCTGCAGCCTTCGCAGGTGTTCAATCAAGAACTGGAAGAGTACGAGTCGTCCATACAACGCGCTCGCACTTCCTCCCAGGACGAGTCCATGGACCTAGAGCAGGAATCCGTGACGAAATCTTCGGAAGATATCAGTGTCGAGTCTGTCAGAGAGTCCGTTACCAGTAGTGATGTTAAAGCGACCCCGATTGTCACGACTACAACGCCCAAGGTCACAAAGTTCACCGTGGTTCCGGTGATTGAGTCGGTGACCGAACCGGACTTCGACAGCGAGCTGATAGAAGATAAGTTAGATGTCACCTGTCAAGAGTTGGTCGATACCCTGCAACGAGAATACGACGCCAAAACGCCGACAGAGGAAGACGCAATCGGTATACGTCAATCGATATCTCGCGAGGATTTTGACCTGGAAACGAGTATTACAGAAGCTGTCACGGAGGAGATACCTATGAAGGAAGAAGAAACGAAAGACTTGACCGAGTATGTATCTGCGAAAATTGTGGAGCTCAAACTTCAAGAGTTAGATACAGAGGCTTTTCAAGAAGACATTTCTGCCGAGTCGAGAGACGTTGGTGAAGTATTTTCACTGCAGAAAGAAATGGAAGATGCCGCACGGCATGAAGCTGAAGAAACACGGAAACAACAGGAGATAGAGTCTGCGGATAAAAAAATTGAAGAGTTGGAAGTTAAAAAGGAAGAAGTGAAAACAACCGTGGAAACTGAGAAAGATTCCAAGAAACAAGAACTGTCGAAGTGCGCGAGAATTGACGACGTCCTGAAAGAATGGACGGAGACCTACCTGACGAAAATCAAACCTCCCAGCGAAGAGTATAAACGACACATGGAGAAGACTACCGATAAACACGATAAACCCAGCAAATCAACAGCGCTTCCCTCCGATACTTGTGCCTTGAAAATTAAGAAAGACGATCTACAGAGCGTCGATCTAAGTGCTCGATATGCGATAACCGTGCTAGATCAAGTGGTGAAGAAAGAGATCGCCGAGGTAAAGGAGTCCTTGGAAGCGGCTAAGCAGGATTTGATAGAGGAGCTAAGCGAAAACAGTCAGACGGTGATTCAGATTAAGGATTCGCCTTCGGAATTTCAGTTCAAACTCCAACCGGAATCGATTCCGAATGATTTACCATTTTTGTACAAACCACCGTCCATTGAACACGTTCCTGCGGAGGTTGAACCTGAAGCCGAGACTGAAACTATTATACAGAGCGAATTGCCGATCGCAGAAACTGGAGAACTCGAAGAGGAAGAAGCAAGAGACACAATCGATGATAAATTCATCGTTCAAACAGCCGCGATCGCCGAGGATAAATCAATCACTGCGATCAAAGCACCCGAAATCGACATCGAGAAGCACGAGGAGACGAACATTCAATACAAACTAGAAGATGAAGACGAGGGTCGTCCCAGTCCGCTTCCCATCAGCAGATCATCAGACATTAGTTCCGACATCGACAATAGAGATGACAGCTATTCCTTGGCGCCGCCTCAGCCGGCACCCAGAAGACGCCATAAGCCGGCAAGATTATCCAAGAGAATCAAAACCTCCGAGAGCGAGGCCGACATCGGCTCGAGTTCCGGCGAGAGCAGCAATTACCAATCCTGCGAGTACGAGAGCGGAAGTAGACCCAGCTCGTCCGACGTCGAGGCAATGCAGTCCGCCATCGGTGGCGTGCAATCCGGCACCGCTTCGGAGTACGAGACTGCAATGATGTCGGTCGAGCACGACGGCTCCAAGACGTTACCAACGTCGCAGGAATACCAGACCGCGGCGAGTTCCTTGAGTTCCCGCGAGTCCATGAAGTCCTTGAATTCCCTCAGCTCCGGCCACCTCGGCAGTATCGACAGCACCAGCGAGCTGTCCGAGACGCTGGTACCATCCGAGGAAGCTGATGACGATGCCAATGAAATAGACGAGAACTTGGAGAGCGCTCTGGACGCGGAGCACGAACTGCCCGAGGGGTCAGACTCTTCTGGCAGCGAGGAAATACCTATGGACGATGACCGACCTGTAGACAAGATCGACAGTCATATACCTTGTCGTATGAAGCGCTCGTCCGAGATGATCTTCCAGCAGATTCTGGACGACAACAACGTCAGTCTGGAAGCGGAGTCTATGGGTGAAGTGTTGGAAGAGGATCAGGCTAAAGTGCCCCCAGTTCTTCAGGCAGTTGACACGGTATTTGAAAACGGGATTCAGACTCAAGGAATCTCGACGAGGATCACCAGGCCCAGTGACAGCGAAGAACCGGAAGAAGACGTGGATGCGGAAAAGGAAGACGTGGAGGATCAGGAACAAGGATCGAACTTGGATATTGAGGACGAAGGTCTCGAACCGGCGCTGCAGGCCACATCCGTCCACTCGATGCTGCAGCAGGCCAGCATGTCCCTGTCTTCGGCATCGGGGATGTCCTTCGACACGGTGATAGAGAAGGACAAATCCGAACGTCACTCCCCCGACAGTGATTCCTTCGAGCTCGTGGACAAACCCGACATCATCGACGACTTCGTGGTGATCGAGGAGGTGGGACGGGAGGCGGAGGAGTTCGACTCCGAGGGCAAGAGCATTCGCATCAGTTCAATCCCTCAGACCACCAGCAAGCAATACGACCGCGACCTGGAGAATCTGATCGCGGAGAAGCAGGAGGAGCAGGTGTCGACAAGTCAGACCTCCAAGAATAATGATCTGTTCGAGTTTGAGACCGAGGAGAGTCCGCCGCAGGCGTCGAACGAGGATCAGTCCCAGTCTTACTCCGACGACGAGCAGTACGAGGGCAAAAAGTGGATAGAGATGCAGTTCCAGGCGAACGCGCAGGTCTACGACATCGAGTACGATCGCGGCCCGCTCGAGGACATCAAGGAGGAGGAGATTACGGATTTCGAGGCGGGCAGCAGCAGACTGGGCAGTCTGGGCAGCCACAAGGAGTCCATCGGCAGCGTGGGAAGTATGCGCGGCAGCTTCGGCAGCACTCCGGACTACGACGTCCTCGGGAAGAAGTACTTCAACAAGTCCACGGATCACGATACCGCGTCCCTAACCTCGCTACAGGAGTTCGAGCACCTGGAGAGCACGGTGGCGGCCGAGAACTCGAAAAAGTTGGTTCAATGTGGCTCTCAGGATTCCGTTAACAATGGTAGTCTACCAAGGAGATACATGACCCGCTCGGGTCACGGTGACGACATCTCGCTGTCTTCGTTAAAGGACTTCGAGGGTTTAGAGAAAGCTTGTCGGGAAGCTCATCTGATGGAGCTGCGGGCTCGAGAAGAGGAGGAACTCCTGGAGCACGAGAGTCCGGAGAACAAGTACAAAATGGAGAACCTGCCGCGTTCGAGGAACACCAGCGCGACCGGTTCGTTCAATCCCAGCACTTCCGGTTCGGACGATTATGAGAAGAGGATAAAGGAGATCGACGAGATAATAAGGATCGCGCAGTCGAACGTGGAGAAGCTCGACCGGCAGGACGACACCACGGAGGACATTTCGCAGATCGAGGGCACCGACGCCGAGAGACTCGCCGGGACGACGACCCACCCGGTTCCGGCGACACTTCCGGAGGAGACGGAGTCCGACGAGGCCCGCACGGTCCAGAGAGAGAGCAACGTCATGGAGACCAGCACGGATTCCCTAGAATTGGAGGAAAACGCGGAGAAGAAGTACCATCCGCTGTGCCGGAGCTCCGATTCCCTCGAGATGAAGACAACTCTGGATTATCCGTCTCTGAGCTCGGACTCATTGAACAACGTGAAGGATGCGAAGGAGACGCCGTCGGACATCGGCCAGTTCGCCGACAGCGCGAGACGCATCTCTTCGGATTCGCTGGAAATGCCTTTGATGGAGCAGCAGGACGTAGGAGAAAGAAGCAGCGACAGCAACGGTCATCGAGCTGAGGAAGAAATGGCGATCCGACAAGCATCTTCGATGGAGACCGATGCGAGAAATGGCAAAACGAAAACGTCATCTAGTAGCGGTACATAGGATAATTTTCGTAGGTAAGATAAAAATGAATGAAACTCAACATTATGTCATTATCCAGTGTTTAGTATGAAAAAAATAATACAGATTCATTGTAATAATTTCAGTTTTTTTTTTAATTTGACATAAAAATTATAAAAATTTATTTGGCACAAAGAAGACTACTTTAAGCATCTCTAAAATATTTTATTACAAAGAATAATTAAACAAAAAAGACTTTAAAGATTAATATAATGTATTAAAGAAAAAAATATATGTATAGAAATGTTAGAATTGACTGTTTGAAAGAAATCGCGCAAGGTCAAGGTTAAGATTAGGATCAAGGTCAAAATCAAGGTCATTGAATTCGTTTTTATAAAGTTTTATTTAAAAGTCTTGTACAACATCAATCTTATCTTTAAAATAATCCATACTAACAATAAGTTGTAATATATAATAATAGCTAGAAATAGTCAAGGTTGAGTTAGTTAATTATTTTTTAAAACTTAAAGTTAAAGTTAATGGCTTATAAAATTAATATATTTACGTAAATAATTGTATGAACAAAATCTAAGTCAATTAAATTTGAGTTAAGATTAAATTAACTTAAGTTAAATCTAAGGTTTAATTTTTAGAAATATTATTTATAATATATATAAATTAGAATCACACATAACTGTATAATTTTTAAATGAAATATCTTATTTGTTTATTATTTTAAAATTTCTTTCTAAAAAAAGTATGCAAAGTCGATTATCGTAAATATTGTTACTGCTTTTTCGCAAAGCTCGCGCTTGTGTTGCTTAGTGCATAACAAAAATTAGAAATTAAAATTATATACTTAATTATACATAATTAAAATTCGGCAAATTAAAATTATGTACATAATAGACATTCAGGAAATGAAATTAAAATATAAAATATATAATAAAATATAAAATTAAAATATAACTATAATATAATACTGTAGCATCACACATTTATACCTGCATTATTTTAATGAAAATGATTGAATTATATTTTTCGTATTATAATATTCTACTATCAATTTATTATATAATGCTAACAATAATTTGTTATCATAATTAAACTTGATAATAAAACTGAGTTTGGTTTATGAGTCGACACAATTACCTTCATATGTAACTTCCTACTGTATTAATAAATCTGCTTATAAATACTATATTTATGTAGCACATATATATCATTTTGTTTAATCTAATCGAATATAATTTTGCACGCAAAGCAAAGTTATATTATTTTTTGATAATAAAATTTAAAAAATTGCGACGTATGCATGCAAAAATTGTTATTGCAATCAATGCATATAAATATATTAATTAATTATGCAACGGATAAAAATTTAATTCAAATCTTTAACAGAAAATATGAACAAAAAATAACATTTTTTACAAGAATTTTTTGTGATCAAATATCTACGATTTCATTAGACTCACGTGAAACACCACACCCCATACATCCGTCATACTGCACGGCTCACGCAAAACTGATTCTCGTATGGGGTATCGCGAGCGCGGGACCGATGGTCAAAGGACCAGTGGATTCCACTGGCCACGTGATCTCCTTTTGTGCTCGCGATATCTCGCACGAGAATCAGTTTCGCGCAAGCCGCGCTGCGTGACAGATGTATGAGGTATCGAGTTTCGCGTAAGTTTAATGAAAGCGTAGATATTTGGTTACAAAAGATTCTTGTAAAAAATTTTATTTCTTTGTTCATATTTTATTTAGTCAATCGAGATAATGTTATTAATAAATCAATTATTTATTTTAATTTGACATATTACAGATAGCGGACCATCATCAGGAAGAATTTTTGCCACGACTTCATAAAAATATATTACCGAATAATTCGAAGTTTTACATGTAAGACACGATATTAAATATTGTATAATGTACTAAAGAACTTGTGCATTGTGGATATACGAGAATGTCATTATACATTTGTCTTTGTTTTACGTGATGTCTTCTAAAAAACAATTTATATTATGCTTAAATTTAAAAAAATGATATAGTTGCTATTCTTCAAGATATAATATTGTTGCGCGGGATAAGAAAATGCAAAGTGAAGAACGGCTTGCTTGTTTTTTATTATTAAATTTTGAACGGATGTTTGTTGTGAACAATTCTTGCTGTTTATAAAAAAAGGATACGAACTATATCTCTTGCTTAGCTATTTTCGAAATCTTTACTGCGGAGAATTGAGTTGCATAATTTATTGAACGTACATATATATGTATATTTTGAAGTGCTACTTATTACATGTTCTACCTGTATTATAACGCGTACGACACTGTACTATTGTAACGTGTTTTATAACGTGTTTTTCATTACGAGATGTGTCGTTGTGGATGCGCGCTTTTTCGTAAAATTTTATAATATATTATATTTGATGGAATCCCTTTGTAATGATTTCAAACATTTGCGAAAATTTCAAAAAAATACAATAATGCTAGCTGTAGCGCATGTTTACACAAAGAGGGAGAACAGATACATATATTATATCTAAAATAGAAAATTTTATATGCGAATATAATATTTAGGACACAGATACATACGACATTTACGGAAGGCAGCGAAGTATATATATATATATACATTTTTATTTAAATGATTCAATAATAATTGTTTTTTTATAAGTTATTGTATCTGGTTTTTTTATTATTATATAAACGCAGAATTACAATGTTATCAATTATGTTTACACATGTATTGTATATTATTACGAGTTAATAATGTCATTTGGAAGAAAAAAGATTGTTTCCTTAACGATGAAAATATACATCTGTGCATTATCTGAAACCTATAGATGAATATATTTATTTCCTTGTAAATATATTTATTATAGATTTACATAATTTCGATGCAATGTTTGCTGTATCAAAAATATTTTTATATACAACGCTCTAATACTATATGTATAACAAATATATAGCAAATTTTCAATCTTCGATAACACGTACGCGACCATAAATAAGAGTATTATACGAATGCGTAAATTTTATATACGAAATAAGGTATCCAAATGAGGAACAGCTGCAACGCGGATACGTCATATATCAAATAATTGATTAAATTTTCATTATTCATCTTGTGTGCAAAATATAAATAAGCCACACAACGTGTAAATTCAATAATACTAGGATATATAAACGCACGCTTATCAAATAACAAACCGATGTTGATGAGGATGACTAAGTTATTTACCAATACATATTTTATCCAGGGATCGTTTAAATTCTGAAAAATAAAAAATAAACCATAAATTAGTATATCATATATATGAATAAATTTATGAGTTGTTGAAAGTACTTTTTATTTTTAACTATAATATATTTACATTTAAATCACAATATTTCAAATTATGTATATGAGATATATGTTTAATTAAAAATAAGCTTATGAAAATTTTAATGCGTTGTCAAATCTAATATATTATTAAGATTCTCCAAAAAATTCTGATTGTTATCATATTAAGAAATACGTAGGTAAATTCCCTGGTAGAAATTTTGATTGGGCGCTTGCATGGCAATGGCAAGCGTGCCATACTGCCATTTCAGGAGCTGGCATGGCACGCTGGTAAGCGCCATGCCTCGAATCGTCACGTTTTGCCCGCTAGTGCCACAACTTTGGAAAGAAATGGTATGGTCCTGGCATGGCACTAACATGGTGCCAGTAAGGTACTACATAGTACAGACATGGAACTAACGAGTTATTGATGTGGCATATGCATGAAAAATATATAATGAATTAAATAAATTTAGTTTCAGGATTTTAAGCTATCGCCCTTTCAAAAAAATACTATTGAACTATATTCGATTGTTGAAGAAAAAGTTATTGATTTTCAATAATATGTAATAGATTTTTCGTCAATAATCAAAATGTTTAACAGTATTTTTTTGAAAGAATAACAGCATAAAATCCTGAAACTAAATTTATTTAATACATCATATATATTTTTCATTAATCATTATTATCTTATCTACATATCTAATATTAATTATAAAAGGTATAATAAAATAAAGTATAAAAAATATTTTTTTATAATTTTAAAATTTATATTGCAGAAAATATAAATATTATAGAACTCGTCTTATTAATTTTACATGTTGAACTTACTAAACTATAATTGTACAGTAAAATGACTCGTAGCCCGTGAGCTTTAGGCCATGTTTTTTAATTTATCGATGGATCAAGCGCATTATGCGCAAATCTGCACGTGTAGCATTTGCGCATCATGTGCTTGATCCATCGATGAAATAAAAAACATGGCCTTACTTAACTCGCTTACAATAGTATTACTACAGAGATATAAATTTATACTTCATCTTTGGTATTAGTGTACATGTGTCGTAAAACTCTTTGTTGTTAAATTTTTCTTCACCGATGACTTGGATGACTTGACAAATTTACGTTGGTCTATAACATAATATAATATTAAAGCCTAAACTTTTCAACAATTTTATTTTTTTTAATGAAAGAAATTTTATAAAGTCCACATTGATTAGATGCTCACAGACTAGCTTGATCCAACAGAATCTACATCTATCTGTTGGATTGTATCTAATCTGAAAGTACCTTAATGCAGTTAAAAATTTAACTAAAATAAATATTAATATTGTAGATTTTAAAATATAATCATACCTGACTGATTACAAGATTTTTTTGTAAACATAAGAGTTCTACTAAAAATTTCTTTGATTTCTTCCGCACTTTTTTAAAATCTTTTTGTTGATAAATTGCTTGTGCTTTCTTAATTTTTAGTTCGTCATCTTCCGAATCCTGTGAAAAAGCAGTCTCCTTTTGACCAAGAAGCATTAAGCGATCAACAGCTTCTGAATATGTTTCTGAAATAAGATTATTGTTTTATTAAATTTATTATAATTAATTTCGAATAAATAAGCTTACATTGTTTAATCAATCCGTAACAAAAATTTTTAACTGCATCAAGGTGCTTCCAGATCAGATACAATCCAACAGATTGATGAACATTCTGTTGGATAAAGCTAACATAGTGTGAGCATCTAATCAATTTGGACTTTATTAAATTTCTTTTATTTAAAAAAAATAAAATTGTGTATAATACATACTTGCTTGACCAACAATGTCAACACTGAACAGTGGTCATGACTCTGGTGCTTCCACTTCGTTTTTAACCAAATCATGGAGATTATTTATCCCTTCTTTTGTATATGGAGGTGGAAGAAATGGAACTTTCAATCGTTTAGTGTTTTATCCCAATTAATCCAAGTTGAAGGAACGATATCAATCTCTTTTGTGGAACCTTTTTTCCTTTTTCTAATAAATCTGACAATTTTAAATCGATGAACTATTTGTTCATCATCGCTGTCAGACATCTGTAAATATATCTTTATATATGTATAATGCTGAAATTTTGAGAGCCATATATTTATAATTTGTAGCAAACATACTTATATATTATATTATATACTTAGAACTATTATTGTGTTCAATTTTAAGATTAAATAAATAATGATAATTCTTTAAATGTAAAGAACATAATTATGCATATAATTATATATATATATATATATATATATATATATATATATATATATATTGTGTGTTGTGTGAGGGGGGGGTGTAAATGCGTTAATTCATATAATTAATATAATACTTACCGTGCAATTTTACCCCGAATGAGCTGATGATGCATGCAAAAAATCCAGGCAAAGGAAAGGATAAAAAAAAACAAGAGATGTATGTATGACAAAAGATATACATTAAATGTGAAAATCAATAAAAATCTCGACAGCATTTGACGTGGCGCAAATATGGGCCGCATTAGAAGTCTGGTCAAATCCAGACTTGCGCCCGTTTAACTTTATAATGAATGCCACGCCATTTATATATCAGACGCAAGGATGGCCCTGATATGTATCTTTCCAATTCTTTTAGATAAGGCTGTAGTGTGGCAAACTTGCATGGTGCTAACAAATGGCACCGGCAAGGCAATTTCTACCAGGGTTGTCACAGAATAAAACTACTATAATCAAGTTGTCAAACTGATCCAGATAAATGAAGATATAAAGAGATTGAAATTATTTATATAATTTATAAATATATCTTTATCAAAAAATTTATGTTATATGTATACATGCACTTAAATTTACTTTTTGATAAGCTTAAACTCTAAATAGTGTGAATTGAATAATATATTATACAATAATATCATCATAACGAGTAGAAGATTAAAAATATATAAATTGAAAGTTTCTTTAAGTTTAAATTTTTGTTTACTAAATTTAACAATTAATTTAGATAAGAGAAACTCATTTATATTATTATATTACTTATAATATTAATTTTCTATTAAATTCTAATATACATATTATTTATTTGTTTAAAGTAATCTGCTTCTGACAATTAATATTATAAAATCTTTCAATATTATCAGATGATTTGATAATTGATTTATAATTAAAAGTGCCATAAATATTGCTCAGAAATTCTTTGTCCAAAATGTTCCAGCAAATGAAATCAAAACTCACCTCGTAATATAGATGAAAATGATTAAGAAGAATCATCAAAAATTGCACTATTATGTATAATTGTTGCCATTTTGGTATTTGAGGATCGTACATGGCTCTAGGCTTCACCTAAAAAATATAAGATAAAAGAGCAGTATCTTTTATATTAAAATGTTTGTTGAATTAAATTCTATTAATTACTAATATGCATCGTTAAAACATGCGAGGTATTTTAATTATATTTTGTATCTGTTAAAATATCTTTTTACACATACATACACATATTATCTCACACACACACACACATATTATCTCTTACTTTTATTTTAAATTCATCTAAACCTAAACGCGGTACACCTGGAAACCAGCTAGGACCTTTCCAAAAAACAGCAAGCTTATCGGCCCAGGTAACCATACTTATACTTTTTTTAATTAAATCCTTTAAATAGAACACCTACGATATTGCAAAAAAAGAGTAATTATAAATAATAATAATTTTTCTATTAAAAGTGCATGAATTTATTTTTATTTTTTCTTTTAAATAATATTCTTAATTTAGTTATTTTATTTATTAATAAATTGAAATAATCTCAATAAATATCGCACGTTAAAATTATAAATCTTATTGCACATTTGTATACTGCATAAAAAAAAGATCATTTTCCTTAATCTTCTTTCTATTGGGTAACATTAACTTTATACACGTAAAAGCTTGTAAAAAAATTCTACCTGAAGATACAGTGAGTTGAATGATTCCACATTAACTACCAAACCGTAAATTATTTTTTCTTTACGTTCTTCCTCTTGAAACGTGCCGAACAATCGATCCCATATTATAAGCACACCACCATAATTCTTATCCAAACAATAAAGATTGCAGCCTATAGATGCAACAACATGCATGTTTTTATGAGATAAGTTACGCGAAAAACTATATGGTCGCTAAGTAGTTAAGTATCTATTAATTTACCATGATGAACGCGATGATGCTTAGGTGTATTAAGAATTAACTCGAGCGGTCCAAGGTTACCAATGAGTGTCGTATGAATCCACAATTGATATATCAAGTTGAGCTGATTGTGAACCATAAAGTGCGACGGAGATATAAAGAGAGCCAAGGGTAAGTAGACTGCCTGTGAAAAATATTTTAATTAAATATTTTAATCAATTTTAAAATAAATTTAAAATAAACATTTATTAATATATTTTAATTGCATTTTATTATATATATTTATTTCAATATGTGTATATATGTTTATATTAATTAATTAATTTTGATTGAAAGAAAACTAACTTTTAATAGATATATTGATTAGATTTATAGCAGCCACTAAAAGAAATTTTTTATTTCGTTTTATAATTGAAATTTTGCACTTAATAAAAAAAAATGTTCAAAGTTTTGATACTAACAAAATTACACCAATGTTGCAGAATGGATTGTCGCAGACCCACCGCGAGATTGAACTCTTCGCTGCTGTGATGCACCTGATGATGAGTCCACAAAAAGTGGACTTCTGCAAAGATAAATAAACACGATAACTTATTGTAAATTGTCGAAGAGAACAAAATATAACATATAGAGACACATCAACAATGACGTATGCTAAGAATTTAACCATGATTACTGCGATGGGCCCAATAGTAACAAAAGTCCACGGCAATGAAGGAAATATACCATGTCCATGATGAGTCCCAGACAAGCAGATTCCATCCTCTGCCGAATCTCTCATAAATGGCGACGTATGCATAATACTCGGCCCCGCGTGAAAAAATTCTGCGAAAAATTAGCAAATGCAATTTTACAAAATTTATCAAACAAACCTTCATATATTATTATTTTATATCAATTTTAGTATTATTTATTATTTTTGCCTATTTTTTCTGCTTATTGCATTATAGCTTAAAATTTTAAATAATCTTCTTTATAAAATGGGTAATTATATAATCTATAAAATAATAATGTGAATAATTATAAATGATCTTTTTTATGAGAAAAGTGGAATATTGATAATTTATTTTGATCAGCTTTTAATAACACACTAATTATTAGAAATTGATTTATTTTGAAGACAAAAAAATCATTAATAAGATATTAAAGAATCATTTGCCTTGAGTTTTTTTACAATAAAAAATATATATTTATAATTAATGTATATTTATATATAATAAAAGAGTAAAAATCGTTATTTACCGAACAGTTTCGTGAAGCATCCAGTGAGATAGCGACGTAATTTGATCATTCAAACGAAATTCTTTTTTTCTCAATATTATTTGCTCCAAAATTAACAAAAAAAAACGGCACCCATATCTATAAGTATGAAAAGTGTTTACGGAAAATTTCTCTCAAACTTAACGCCTCGTTTTAAATGTACCAGTTCTACTCTTGAAGGAGGTCTCGACAAAAATAGCGCGTATGCTAACAATTCAAGCAACTCGTCGCGTTCGTAACAAGTAATAAGCTAGCTGCGCATTTACATTAACGGATTTTCCTGACGCACTTGACACGGTTTCTGCTACTTTTGTATAAACAATTTATGCTAGTTTTGCAAAAACATTAAATAAATATTTTACATTATTTAAAATTGAAATTGTTTCTGAAACCGTTCGTTTCTCTAATTTAAATATTGTCTACTATATTTGTCAAACATCAATATGTGTTACATGAACATAGAATCGTCACACGTAAATAAATATTAAATCAACAAATTATTATTAATTATTATTTCTATATGATTTCGATATGATGATAATATATATTTATAATTTCAAGATATTTTTTACTTATACAGATTTTATATCACATGTAAAGAATATATAAATTATATACATATATGTTGTATGTACACATATAAAGTAAAAAAAACTCATTTTATTACTTTGTTTCTAATTATTCTATAATTAAAATTTTATTTTTAATATTAGAAAGAAAATTACAAAATAAATCTAAAACTAGAAATTAAAATTAAAATTAGAACAGTTTAAATATAATTTATAATTATTTCTTATCAAACTTGTAATATATATTGAATGCCTTATTAATAAAATACTATATTTATATGTTTATATTTTTAGCAAATAACTTATAGATATTAAATTATCTTCTTCTACATTCTTTGATCAAATATTGATATATATATATGTACTCATAATATTTTATATATATATATATATATATATATAATCACATTTTCATATTACATAACGTAATTTGCATAATATTATGAATACATACATATATATATGTATTCATAATATTATGCAAATTACGTTATGTAATATGAAAATGTGATTTAATTCAATAAAAAAAATATATATTTAAATTTTTTAACGGGCTAACACAAGATTTGCAAGTATAAACATTTTTATTTATTTTAAATTTTATTTTCTCTTATATTGATGACGTTTACCTGTTGCTGATAGTCCGGTACTTCATGTGGAAATTCGAAAGTCGTCTCCTTAGGGCTGACGAGATACCAGAGTTTTCCGATATGTTTTAAGAAAGATTCGACGATCTCAACGAGCAAACTGAATATTAGTCTCATGTCGCACATTTGCAAATACTTAAATCGACAAAAATATCTTAATAATTTTTCAGAAGCACACGTTAGGTAAAAAACAAACGTTTCAGACAATAGACGACGCTGGTTTAATCGCGCATGTCATGCTCATGTTGTTTATATACTGTAAGTCCACTAGACAAACACACACGCAAATAGGTTACATACTTAAAACCTCGACGTATGTATTATAAACTCTACAAGTTTAAGATTCTTTAACAACACATACAAACAGATTTAACTACTCGATTTTTCTTTATAATTTAACTCGATGCGGATTAAAGCTATGTGTATTTAAAAATATACACATCTGAAGAAAGATGAAAAGCTGAATCTTTGTATTAGTTTATTTTGGGGGAAATTATATAAATAAAAAACTTTAAAAAATATTTTAAACTTTAATTAATTCTGCAGACTTGAAACTTTAATTTAAAATTATTTCTGAATAGATTATTTAAAATAATTTTTAAATATGTAAAGTTGATTATATATTATATATTTAATCATAAAATTTAATAACTTGTAAAATAAAAATTTGCAATTTTTAATTGTATTTCTCTTACAAAAATATATTCTATACTTCAAAGATATTATCTCTATTCGAGGAAATTATTTCTCGATATCTTATCTAATCTGCTCAGAATTAGATATTTCAATACCAATAGTGATTATAAATTACATAAAACTGAGAATATTTCAGATTTTAACAAATAAATTTTAAAGAAAATATAAATATATTCAAGAAAAAATGCATTTTTATTTTAAATATATCTTTTAGAGTCTCTTCATTAAAACAGAAAATATTTTTATAAGAAAATAATTATACTCTACATAAATAAATAGGAAAGAAATAATAAACAAGAATATACTGATTTAATACAATTGCAAATTTTTCGGCAAACTCTTACGTCTCCTAAGCGTTTACGGCATCAATTAGGCAATATAATAATTGTAATAAGCATACTATGTAATTTTCATTATCGTGCAAAATACATCACCATATGTATAAAAATAGAGACAACTGTCGGAGGTAACACAAAACAGAAAAGAGAACCATTAATTATTTAATGATTTAATTATATGATGCACAATTGCACTAACAATAAAAAAATTGTCTTCATTTATATATATATATATATATATATATATATATATATATATATATATCAAATAAATTACTGCGTAATTATACAACACTTATTTTCGTCAGATGTACGATAGCAGGATACAAGACACGACAGATCTGTGATCGGATTTATAATTGAAAGCAACAGCTGCACAATCAACGCCTTTTCCCTCTCCTCTCTGCGATAAGAGATTTTATATACAGAATGTCTGTTTTCATGTGCACTTCAAATCGCGTAAAGTCCTCGTTTTCATAATCATTTCATGAACTGGAATGTGAAGAATTTTTTATTTACCATATAAATAAATATTTATATAATAACTTTAATTTACACAAAAAGATAGATACATTAAACCGAGAATATTTGTAAAAAATTAAATATTTAATATTTCTTAAATTGGGCATTAAAATTTTAAAATACTTAAAATTTTTAAATATAATGTTTATCAAACTTTTAATAATGTTTTCAATAACACACAACTAAAACTATAGCATCTATACAGCATCTGTGTATTTCCCAAATATAATAAAATTAAAACAAGACTAAAAAAAAAAACACGTAATTTTTCGATAATGTTCAAGAGTTTTGCACAATAGAAACTCTTCACAAAAACTAAAAAAAAAAAATCTTTAACTTGAAATTTAAAACATTGTAACATTGGAAATAGTTCACAGAGACGTGTAAAATCAGCAACAACTGCGTTAAGAAACATTCATCATATAAAATAAAACTATAAATAAACTTGAGACGCGCGTCTACTGAATAAATGACCGACTTTAAAGTTTGAATTACGATTTGAAACTAGATCTCATAATAATATAAAATTACATATAAGATAAATATCTTAATTCGTTTAAGAATATGAACTTATTATTGATTTATATTGTAATATTATGATGTTACATCAGGATATATATATATATATATATATATATATATATATATATATATATACTATATACATATATATATATTTGTAATAATAATAATTAATTTTAATCGCTAGTCAATTAATAAATCAGGATATATATATAAAAATCGAGAAAGAACTGAATATTAACATAAAACGTTGGTTGAATGATGACTGGATCATAAAGAAGAAGTATTATTTGTTAAAATCTAGTGACTCATTCTTACCAAAAGCTTATGGTTTGCCAAAAATTCCAAACCATGAGATCTAGTTTCAAATCGTAATTCAAACTTTAAAGTCGGTCATTTATTCAGTAGACGCGTGTCTCAAGTTTATTTATAGTTTTATTTTATATGATGAATGTTTCTTAACGCAGTTGTTGCTGATTTTACACGTCTCTGTGAACTATTTCCAATGTTACAATGTTTTAAATTTCAAGTTAGAGAATTTGTTTGTTTTTTTTTTTAGTTTTTGTGAAGAGTTTCTATTGTGCAAAACTCTTGAACATTATCGAAAAATTACGTGTCTAAGCATTTGCACACACCATATTGCCCCGGAGAGGGCAAGTGGGATTATAGACACATGAGTGAAAAATGAATAAACAGTTTAGAAACAGCGCTTTTTATAGAACAACTGGCTTATTTTTGCTTACGGGAAATCCGTGGAAAAATTACTTCATGCTTATCGCTGTCTAAAAGAAAATATAATCCAGAGAGACATATATATATATATATTATATATATGACTCATTCTTACCAAAAGCTTATAGTTTGCCAAAAATTCATAAGGAGAATACACCCTTCAGAATAATAGTGTCATCAATTAACACAGCCCTTTATCAAATATCATCTTACTTACATAATATTTTATTGGTTAGTCTGCCAAAAGCACAAAGTTATGTTAACAACAGCTACGAATTATGCAATGCACTGACTGATTTTCAACTCAATAACAACGAAATACTAATATCATTAGAGATGTAATATCATTATTTACCAATGTACCTCTGAATCTTGCAATTGACAGTATAAATAACAGATGGCAATACATAGAAGGCATACAAAAATTGGAAAAAATGATTTCATAAAAATTATAAAATTTATTCTATCCTCAACATTTTTCACATTTAATAATATAACATATAAACAAATTTATGGAACCCCCATGGGCTCTCCTCTGTCTCCGATGATTGCAGATGTCATGCAAGATTTAGAGACAACGATATTCAACACGCTTAACATAAATGCGACTTTCTATTACCGATACGTAGATGATATTTTAATGTGTGTTCCGGAAGATCAAGTCACATGCATTTTTAATAGTTTTAACGAATATCGTAATAGGTTGAAATTTACAATGGAACGAGAGGAGAACCGGTGTATAAATTTCCTAGATATATCAATCATAATCAAGGAGAATATACTTATTGATTGGTTTCGAAACAAGACATTCTCAGGAAGAACACTTTCCTTTTATTCCAGCCATCCAATGTGCCATAAAATAAGTATTATATATAATTTAAAAAATTAAAAAAAGTTGTCAACTCACTTTGAGTTCAAAATGAGCTGTCTTTTTATATTGTTGGTTTTGTCTTGTGTCATCTTCAACTTTTTTAAGTAAGAAGTGGTTAAAAATTGTCAAGAAGGACGATGTCAACGCTTACGGAACATTTTAATTTCTCGCTTATTAACGACGAAACTTTTCGAGATCTGATTAAAATCAAAGATCATATCGAGACGAACATTGGTTTGACATTTTTCCTACACATGATGGATTGAAACACGCGTTAACTGCTCATAAACTCTCGACTCTGAAGAACTAAAATTAATTTTCGACATTATATGAGTTTATTTTTTAATAATATACTGAAGAAGACCGCGTGCGGTCAAAACGTTTATTTTAGAATAACTGTATTTTTGCGTTAATTTTAATATTCAATGATTGTAACTTAATAATTTATATATGAAATAAATGTTATTTGATTGAACAGCTTGAATAATTGTTCGATAGTTGGTCTTGCATTTATCACTTTATATATATATATATATATATATATATATATATATATATATATAGAAAAGGAAAAAGAAAAATAAATTTTTTCAATATAAAAAAAATATAAATATATAAATAAATACATAATAATAAAATATATACATTCAATATTTTTCAATATTTCTCTCTAATAATTTATTTATAATAAATAAACACAATTTGAATGTAATATGTAAAAACATTGTGAAATGGTTATTTAGTTGAATGCAGAAATGTTCTCCAGAAGGAAACTGTATGGTTACACTTCGTTATATTACCAAACTTCCTGCAATATTTACATTTGATTAATAATTTTGAATTATAATATCTAATAATTTATTTATAATAAATAAACACAATTTGAATGTAATATGTAAAAACATTGTGAAATGGTTACCTAGTTGAATGCAGAAATGTTCTCCAGAAGGAAACTGTATGGTTACACTTTGTTATATTACCAAACTTCCTGCAATATTTACATTTGATTAATAATTTTGAATTATAATATATATTGTATATATGTACAACACATTTTATTATAACATATTATACATTTATTATTTTAGAACAAATGAAAAAAAATTCGAGAAATATATATTAACATTAAATATAATTAAATTAAATATAATAAAATGTATAATGAATTGAAAATGTTCTGAATAAAAATATGGTTTAAAAAACGTAAATTACTTATTATTTATATTGTAACTTACGTACAATAACTTTGCTAGAACCAAGAAAAAGATATATATTATTTAAATTCAGTCATTTTAATATCATCAATCAAACATCTTCGATTAAAATTTAAATTGTATTAATCGTTACACATTGTTAATTAATGGAAATAGAGAAATTATATCGATTTTCTTAAGTCAATCATTAATGGAAGAGATTCGCATTAAATTTGCTATATTTAATCGTCAATTAAATATTTTTTAATTGTTTCTGCTCAAATCAATTGTCAATTGAATTGTCTTCGATTGAATCTGTTTTTTTCAATCGTCAATTAAAGTACTTCTAATTAAAATTAACTCATATTAATCGTTAATTAAAAACTTTTAATTAAATTAGCTTGTATTAATTTTTAATCGATCGTTCTCCGATTAATTTCGTTTATATCAATTGTCAATTAAATAATCTTTAATTGACTTCGATCATATTAATTGTTAATTAAACGATCTTCGATTAATCTAGCTTATATCAATCGTCATTGTAACGAAATCTAATTAATCTTTCTAAAATTAATCGTCAATTAAAAATATTTTAATTAAATCTGTTCATATTATTTGTTCAATTATAGAAAATTTAATTGATATTTTGCCATCTCTGATACCCAGTAAACACGAAGGGATCATTTACGAAACAATTACATAATAATCTATATATGTATATTAATGAAAATACTTTTTTAGTCAGCTCTTTTAATTTTTAAAGCCACAATCTCCACTTGATTCCTCTCGACCAATAGAGCCAAACGCGATGTTATTGCGACAATTATGAAAGAAAGAACATTTGAAAAGGAATTTGAATCCTGTGGTTGGGATCTCAAAAATTCCCCCTGTTCCTTCTCTTAACATCCCCTGTAAAGAAATAGGCGAGAAAAATATTGGTCCGAAAGTCGGCTGAATCGGGACTCGAACCCGAGATGTTCTTTCTTTCATAATTGTCGCAATAACATCGCGTTTGGCTCTATTGGTCGAGAGGAATCAAGTAGAGATTGTGGCTATATATGTATATGTTATAGATCGGCGAAACAAAACAATGACGTATCATTTATGTCAATAACGTAATGAATTTGTTATGCAATTTTGGTGTTACTTTGTTATATAACATTTATGTATTTTGGTTAATATAAATGTGTATACTCTAAAAGTTTCGTAAATACTACGTAATTTTAATGACATAATTGTAACGTTATGTTAAATATGTAACATTAATATTATTTTGTTGATATCAATGTATATATTCTGTAAAAACCTTATTATAACTATTATATAATTATAATAACGAAATTGCGATGTCACATTAAATAAAAAAAATATCGCAATTTTGTTATTATACTGTATGTAATGATTATAATAAAGTTTTTACAGAATATTAATGAAAGAGGAAAAAAAGAAACTTTTGGATCTTTATTTAGGAATAATTTATGCCTTAATAGCTATTGGATTTTTAGGATTTGTTGTATGAGCTCATCATATATTTACTATTGGATTAGATGTCGAT